AAGGGTCAATGTATAATTACTTTATGGATCATCTAGGAACAGGCATGTATTGCTAGCTAACGGCCACTTTTATCCAATCATCATTGTTGCGAGATCCACTGCATGGGAACGATGCTCCTGCTCCAGACATTTATTTCCATGATTCAATTATATTGGTCCGAGTTGATTTGGCTGAGCTACGGTCAAAGAGAGATTACATCAATCCATACATCAGCATACGTGCGAATGTCTCAGCTGATTAACCCTTGTTCGACCGTAACTCAACCAAATCAGCTCGGATCAAGCTACTTGAATCATGGAAATGAATGTCTGAAGCAGGAGAATCGTCCACCTACAATAGAATGCACAAAAGTTGGGAATGCACAAAGTGGCTATTAGCTGCCATTGTATGACATAAAAGTGAGGGTTGCGTACCTTTCATGCATTGTCCCTGAAGTCCTGACTTTTTAGCTGAGTTACCCAAAGAGGTCCTTCTGCATCTTTGGCTCTCCAGGGTCTAGCTACTTGGCAATGAACAAAGACCACTTCTCATATAGCATCACGCTTACAAACATAAAGACGCCTGTATCTCCAAACTTTACAATCAAACGCGGGGTTTTTATTAGAGCAATGTGCTCGGCTTGGCCAACTGCACCTTGGGTGCCAGTTTCACGATCAAGCTTGCCAATCCCAGATTTCGCAATGTCGCTACCAGCCAAACTGGATTCAGGGGTTGACCTCTTCGACGACGACGACGACGACCAAAAAATATTTTTTGGGCTAGTTGCTACATTGAACGTGAAACTTTCACACAAGGTGCTGTTGGCCAAGCCGAGCCCATTGCTGTAATAGAAACCCCACGTTCGATTGTAAAGTTTGGAGATACAGGCACCTTTATGTTTGTAAGCGTGATGCTATATGAAGAGTGGTCTTTGTTTAATGTAAAGTAGTATGACTATAATAGAGCCAAAGATGCAGAGAGCGTGTTTGTGTAACACAGCTACGTTTGCATGAGTGGAAGGATTGATAGATTATACTTTATGGTCTATCCACAATAGTCCATGTATTACCCTCTATCAGCCATTTCTTCACAATCAGAGTTGTTGCAAAACCCACTGCATGTGAACGATTCTCCTGCTCCAGCCCATCATTTCCATCATTCAACTTTCTTGATCCGAGCCGATTTGACTGAGCTACGCTGGAACAGCTAATGTGTCAATTCTTGAAAGACAGACCCTGCGAATGTCTCCGTCTTTCAAACTTTTGGACGCTCCCATTCCAAATGGTCAAATGAAGCGTGAAGTTTTTATTAGATGAAAGTGATCAGCATGCTCGAGAGCAATCTTCTGACCAATTTTCAAGTTGGAGGTGGGCAACTTCGGGGCGGTGGGCCGTCCACTCTTACGCTCCCGCAGTTCATCGCCTCTCCTACATTTGGGCCGCCCCGCATTTTAAATCTTCACAATGAAGCCTGTGGTTTTTAAATGAATAACATTGATCAGCATGTCCTAGAGCACCTTGTGTGAAAACTTCAGGTTCGAGAGGGGGGAATCTCAATATCAAGGTTTGATGTACAGTGTTCATGCATTTATACAAGAGGTGTCCCGCCTTTTTAATTTCCACCTCTTCCTCCTCCCGCATCTTGCTCTTCCTCCCATTCTCAACTGTTGGTCCATCCAAGTATACAACTACCACCTGTGAACGATTGACCTGCTTCAACCCATCCATGTCAATCCTACGCTTGTCTTGATCCGATTGTCTTTGACTGAATGACAAGTGCATGGTGTGTACTCAACCTTCTTGTCACTCTTCTACAACCCACGAGTCCCTTGACACTACACACTCTCTTGCACGCTCAACTGCTACAATCAAACGCGACAGCATTCTTTCCAGCAGTTGCTATTCGCTCCATTGTCTCAAGCAGCGTTCACAACCTTGTCATTCTATTACAGCACACGCTCTTACACGTTCCTCTGCCACAACCAAACGTAACAGCAATTGCCATTAGCAAGGTCTTTACATTGTCTCAAGTTACCTACAGCAACCTGCATTGTGGCCTTTATTACGTGAACAGAAGGCAGCCATTGTATAAAAGCAACTTTATTTACGTGTTTCAACTTGCTTTGGTGCATACGGATTCCAATGGACGATGTCTTGTCAGCTATCAAGTACGCTGCAATACAAGCAATCCACACCTGGTTGAGCTGCGATAGACAATGACCAAAAAGAGATACGTAGACCAACAGCCGGATGGAAAAGGAAGCAGATCAGCAGCAATCACAGGGGCGCTCTTTCTTATTGGACTTGGAATGGTTATGGATGGATGGATGGATGGATGCAATCAAGTGCAGTGATGAGATATCCTGGAATGTTGCTTTCGTTGCTTGTCGCGTCGTCAGCAAGAGCTATGGATCATGCCACGTGGAAACGTCTGAGGAGGAGGATGGATTGGATGGGATTGAGAGAAGTCCTATATCTTTGACGAAAGAAGGTGTCTTACAGCAATGCATGATACTGGAATTCTCAAGTCAACGCATGCAGCAGCTATTTTACAATCATGGATGAAGGGTGTTTATGACGGCAGCAATCAAGAACACAATGACACAATGATCCCTTATACTCTATGTGATTCACCCGTACCTTATTCAATCCCCAATGCTGCTCCTTTACCATGTCCTATTCTTCGACTTTCATTGAATGTAAATTGTATTCAACACAATGATTAAAGTATCATACCATCAGCTCACATGTGCAAGATGTGGATCACTTGGTTGGCTTCTGGATTGAAAGGGGTATCAGAAATTTGAAGATAGGAAAGCGAGATTGGATTTGGATCATTTACATCATCGCATATCGAGATGCTTTTTTATTCTTTTGTCACAACACTGTTACATCATCCACTAAAGCTTCCTATATTACAAGCTGATACATAGTAGTAGTGGAACGGGGATCCGGGACATTTGGATTGCAAAGATACTATTCGAAATTGATCATGTATGTTCAACATAGTGCTTGTTACATAAGCATGGTTCATTGTAATCTTAATTAATCCATCATGTTCAAGAAAAAGTGAGCTATGATATGTACAATATGGCACGAGTTCGTGAAAATACCACGCCTACCTACAACAATGTTCAGCTAACGCTATCTCATGCAACCCTATAAATAAGAAGCAACCATTCCATGCGTGCTATCATCGGCGGATAGGCAGACAGGAGAAGGATCATTATGCATTTCTCCACCAATAAGCATTCACCCTTCCAGTTACACAAACACGTCCCTCTTCATCCTTGGCTCGACATGGCCAAGCTACTTGACAATGAACAATGACCACATTTCATATAGCATCAAGAAGCTTACAGCGTTGGTAGCAACCACATACCCCCCCCTCCATAATAAAATCATTACGGTAATCCACATTTTCCATATGAGCAAGCATGTAGTGTGAACGATGCAAAGATGTTCAAGTTCGAGAGCACAAATAGGTTTCATTAATTGGACCTGTGGGATAAATAAAAAGTAAAAGTGGGATGTTGTGGGTAATACATCCTCATGATATCAATCTACAATCGAGTCTATCCATCCATTCTTCAGGTATCGTTGGAATTGTGTCCCTCTCATTGCCATTCTTTTTCCTTTCTTCTCGCAACTTTTGGCATATGGCATCAGCCAAGCTCTGGTTTTCTTGGGCGGGAGATGCTTGATCATCCCAACAACATGATGATAATGCTGGATTCTTTTTACTCCATCCTCGATTGTTCGGAAGGTAAAAGGGTAGCATGTAACGTGAATCCCGTTTTTCTTTGATCCATTCTTGTGAGCAGTCGTCAATACTTTCTCCTGGCATGGATGGTGAGAGGGGTGACATTGGATAGTCATCTTGGCTATGACGCGATTTGATATCAGCAGACTCTGCCGTGGTTGTTATTGACAAGGTTGTTGTTGTTGTGGTGGTTGTGCTGTTATTTTTCTTTGGTTCACATGTAGTAGAAGGTCGTCGTCGAATGCTATCATTGGCCATCTGGATTGCATACTTTTCCACTTGATCCGATAATCGCGTTTCAGATACCTCGTAACGATAATGCACAACACAGCGTTTGATTTGTAATGGATTAAGCAATTCAAACGTTTGGATGGTGTTGGTGAATACGGTGAGCTCGTTTAGCTGTGAAATGCATTGCAGCAATTGCAATAGCTGTACCAAGGGTTCAAAGGAGGATGTCAAGTGGCTCAAGGGCAGCTGTCGTTTTTCATCATCACGCATCCATTCTTCCAAGGCCGTTAAATTCATGCGGATTTGTAATGCCTTGGATCGACACAAGTATTTCTTGTTGCCGAGAATACGATTGAAAAGCTCACATGAGAGGAAATGAAGGAATTGTGCAGTAGCCTGGATGATAATAGCTGGATGGACTTCGTAGGATTGCAGCACGTAGAGGATGCTGGATAGCAAAGAAATGATGGTTTGGGGCGACATTGTACATGAAGGTGTTTGAGGTGGTGGTGATGCAGCTGCTTCAATAACGGAACGACGATGGATGGATCGGCCACGTCTGAAAAATCGTTGCCAGTCATCTGAAAAATGGACGTTTTCGGTAAGGCATTCTAATGGCTCGTGATCCAGCATGGCAGGTTCAAGGATTTGATCGATGCGTTGCTCCGAATCCAACACAAGCAAATTATAGGTCTCACAAATCAATTCGGATATCGTCAACTGGTACTCAGCCGTGGCAACGACAAGACCCGTATCCTTTTTAAGGTAATAAAGAAGCTGTGATAAATTGGTCATCCAAAATGCAAGCGTATGAATATCACGTCGATTTTGCTACATAAAAGAGAGAAAGAGAGAGTTAGTTTCCATGGATACCACCATTGTTTCCATGCAACGAACCTTGAGCACATGTTCTATCTTTTCAACAGCTGTATGCAGCAAGCGGTGTAGCAGATCCCTGCTAGAGTAATAGTGGGCAAATCGTGCACTGAGAAAGATAATGTTGGCGGGGACCCATATCTCATGTTGTGTTTCCATGGGTAATCGAAGTCGTGTAATGGCCGTTTCAAGTATATGCTCTGTATCTTCTTCGCTGAATACAAACATTTGATCAGGCAAGCATTTATCCCATTGAAATTGATGGATGGATTGTAGGCTTGCTTCACATTGTTCAAGGTCGTCATCATTATCGCCATCGTCGGATGATGCTAACGTATCCTCTGGATCCGATGATGCTTTATTAGGAGGGTGCTCTTTTTGCTGTTGTTCGCTTGTTGTTGATTGAGCCTTTGGTGAAGATGGTATTTTGAGTACGCTGCTGCATGCTGATTCATGATGTGTTGTGTGGTTAGGTGAAAAGATGGTTTTCATCTGCTCATTTTGGGTATCAATGTAATCGACCACGGTACGTCCGCATGCGGATTGTGTTGATGACGATGCTCCATGTGCCAAAAGCATTTGTACAACGTTGCTGTGATTATTGCTTGCCGCCCACATCAATGCAGTCCATCCCCCTATGATCATTTAAGGTTGTATGTAAATATATGCAATATCTCTCTTTTTGTTCAAAATCGTGTACACTTACGTTTATCTTGCACGTTACTATCAGCACCTGCATCCAACAATACTTGAACAACTTCCGCTTTACCAAAACAGGCAGCATAAATTAACGGGGTGATGCCATCCTGTTCATCATCGGGGGCATCGACATCAAGAAAGGGGCGCAATCGAATATCGGTAAGAATTTGTTGGACATTGACAACGTTTCCTTTTGAAGCCGATCGGCAAAGAGCTCGGCTTACTCGTCGTCGCCATTGTCGTTGGTGGATTTGTTGCTCATCTTCTTCTTCCTCATCCTTATTATTGTTGTTGTCGTTATCATGATGGTGGTTGTGATGGTCGTCTTCGTCATCATAATCCAAGTCCACAGGTAAAGGTTGATCGGTTGTCATGGGAAACATGCCAGCATGGCTAATGGTTGTTATGGGTGTTGCCACTGTACTTAGCGTGGACATAGAGAATCCTGATGATGTCGATGACCAAGAGTATACATTTCTTCGCTCCTTCTTTTGTACTTCTCCATCGCTGCTATTTTCTCCAGGCGAGGGTGATGGTGCTGTGACGATTAGCTCTGTGGTTGGTAGCCGTTGCCTACGTCGTTGATCATGCTCGCCTGGTAATGCTGTATCACTACATCGACGCTTATTGCTGCTACTCGTGGTGGCTGTTGGTGATACTACTAGTGAGCTGTTGATGTGTAGGTGATCACTACCACTACTGCTCATCATTATTGTTGACATGGTGCACTATAATTTTGTGGTTGCTGACAGCGGTAACACTGTACACAAAGGTTGTAATTGAGAAAAAGGAAAAAGAGAAAAAAAGAATGGATTGCTGAATTGTGTGGGGGACATGTCAGTACATGTATCGTGCCGTTTCTCCTTTTCTGCACGCCTTTATCCGTCCTTAAGGGGTAGTTTGCCTCTCATCAACCATCACCTTTTTTTCTTTCCTCCCAATCCACATTCAACCCCCTTGGCTCCTTTTTTTTTACCCTTCCCTTCTTTTATCCCTTCTTATCGAGTTTTCTTTTATTGCCACCACCACATTACCAAGGATGCTAATCTTGTCAAGTTGTATGTGTATGTGTATGTGTGTGTGGATCGTATACTGCACCATGATGATTCCCGTGGCAGTTGAAACTAGCATTTCGTTAGGCTAGTGCATGTGATACATTGGGTGAGAGAGAGAGAAGACTAAAGCCCAGGATGATTTTAGACTCGCCGAGATTCCACCATTGACAAACTATTATCATGCTACTTCTTATATGCAGCATTTTAATGCAAAGTATTAGCATGTACAATATCCCATTTATTTCACGCCAATCAATATATACAAATTGCCCTTATATGTTGCATCATGCAATTGGTAATGATTTAATCAAAACGAGTGGTATATGGCTATATGCGTGTAACAGTAGTGAGTGAGTGAGTGAGTGAGTGGCAATTAGAAACTCAACGCATCGTCATCACCGCCACACACGCCACGACAATTCTCGTCTCCGCACGCGTGCGCGCTGCTTGTCTGTCATTTCTTGTTGGTGCTGCGTCGCTGCTTTACCACCTTGACACAATGCCAATTACAGCCCACCACGTCAATCAGGTAAAAGAGGAGATCCTCACCCCTTTTGGGAGACCTTCGAAGAGATAGGGTGTTAACGACAAGTGATCCTCTTTAGAACGGCGAGCTGATCTATACGATTTCGACCCCTGAACTCAATGTGGTGGAACAGCAAACGTGGAAGGACATTAAGAATGAGCCAGAGCATATTGAATTGTACCAGTACTTTTATCACGACGATCCACGACTGACGATTGAGCGAAAGTCGATCAACAAAAAGTTTATCCAAAACAAGATCCAATCCATGGTGCTTGACAATATCACTCAGGGCAATTGTAAGTCGATTGGGTTACACGAGCATGCACATACACGTACTTACATCAGCGTAGATGATGCTGCCCTGGATCTCCTAGACAACATGGTGGCCTCTGAGAGAAAACCAACAGCGTAAGTTCTTTTTCATGGGAAAAAAAGACGACTCGTATTGATTGGCCTCCCGCTGATGGTAGGTTGATGGTATTGCATCTCTTTGATATCATTCTTCGGCCTCAGCAAGATTATGGTACCGTCAAGCAGCTCATGAACATGTGCGAAAAGGCTCAGCGGATCCTGCTCTATATATTGGAAGTCTTTGGTGCTGGTGTCTTTGATTGTGTATGGAACATGTTTCGAATGCATGGTGTCACCCGTCTCGGAAAACGACGCCATGTCCAAATGCTAGCCGAGTTTGAAGATGAAGATGAAGAGCCATACGAATGTTCCTTGACTGAATTTGATGATCTATGGGACCTCACAGCAAGAGCCATTGAATACGTTGAACCACGCTTCAGATCAGGTGCCGATAGGAAAGAACCTTCGATGGATGCTCCCGGTGGCAAATTGGTAAGAGAGCAAGAGAGAGAGCGATTAAGTGAGATCCCTTTTCACTCATATCATGAGCAATTAGCGTCGACAACAAGCCTTGGATGTTATCATTTCAGTCCTTGAAGCGGATATTCGGAGTCGTAAAGGTATGCCATTGTTGGCGATATAACAAAAGGATGGGAGAACTCATCACTTTTGGGTTTTAGAGAGTGCAAGTGCCATTACACAATGCATGTTTATGAATATGTTACGGCCGGATAGCACAGGAAGGAGGACGCAGTTTGATCGATACTTGGACATCATATTCAGCGCATTTGGATTGCATGACGCAAAAGATGAGGATGATACATCACAAACGAAGGACGCATCAAGTGTGGGTTTCGCTGGACGATTACTCGACATGGCAAGTAGTCAATGCATTCTTTTTGTCTTAAGCAACCATGTCCTAACTCCCAATGTAGATGGCGATTCTATCCTGCTGTCAAAATGCAGTAGCTGCCAAACCACTTGCCCAACAGACATTTCGACGATTCACCAAACTGGATATTGATGGCTGTGCCACTTTGATGCAGGTAATTGGATTTTCAAAAGACATCCAAGTGGAGGGATTGTTGACCCTCTTTTTCTTTTTTAGGTGATCCAATGCACAACATTTCTTGCCACGCTCTGTGATATGCACCTAAGCGATTCCGATTGTTCAAAAGTGCCTGAGAAATGCAAAGTACTACGAAAGGCATCGATTTACAACCTTGACAAGTTGTTCCGTTTCAATCTTTGGACCCGACCCTTGTATCTTGACGAGCTGAGTGATGTTTATCGGCATGTTCTTATTATCTATTGGCGTTTTACGACATTTATCCACGAGCGATTCATGCGATTTGAGGTGCGGAGTAGCACTGACAACGTTGTACACAACAAGGTGCTGACAGCATTGACGGATGAGCAACGAGAACGGATCATTGTCAGTACAGCGGATGCTAGTGAGAAATGGCATCAACATGTTGAATCGATGATTGAGGATGCGCTTTCCATGGACCCTGATCAAGAAGATGCTGAGATGCTTACACAACAAATACGGCAAACCGCAAAGCTACTGGTGATGGAATGGGAAGTTTAAAGCAGTTATATATATACCACACACACTCTCTCTCTACTTTTTACAATAACGTTCGCTACACACAATTGTATTTTTTTTATTTGGTACATACATACATGCATACACTATTATATCAACTATTTTCTTCTTCGTCTGCGGTACTCAACCATTCGATGAATTTTGCACTCTTCTTTTTCAAATCGCTCCCTTCTGGCAAGATCTCATACCAGCCAAGATACACTTCTTCATCCACTAGATCGCAATCATACCATGTCGAGAGGGCAATCGCTGTTTTGGAAATCATATCGGGTGCGCGCTGCGTCACAAACTTTTCCCAAGCCTTCAATAACGTACGCTGATCCGTGGTTGTTTTCACAAACTATATAAAGGAGCGTTGAGTTTGACATCAACACAGCTGCAGCAGGGTATGCATGCACACTTACCGTTTTGAAAAGTGAGATGCGTGATTTCAAGGTATGTCCAACGCCTGAAGGGTTATCTTGAAGCAAGCTTGCCAAAAGGATATAAAGGAGTTGACGTTTTGATAAATCATTACGCATTTCAAGCTTGGTCACCTCTTTCACATCACTGGAGAGCTTGTCTTGTCGGCCTTCTTCTTGGATAAATAGCTTCTTGAGATCTTCAATAAGCGCTTCTTCCTGAGCTGATTTCACGGGTGTTGATGAAGGAGGGGAATTGGATGATGGAGGAGTGCTACATAAAAAGACACAAATGAATAAAAAAAACCCCCATCTTCCAATCTCACACTATCGAAGACTTACATCCTAGCCTGTTCTTCCTTTGATAAATGTACAATCTTCATCCATGACTTGTTGGTTTGCTATATAGTCTCTATATTAGTATCATCGGATCCATCTACCTCTTTTCCTCTTTTTCATTACCGAAATGCGTCCATTCATCAAATCTTGCAGGGGGGTTGCTGGCTTTTGTTCCACAGATAAAGTTCTTGGTCGTTGATGATGTTTTTCTTCTTTATAAGAAACCACAGGTTTGAGTTCCTCCAAAGAAAATGATGCTGCACCTGCAGGGCTACTATGACGAGCCCGGCGTATGCCACCTGCCGCTGATGTCTCCATAGGACCCAGCTGCTGCTGCTGCTGTTGTTGTTGTTGATAATGATGTTTTTGTTGTTGTTGTTGCTGTTGTTGGGGTGGTGGTCTGGATATCGAATCTTCAGTACGTCTGGAACCATTGTTGTTGTTGTTGTTATTCGATGTTGGACGTTCCTTAAGTTCATGCTGACCATGAGCTACATAAATGATGGATGATGTTGAGTTAACCCATTCCCACCATGCGTCCTTATTGCACACTTACCAAAATGACATTTGGGCCCGTATTGGCAAAAGTTATCCTTCATGAAGCGTTCGCATAACTTGGTCTTGTACAATGGGTTCTTATCATTGGTCGTGGCTCCCGACTTGGCAACCGGATCTTCTTCGGCACCAGTGCGTTCACGTAACTCGGCAACACCATGAGCAAACGTACATTTGGATCCATAAGAACAGCTGCCTTCAGTCTCAAATCGCTCGCATAGACGTGTTTTGTACCATGGATTGTCAGTTGCCTGGTGGTGGTGGTTACTGGTATTGGAAGAGGTGGTTGATTCAGCCGTCGTTGTCGACATTGTCGTTGTCGTCTGATGTTGTTGCTGTTGTTGCAAAGAACGGCGCTGAGGGGCCAATGAACCACGTGATTGGAGAATATTGCGCTGTGAACCTGCATTGTTGTTCAAACGACCATCGACACGATGATGGTGATGGTGATGATCATGATCATGACGTCGGGATTGATAGCGTTGCTTCTTGTTCTCGATAAAGTGTTGTGCATGTTTAAAGACTTCTTGCATGCTCTTGAAGATGACTTTTTCTGAAGCAGTTGATAGATTGCACCATTGAATATGGACACCGTCGGCATTTGGGAGCACTCGAGCATGGTTGTCAAGAATTTGAGCCAATCGGTAAACCACTTTTTTGGGCCTAACATGTTAAATTAGCATATGCATACATACATACCAATGTATCCTTCCTCTCATTCTCATTTGCTTACCTGGTACCAGACAAATAAGTAAGGCCAATAGTAAATCCTTCCTCGATTCGAAGATCTTTGGGACTAAGTCCTGTGGTTTCAAATGCTTCACGCAAGGCACATCTTTTATATATAGGTAGGTATACAGGTACATGATCAACAATAGGGTCGTCGTCGAGTATCTAAAAGATGCTTACTTTACTTCGTCCTCTTGACCAATCACCTGTCCTTTAGGACAAAACCAATGTTTCTTGTTCGTGAACGAGTCGTTTAATAACAAATATTCAACGTTTCTCTGCAACCGATATATCAAGAGTCCAGCGTATAAGTTGTTCTGAGGAGATCGGTCCATGTGGTAACGCAAGAATGCAAAGATGATTTAGAGCAGCGGCAACAGATCAGACGGCAGATGGCGTTGTGTGCTTGAGAATTGTCAAGAATGTGTTGCTATGCTTGTAAGAAACGACTGCAAAGCTTAAAAGGTGTGTTGTTTCAATTCCAAGTTGCACGCACACACTCACGCTCCTCCCTCCCATTCTCACTCTTTTCAAGAACAGCTGCGGCTGCAAGTGACCACACATACAAATGCATGACCGTGGTATTCCTCTCCTCTTCCTCCTCCCCTCATTGTGCCCCATTTCAACATGGCCTCCTCCTCCCCTTTGCTTGTTGGTGAACTGATGAGTGTGCGATCGTTGAACAACTTGCTACGGGCAATGAACACCAAGAACGTACGCGATCAGTGTGACAAAAGAAGAAGCTTCTCTCTATTTTACTGACACACGTGTGTGTGATATAGGTCGCCACATGTCATATATTGGATGAAGGCATCACATTCACCGTTATGGAAGGTCGGCACGTCAAAATGGTGGCCTATCTCAAGCGTAATCTCTTTGAGACCTACCGTATCCAAGCCAGCAGTGATCCCATACAACCGTTTGGTGTTGCCATCGGCACAATGCTTGACTGCCTAGGAATACTGATGCCTGCTCCTGGTGAAAGCGTGGATGCTTGTAAAATTCGTTATATGGAACCAGGCCAACCCGTTGAATTCACGTATGTTTATCTATCTCTTGACATTGGCTGGTGCTTTGGTGGTGAAGTTATTAACACGAGAGAGCTCTTTCTTTCTAGGCGAGAAGATCCAGATCATGAAGTACGATGCAGCCTTGTCACCCTTGAACCCGAACTCGATGATGAATCTCTCACACTAAGCAGCGACATTCAACTTCGTGCTATCATGCGGGTAAGTTTTCCAGCGTTATGAACGCGATTGAAATCTTAAATTGATCTATCATTAGTCTTCAGCTTTGAATGATGCCCTGGGTGATTTGGACAAGTCATGTGACCGTATCACATTCAAATTCTCCCCTGAAAATCCACAATTCTACCTAAAAGGAGAGAGCGATCAAGGCATGTACGAGGTAAGTTACAGCATGATGGTAATAATAACAAGGATACTGATCATAGGTCATGCAGATTGAATATCCGGGTTCTTCAGAGACCTTTATTAGTTTCCAATGCGAAGGAGACGTCATGCACTGGTAAGTTCATGCATATGACTATGGTAGCACATGGGGGAGAGGAAACTGATGACCATGAATGAATCATACATAGTTACCATTACTCCCATTTCATGCATTGCAAAAGAGCATTAGAACAATCGGATGAGGTGTCGATACGTGTATCTCAAGATGGCGTACTATGCTTGCTGGTAAGTACCATCCCACACTCTTTATGATGGTGGATGCGATAAAAGACTCATTGGGTATCATCATGTACTTTAGTTTCGACTCCAAAGCTCCAATCGAGAAAGCTACGTAGAATTCACGGCAAGTATTATTGACATGACGCTTTTATTTAGCAACATGGATGGCTCATACTAAGGAATTACGATAGATCCTGCCTTATTCTCAGCCTGATCAAGATGATGAGGAGCATGTGAGCGATCACTGACATCATTCGTAACACGAAATCTCTTGTTCTATATAAGCCTTTGCGAGCATTGTCCTTTTTCTTTTTGCATCTTTGGTCCTGTTCAAAAAGCAATGAAGGCGGAGCAATCCATGACAGCATCAACACCACGACGACCTCCTTTTCCAGCATCTTTTTCATCCTCTTTTGCTGGATCGGTAATTGCAACAACCCATATTATTGTATATTTTTCTTTTCATTAAACGCGCATGATACTATTATCGTATAGCAATATTTTGATGCCATCGATGGAACTGTTCACTTTGATGGGTACGATGCTTAAGGGACACTTTTGATCATTCCTATTGACTCGAATGTTATTATAGATATGAGCTACTATCGGACATTCATCGATTTATTCATTTTGACCACAAGACCAAGGTACTCGTTATCACCACACATGATATGATATCATGTCCCGAATCCTTCTGGATGGTAGGTAACATCATGGGTTACAGGAGGGTGAATGAATGGGATTTACAGAGTAATGTTTGGTGTACGTAGGATATGGCAACCAAATACCCGGCGACCCGATTCACATTCCTCGTTGATATGCTCAGGCCTCTACAACAACCCAACAATGTTCGTTTTCAGACAGGCCACTTGAAGGATTTGCATGATGATACCTTTGACTTGATCCATTTTCAACGACCTTTGGCAATGAGAGAGCTCGATGATGTTATTGCCCTATCGAAACCTGGAGCTTGTGTGCAAACAGTACAATTCCAAATCAAGGTATGTACATTCAACTCGTCTCTATATGACCACGTGATGAATAACCATGTGCGTACATGCATAGGTGCAAAATGGAGAATTGATCCCCTCACGTCCTTTTACGCCTCATATCCATAACAGGTTGCATCTCATTCGTGGCTCTACGCGATGGTACAAGCTAGGTACGTACATGTGTGTAAAACTTGAGAAGGTTGTATTCAATCCCTCTTTTCCAAAAAATAGCTGAAGCAAGAAGGCGCGATCCAGAAGGATACGAGCAGTTGATGCGATTGATGAAGCAAATGCTTGAAAAGTTGGATGAGGAGGATTTACGAAAACTTGGGAGAGATGGAACAGGACAACAACATGTTGTAGAATTCGGTCAATGCGTTATGCTTTTAGAACAACTTTCTTAGAAGACCACTTTATTCCCCCACACTGTATGCTTGATGATTGAGAAGAAAAAAAAACAACTATTTGTGATGGCACACTACTACTGCTGTTGCTGCTGCTGTTTTTGTTGTTGGATAATGGAAAAAGTGTCATGGATTGGTATATATGTGTTGCTCATTTTGTTGACATGTCGTTCATGATCCAAGGGAGTGTGTGTTTATCCAACCCAACGATGTCCACAATTGCGATTTCCACAAACATAGAATAAAGTCATTTTTGCGTCGGCTCTACGTGATGTCGATTGGAAAAACACGGATTCTTCATAGCCACATCTGGGACAAGGTATGTTGGACCGAGGCTTTACAAGGTGATGTATACATAAGCAAGCCATGTATAAAAGAAAATAAATGCACCTTACTCACCAATGTTGGATCAACGCTCAATTCTGATAACACGGTTGTTTGCTCTCTAAAGCATAGAGTAATGTGTTACTAAAAGCAAGCGATCCATACATAACTCGTGTCAACGTACGATGCTGCGTGTATAATCTCGTGCTTGTAAACACATAGATTGGATGCGTCTTCCTCATATTGACAATTCCGGCATGCGAAGAGTAGCTTTCTGTGCTCCTTGTCCTCCCGAGGATACAAAAGGTTGTTGCTTGAATTATAGAGTGAGATCAAACCAACAATGGCAGCCCATGTCACTTTACCAGTCGAGGCAGTATTTAAAAGTGGCCATAAAGAAGAACAAAAGAAGAATTGGGAAACCGGGCGTAAGATCGGAGCCAATTTCATTCATCCCGCAACATTGCACGTGACCGTTTCCATGCAAGACCTCTTCTCCATGGACTGGCTGCTGCTGGTGGATGATCCATTCAAGGTGGCCCCAATGTAACTAGGTCATGTTGCCATGCAGTGTCAAAAGAGTATTCATTCATGCAGGCGAGACAGCATTCATAGATTGATTCAAGCACGTAGGTACACACCTCCTCCTCCTCCTCCTCCTTAAGGGTCACGTGGCCCATCGTTGCCAGCGGAGACCACGTCACTTGAACAAAGTAGCAGCTCGCTTTCCATAGACCTCTTTCTGATTTCTAGCCAACCTCCTCCCTCCCATTCGCCGTCGCCATGGCACTTCCTAAACGCATCATCAAGGTAAGCTCCGATGGGAATGGGAAATAAAAGAGACTGACCTTTTCTTAGGAAACAGAGCGCTTACTCGCCGAGCCTGCACCTGGCATTAGTGCTACTCCTCATGAAGACAATTTGCGTTACTTTGACGTCGTCATTGCCGGACCCACCCAATCACCATTTGAAGGTATGGAATGAATAGGATGCCCATGTGTCAATGAGGGAAATGGGAAATGGACTGAAATAGGGATATGGCTGTAGGTGGTGTGTTTCGCTTGGAGCTATTCCTTCCAGAAGATTACCCCATGGCTCCTCCCAAGGTGCGCTTCTTGACCAAGATCTACCATCCTAATATCGATAAGCTTGGCCGAATCTGCTTGGATATCCTCAAAGGTATGTGCTTTTGTGTATATACATGTCTCCCCACTCATCGAATCACTCTTTTAGATAAATGGTCACCTGCTCTCCAAATCCGGACGGTGCTCTTGTCGATCCAAGCACTGCTATCAGCCCCTAATCCTGATGATCCTTTAGCCAATGATGTCGCTCAACATTGGAAAGAGAATGATGAAGCCGCTATTGCAACAGGTATTTTTCATCGGGGGTCATTGGATCATATTCCCTTCTCTAATGCCTTTTTTCTTTTAGCACGCGAATGGACTAGGATGTATGCACAAAACTAATAGCATGCGAGAACACAAAGAACAAATAAATGGCATACCTTAAACAAATTAGACATATCGTATGTGTGGATGAATATTAAAGGAGGATCATTTATTACTATACTATACTATACTATACTATACTACTGCTAATGATCAATGGGGAAGAAGAGGACGCCATCGACCATACACGACGCCTCCATGATACCATGCCAGCATGGCAACGATGATTAATATCAACACAATGGATGCAAAGCTCATGTACCGATTCCACTTTTGAAACATTTCATATTCTTGCTCGAGTCTTCTAGCCCAGCTCGTGCGTGATCCAGGTATATCCGGTAATGAGGTGGATACGACTCGCAAGGTGCTGTTGCTCGAATAGTGTTGCTGCTGAGGAACCCATAACACGCGAGAAGAGATACGTCCATTGGCTAATAAGGAAGGATGAACCGAAATTAAATTGTAGTGTGCTTGGTATCCCTCTTTGGTGGGTAATAGCGATGGCTGTTGTTGTGGTTGTTTACGTAGTAGAAATGCACCCACCCACCAGCATGGAAAAAAGAGAAACCCGAAAAGAAATAGCAAGGATTGTGTATGAAAAACAGGGACCGGTGATGAACATGCAGGCGAGGAGGATGATAAATACGTTGCAGGAATCTCAATGGATAGTTGGTGCTGCATCGTATTCTCTGAACTACTTGAAGATGAAATGGTCACTGGTCGTGCAAAATAACATACTCGAGGTGAAATCGCTTTTCGTTGATATGATATAGGGTAGGTGCATCGGCGTCGAAATCGTTTACCATTGGTAGTGGTAGTGGTAGTGGTTGTGTTGGTGCTGCTGCTGCTGCTGGTTGTACTAAGCGAAACACTGCTACTACGACGACGACGATGATGATGATCGAGATAATGATAGGTTGTTGGCGCCCATGTATGTTGACGAGCACCCATTATGGATCAAGAAAGAAAAGAAACAAAATATGCATGCCCTCTGATCCATTGTTTGTGTTTCTGGTGAAATGCGAACAGACCATTTTGATCCTCATGCCAAAGCTCAAGGGGGTGATGGTGGTGGTAAGAAAGGGGAGATACAGTTCATGTCAATCATTCTTCTGTGCTCTACATACTGTGGGTAGGTCATTCCAATGCCCCTCCCCTCCTCCCCTGCATTCCGTAGAAAAGGAGTCGAAAGGTGGAGTTTATTATGTAAGCTTAGGCTTGCTCATCTTTAAGGTCTAAAGTCATAGCCACTTTCGACGGAGGATATCATTAATCACACGCTATTCGTTTAATGCCGACAGCAGTAGTAGTAGCATAACGTTGTGGCCTTGGATATGGTTTGACGAGGACTCTCAGTGACCCCACAAAGAAAGGGAGCATGTAATTAGCAAACTAATAGATATTTGACGCAACTTGCTACCACTCAATGTCAATGACATGCTGCTGCTCATGGGAGATCTCATCACTCTGTGGACGGGGAAAATACCATTTTACTTCGGGATGTTTTTGGGTGCCAAGTCGGTGCCTGTGGGAAATTTGAGAATGGTGTTACAGTATGATAAAAAAAGAGATGTGCAGTATCCGGGATCCTTAGTTTTTCTTTTTCTTCATACTATTACGTTATAAATGACAGCCGAAAAGAATACCACCCATGATGCATTTCGTCTTGATGGCAAGAATTGTATTGGTAAGTTGAGTCACATGATGCGTACGTAGTAAGGAGGTCGTCATCATTCATTCCTTATACTATCATAGTTACTGGAGGAGCTCGAGGTATAGGCCATGGTATTGTCCGTGCATTTGCACAAGCGGGAGCTTCCAAAATTGCCATACTGGATGTGCGTGATGAGTTGGGAAAAGAGGCAGCAAAGGAGGTGGGCAATGAGTTCCCTTCGTGTAAAGTCAAATATTACCATTTAGATATCAGCAATTTTGACGAGGTTGGTTTCGGCTGGAATGAGGATGCCTACATGGATACATACACTAAAAATGGGGAAACTTTATGACTAGGTGCAAGCCGTGTATGAACAAATCGAAGCCGACTTTGGTGCTATTCATGTCCAAGTGAGCAATGCTGGCATTGCCGAATACAAGCCTGCTTTGGAACATACACCCGAATCGTGGCACAAGATCATGCGAGTGAATTTGGATGGTACTTTTTGGACAGCCCAAGCAGCAGCAAAGTAAAGTATAAAAGGGTGGCATCGTCACCAACAACATCATCTAATAATAATACATAGACGTATGGTGAAACAAGGCAATGGAGGATCCATTATTCTTATCGGCTCAATTTCGGGTCATGTCATTAATCGACCTGATGCCCAACCTGGTATGACACATTACTGTGTTTCCAAAGGAGCGATTGTGCATATGGCCAAGGCTTTAGGAGTAGAATGGGCAGAATATGGTATCCGTGTCAACAGCTTATCGCCTGGCAACATTGTTACGCCTATTGCTCCATCCGATGACAAGACCGTTGCCTATTTCCGCCATGCTACACCCTTGGCACGTATGGGCACTCCCAATGAAATTGGTCGCCCTGCTGTTTATCTTGCCTCCGATGCTAGTTCTTTCCAATCATGTACGGATGTTCTCATTGGTAAGTGAACTCTTATAATAAGCATGGGCAAACAAACAACAACTCATTCTTTTATTCATTCATTGTAGACGGTGGTCTTTGTGCATGGTAGAGAGAGAGAATTTTTACAAGAATGAGCTGCTACCTGAACCAAACCGATTTCCTAATTCGCCAACCCTCTTCATCATTTCCTTCTTTTGTCGCTTGTCCATGGGTCGTGAGGTCTTTAAAAAGTCCTTTTCTCGATCAAAGGGTCGGCTGGTTACATCTTCTTGTTCCTTTCTCTTTCTTCCTCCCATTTCTCGGTGGATTTCCATCAAAGACTTTGATCGCTCTGTATTCTATGTATAACATCATTATGTCAATAAAGAAAAACAACAACGAATAGTAGCATACATACATTGTACTGCTGAACATTGCGTCGAATATCATCATCGTAACGAGAATGTACGGGTGGTAAGGGTCGAGAAGAAGAAGAAGAGGCATTGGTAGCAGCAGCAGCATCCTCACGCTCTTGTGCCCTTTGTTTACGTTCACGGTCTGCTGGTGTATCAGTCCACACGCTACGATCGCGTTCAGCCGTGCTCAAGCTGCTTTGATTGAATCCACGTGATCTTGACGAATCAGCTCATAAAAAAGTTGTCAGCATGTAACCCCAATCAACCCTGTTGCTGGATAGTTACCACCACGGAGATAATCGACTTCCGGCGGTACCAACATCCACTCGCCACGTTCAACTTTTTTGTTCTTGTCAGCATTCTTTGCCTATACATTTGGATATGAGCACCTTGCTACATCATGGATACCCCTCCCTACATACCTCTTCCATAGCTGTTTTACCACTTTGCAATCGTTCTTCCACTTCTTGGATAGTGGATTGCACCGCATCACGTTGAGCATCATAACCAGTAGGTAACACAGGGCCAATCGCGAAATCATCTTCATCCTCCTGCTGCCGTTGTTGAGAAGGTAACGAGGGTCCAACGGGTGCTCGTCTTCGACGTTGCTGTGGCTGTTGCTGCTCTTGCTTTTGTTCTTGACGTGCTTGTAAAAGATCAGGTGGCAACGCAGGCGTAAAGGCATCACTATCATCGTCGTCGTCGTCGTCGTCATTGACCGATTGGTGTTCATTTTGCTTTTGTTTCTCTGCCATCAAGTCGGGTGGAAGCATAGGACCTGCCATCTCGGCAGAAGAAGAAGGAGGTGAATGGGGAGGTGATGTTGACGGTGAATGGGGTTCATGGGTTGGCGACGATGCTTGCTTTTTTTTCTCCAACAACTCTTTTGGTATGGATGGACCGATCATTATGGGAAAGGGAGAGCTGAAAGAAATCTGCGATGACGTGTGTGACAATGCAATTATGTATGTACAAAAAAAAAGAGACTCCGTAAATCCAACACCCCCCCCCCATTTATGCAGATGCCCAGTTTAATGTATTCAACCGGAAGACCGTTTTATGAAATCAGTGCCAACATCAACAAAGGTTTCTCGATATAAATCCAATGCATCTTGTATCTTGGGATGATTCTCGGCGTCCATACGTTCAAGGTTGTAAGCAACAAGTTCAAAGGCTCGTTCATCATTTCCTTTTCTCTGTGAAAAATCTTGCAAGGTCGATTTCAACGCAATCGTCTGGTAATTGAGTAGGCCGACACTTGAATCTGTACTCGTGTTAGTATCCCACACAAAGTAAAGAATACAATAAACTTACATTCGAGTGCAATCACTCCCTCCAAAAAGAGAAGTGGTATATACTCCACAGGCGATCCTTCTGATGTCAACATGTCATACAAGACTTCCATCTTCTCCTCTGGACTCTATATAATCCCCTTTCAATACCTCATACATACCCCAAATTCGAACCCTTCCCTATACCTTTATCCTCTTCCATTCTTGAAATTGCAAATAGAATTGTGTCTTGGGTAAGCGCCAATCACGATCCAACTTCTTTGACTCCAAACCAGCAAATTCAACAAGTTGTCCTGAATAATTGGTATTATTAGTCAACACCATGCTGGCGGATGGCAGCAGATCGCTTACCAGTGATAGCATAATGTTGCATGGCGGCATCAGACACATATTCAAGAGCACTATATTCGCCTGCTACCAGTAGATATTTCACAGCGTTTGTAAAGCAGCTTGCTTCCATCTTATGGTCTTTGATAGTCTAACAGCAAAGGTTCAACAAAGATCCAAGGGAGCCATCCAACGTCTCGTTTACCTTGAATAATTCCTTCACTGCACGAGGATCATCATTTTCAATGCAATAATCAAGTAACCTCTGGATATCGGCTGGATTTGTTCGAGGCATGTGCTTGATGCTCTATATAGGGTTCGATCAATGTACCATCCAAAACCAATTTGTTCGCATTATTGATTACCTGCAACAGACCCACGTGTCGCTTCTCCTTGCAATAACATGTGTCGAGATAATCAAGGCTGTACTGCCACAATTCGGGTTGTGCGGCCAACTCACGTGTGTGCATGAGTAACACCAAATCATGGAAGCTTAATGCAATGTCCTTTTTCGAGGAGGGGGATGGTAGGTGAACAATGGTATCGCCCACGTAGCGCATGCCGATCAAGTCAAACAGGTAAAGGATGTGTGTCAATAGCCACCAATCAGCGTGAGGAAATGACTCGAGTGCTTCACAAATCCTGCCTTGAAGCATCCATGCAAAAGCATTCACACTTCGTTCGTCGATTTGATGTGCATCGCATCGTGAAATCGTGATCCGCTTTGCAATTTGTTGAATCTCGTCAAGTGAAGCGAGTGCGTCATGATAAATGAGATAGGCCACAATGGCTTCGGTCGATGTATCAGCATGCTTAACAATCGTTGGTCCATCACCACGTAATATCGAGAGTACGTCTAGCAATCCTTGTTGTTGTTGATTTGACATTGCGACCTGCGCCTGACGATGTATTGAATCCAGCTGCTGATGCCATTGTTGTATATCATGTGCGAATTGTTGATGGGCGTCGGTTGAATTATGGGATGGTATGATAGGTGCATCGTGGAGCATTTTGGCGAGCATTTGTAAGGCTGGGTCCGTGGTATTGAGTCGTTGAATGAATTGATAGGCATCCTCCAGTTTCCTCCGTAAGACCAATCTAGCATTGCATCCCTTAGTATTACGATCCTTAGCATAACAAAGAAGCCTTACTTGCACATCATTGGCCAAAATTTTGGATGAAGCCATGGCGTAGGATGACTGTAGATGTCCTGGATGTCGTATTTCAGGTAGGCTACATCGATCGATTCCCATTAACAACACACCAAAGACAAACGCGTCGTATCATCATCACTGCTTACATCGATCAATCTTGTTTATCAATGCCAATAACTTGATGCTCTTGACCTCTTCTGCCTCCTGACCAAAGTAAAGGATCTCGCATAGCTTCCACAGGTTGTATTTTTGTTCAAACATCTTGATCTCTTGGTACGCGCTGAATCCAGAATGCTGCAACACATGTTAAAAAGCTGTATAATAGAAACATGGATATAGATAGACACATACCGCCATTAAATCAGTGAAACTTTGGCTACCACGTAGACTAGTGATGTACTCATCCATATAGGCTGTAAACGTCTCTGAGCTGCCAAGAGGTTGGATCGCATTGTCGACGGTCGAGCGCATGGCCCTGAATTGTATTGCCGATCGTTCGTAAAGCTACAAAGTGTAAATGTCAACCTCGATTGACTCGATCCAAGCAATCATGTGTTTCCAATTTACCTTCCATCTCTCTGGATATGTGTTTTCGTGTGCTATACTCTCGAAACACTGATACAAGTCATGCATAGTACAAAGGAAAGAGGAGGGAGGAGACACAGCCTAGAGATCCCCCGACTGCCAAAAAATGACCGGACGTTGAAGTACACCACGTCAAGAATGAACACACACATACGTACATCCACCATACACCTTCAAGCAGTTGAGCAAAGAATGCACTTTAGAACAAAGAGAATAAAACAATGGGATGGCTTTATTTACACGTGCATTCACCAGCAATGACAATGACTGAGATGCGCTGCTGTATACAGCTATAATACATAATGTCATACCAAGAGCTGCCCACCTACATTATAGGATGTGTAACGTTTATATGAGCAAATGAACACAATAATGAACACCTTTGTTGACAGCGTCAGGAACGAGCTCTTTTTTCTTCCATGTCGCACCCACTACTGTGAGAATTATAGTTTCATTACGCTCCCATGTTGGTAGCATAAAGCACCTGTTCGCGACGTACACAGAATACGAGGCTCTCATAGAGTATGTCGCTTGAATGCAATAATTTATACATAAGCCTTAAGCATTTGAGGCGTCGATCTTTATAACTTGCGAATCATTCTCGTGGATCAACACCTTACCATGCATACATACCATGTTTTGCATTTTCAACAAGCATGCGATTTCTAGTTTAGTATAGCAATGTTTGTTTTTAACCAAGATCTTCACATTCGACAAGTTTTTACCAGCTTTTGTACATAAACTTGTTTCTCATGGTGCATATAGAGCTTGTATTATAAGCACATCCTTTGCCCTTGCATGATTGATCATCATCCAAATGTTAGTGTATGTTTCAGAGGCGATGCCCCAAACCATATTTGTCCTTCTTGTACATGCCATACCTGTATGTACGATAAGAAATTTACAAAGGGCTGAGCAGGTTTATCACTTTAAACCTGTCATGAGATGCAGCAGATCCTATTGACAGGTTCCAATAGCAATTGGCAAATGCAAGTACATGCCGTCAACAAATAAAGAGCATCATGGAGGTGTTTATGTATATGTAGTATATTGCATTTTAGCCATCATCCCATCATCCAAGCTCATTGCATACGTACACCTTGCACTATGAAGATGTGCAGCTACATATCTTTCTTGCTATATAAACCCAGGCATTGAATTCATAACGCTGACATTATTACACTACCATTACCACTACAAGCTCCATCTTTTCAAAAAGACCTTTTACAAGAATGTACAAGCAAATGCACCAAGTTTTTCTGGTTGTTTCTTTCTTATGCTTGTGTCTCGGTGTCAGGGCCCAGGACACTGCACAAGACACTAAAGCGTGCTGTTGCGCGTGCAAATCTACAATCGGTGGATATTGTTTGGAGCCCCAACATGTAACTTGCGGCATGAATAATATGGCGATGGGAAGTTCGTCCGAGTGCAACAGTGGCTATTGGCAATGCCAAGACAAGAAAAAGCTATGCCAATGTTAAAAGCAAGAACTCAATAGCTGCTACCAACACTTTTTCTTTCAGATGGATATATATAGGCTTTCCTTTTTATTATAAAGCATGGCTGGATCTTTCTACTACATATACAGAGTTTTCTTACAGGCCGTGCGATTAGCGATAATAGGGTGAATGCATAAACTTGCATATGACTTGGCTCGTGTTAAGTGCATTTGCGTTTGCGTTTTAATTAATCTTCATCCCATGTGAGTGAGAGAGCTACGCATGTGCGCCATGTCAATATCGTTGAAAGAGTGAAAAAGAGACATCATCGCCACCTTCGTTTTGTTACCGAAACCAATTATCGACCCAATCTCTCGCGAGGATGCTCAGCTCATTGACTCTGGCTATGGGGCTTTATGAACTACATATCAATGGCTTCTTTATTGGGGGATGAAAAGGAAAACGATGGGCTGAATGGAAGTGCTATGGTAGAGTATCGAATGTACATGGCTGCTTGGGTTGGAATAAAAGAGGGTATCATGCATTATGCATTGTTGGCTATTGCCTTGATTACAACATGACCGTATTACTATGCCATCACTATACGAGAAGCTGGGTGCAAAGCAGCCCATGCGTTTATGCCGACCAAACAAGAACGCCGTCATGTAGCTGTCAAACAAATTATGCAGCTCAAAAAGCGACATCTTTTTTTTTTACTGGGGTTGTGGTTATGGTGATATAGAGTGCATTGTATATAATTCATTCATCTTTTAAGAGAATCTCGTGATCACTTGACAGTCCACAAAACACACGCATTATGAGCTCATCCTCTTTCAGCAGCAGCAGCAGCAATAACAAGAACAAAAACCAGTATCGGCCTCATTCCAACACTGTGTCGACTGGGTGTCCTCCTCCTCCTCCTCCTATTCACACCAGCAATTTGCCTCGTCGTAACTCTGAAGGATCCCCAAGACGATTACCACTTGTGCCTATACAACAACAACAACAACCTGACGTTGCTATTGAATCACCCAAGACACTCTCTCTTGAACGTCATTTCCCTGACAAGTCCATGACCACCATTGAGACGAATGCTTCCGAGCAAGAAAACACTGAACCCATCCCGGCATCATCACCTGCACCACCCATAGCTGTTCCAGAAACACCTGTGGCTCGTCTATTGGGAAACCGTGCCAATAGGTCAAGGTCGCGTGCTTCCAGCATGTCGTTGCAGCAACAACAAGATACTACTACAGCAGCTACAGCTCCCACTGTCAACAATAACGGCACATCGTCTTATGACTCGGACGATGTTTCTTCTTCTCAAGATGAAGCCATGGGTACTGGATTATCACAGCCTGCTCCAGGCAGTATTGCAGCTGCATGTCATCTCGAAGTAGCCAACGAGAAGAGGAATCAAGAGTTTCATCAATTGTTTCGAAGTGTGCCCGAGAATGATCCTTTAATCGAAGGTACAACGAGTAAAATGAGGACTTTTCAGCATTATGGCTAATAACCAATCCTGCTCTATAGATTTTGGATGTGCACTACAAAAGGAGATTCTACTTCAAGGCCGCATCTACATATCCGAGAACCATTTGTGTTTCAATGCAAATATCTTTGGATGGGTCACCAACGTAAGTGATGTCACCGGAGTCGGCCCGTTCTGGCAAAATTATTCATGCAGCACTGGTGCATTCTAGTTGGTCATTGCTTTTTCGGATATTGTTGACATTGAGAAGCGCACAACGGCTTTATTCATCCCCAACGCTATCCAAGTATCCACATTACAAGCAAAGGTAGTATCATGTTATAGGAATGGGGACATGACATCTCACTAGTTGTCGTTTGTAGCACTTTTTCGCATCGTTTCTCTCAAGAGATCAGGCTTACGACCTTCTTTTGGATGTATGGCGACAATCACGACCACAACCTGATGCATCAAAAAGTTCGGATGAGGACGAAGAGAAACAGAGTAGCGACCAAGAGAATGATGACGAGAGCATGGATGAAAGCGATACATCTTCAGGAGTTTATACATACGTGGATGTGGAGGAGGATGGCGTATCAGCATCATCGAATCAAGATCATCGTAAGTGTGGATTATAAAACGTAGCATATAGGAAACTCATTCATGATCCTTAGCCATGGATGACGCTCAAGTAACAGACAATGCCGTACAACAACCCACCACCGCCACTGCGGATGATCCTGTTGCAACTACTGCCAAAGACAATGTACCTGCCGATCATACTCCTCACCCAAAGACCCAATGTGCATGCGATGAACATTATACCAAAACAGTATTGGAGACAACATTCCCTTGTACCTTGCAGACCTTGTACAGCATGCTCTATGAAGGATCATTTATGAAATCATTCTTGCAGGATCAAAAGAACACTGGTATGTAAATAATGAACAAGGGATAATACCATGATGGCGAACTAACATTTAAAAAGACGTTAATATGGGCGAATGGCAACCTGGACAAGGATCCATCGAATCTGTAAGAGATGTTTCATATACCAAACCATTGAATGGAGCCATAGGTTAGTTATTATTACACGTAAGGTCTCGTTTTGAAATCATTAACCTTTATTGGAACTAGGGCCTAAATCAACCAAGTGCTTGCTAAAGGAGGAGATATACCATAAGGATCTTGATGATTTTGTCACTGAAGTCACCACAACACAAACGCCCGATGTTCCTTCTGGAGGGTCCTTTTCAATCAAAACCAAGACCTGTCTCATGTGGGGTGATAACGATCAAACACGTATGCTGGTCACCGTGCTGGTCGACTTTACAAAGAGCTCCTGGATCAAATGTAAGTGAAGCATGATGATAACTTTGGTAAGGTATCATCTAATGATATTCTTTATTATGATTAGCTACCATTGAGAGTGCATCAATAAGTGGACAAGAGGAATTTTACAAGGCTCTCAGTGAAGCGATCAATCAAAAGTTGTCCGAATCGCATCCCAAGAAAGGTCAGGGCAAAAAGAAGAAAAGAGTCAAGAGGAAAAAGGTCAAAAAGAGAAGAGCCAATGATGACATGGACAAAGAGAACGAGACATTGTGGGCTAAGATTGCATCATCACTCTCTGGTGTATTCAAGCTGGCAACAAACACTCAACTACCCACTCCCAGCACATCGCTGATATCTGTACTATGCATGGTGTTGCTCGTTATCCTGAATGCATACATGGCGAGGAAAATGTCTTTGGTTGACGATCGATTGGAGTCACTTTATGATGAGATGCAAAAGTCCATTGGATCACAACAAGCATCATCCACCGCTCGATATGACAAGATGAAAGGATCATCATCACGTGAGGGTGTTAGCAGCTGGAAAAAGGAGGAGGATGATTTATGGTCATGGCTCGGTACCATCGACACTGAAAAGGATCCTCGAATGAACCTCATGGAAGAGCCGAGCATGAAGCAGGATCAAGAGGATGTATCAGATGACTATCTTCAGGACACTTTTCTCGCCAAAGAAAAATTGGACCAACACATGGCTGATATTGAAGATATGATCCACCGTGCAGGGAGCAGGATAGGCAATGTGAATCATGTTGTGGAATTCCAGAGACAAAGGATTTTACAGGATTGGTCAAAGGCCTCTTCATGAATAGATAGATACCAAGCATTGTTGTATTTTGACATCAATAAAAAAGAGCAGCAGCAGCAGCAGAGTTCAGCGGAGTGTGTGTGTTCATAATAGCATGATGATCAGCCATCGCGCTCGCTCGCGCACACCAAGGAATTCTTTCTCTCTACTCCTCCTTCTCCTCCAAATGGGCTACCCAACACTCGACGCTGCCCTCGCCTTCCCCAACAATCTTTTACCTTCTGAATCACACATTGTTATCACAGACTGCCTCAATGCGAACGCCAACTTTTTGATACACCACTTTATCGGCAACCAGCTTAAAGCCGATCGCAAAGTGATCTTGGTTGGGCTGTCACAGATCTTTAACCACTACTTCCACATTGGACGCAAATTGGTATGGGGCATTGGACACTCCATTATCCCCCAAGTTTCTTATTAACAACGTGTGTGTATTAGGGTATCAATCTTCAAGCATACAAGCAATCAGGACTTCTTTGCTTTATTGACGGGCTTACACACTTGAACCCCTATGCACAAGGATCACCTTATCCACCTGCCAAAACACCTACCACACCCACCAGTGTATTGGATGCCAGTAGCAGCAACAACAATGACACCACCATGGATGTATTGAAATCATTCTACGACGTGATCGAGCTCCAAGTCTCGGCTGCAACCAAGGAAAATCAACACCCACTCTTAGTCTTGGATGATGCCAGTGTTCTTTTGATGAGTGGATTTGGATTGGAGGCTGTTCAACGTTTCATTCAAAAGTTAAAAGTCATGATGAGTCGAGCGGACGGTGCTCTTGTCACGGTGATTCATGCGGATGAGCAAGGCACGGAGGATCTTGAACAAGATGCATTTTGTCGGATGGTCATGATGAATGCCAGCCATGTCTTACAAGTAGAGGCATTAAACAGTGGTCTTGCACGTGATGTCCATGGACAGGTATTTTCTCTCCCACACACACACACTTGATGGGATCTCTGACCCCTTCTTCTTTTTTATGATAGTTGTCTATCCTGCATGGCGCTCAGCAAATACTGCCCAACGCATCAGCGACTGTTGTACAATCAATGCATTTCAAAATAGCGGATAATAACGTAGAATTCTTTGCCAAAGGAATTTCCAAAGGCGTCTTGTAAATACATAATGGATTTCAAAACCTATGCATGGATTTCTTTTGGATGGGGATAATAGAAGCTAAGGATGGGTCTAGTACTTTGTGACATTCATGCACACATCACGTTTTAATCATGTTGCTACATTTAAAAGATGAACTATGATGCGGCACATTGACTCTTCCTATCAAGGTCATGTACATGCATCGTCTAGAAAGATCAATCCCGTGTAACGAGGTCCTCCTTATTTTCGCCACATTTGCTCTGCCACAGACAAGTATGATGACTCCTGCTTTCTCGTGCAACGAGCTATGATGCTTATTTGATACCTATGATACCATGCAGGAGACGCAGTAATGGCACACATTTAGAGGGGATACATACGCACCAAAAGTGTGTCTACTGGAGTCCCAGTGGATGGATGGATGGCTGTTTTCATAATCTCTTCACCACCAATGTATCCAAGTTATGACAAAAACAGCGATTTTTCATACACATGGTTATGTCATCTTCTCCACATAGAAGGCATAGAAGCATACGACATGCCGAGTTGACGCCGTTGGTTACTTTGTTTGAAGGTGGGCGTTTCTTATTTCTATTACATATAGGGTAGCATTCAAATGGCATGGTAGACTGGATGATGGTGATTTGCGTCTTGGATGTAGAAGAAGACCCCTTTAAAAGATAAGGTTCTCAAGAAGCTATATAAATGTGTAATGCCAATGCTCATCTTTACGCAGCCATTTGTCTTGTGCTGTACACCTTCCCAATACACTACTTGCAATGAAGTTGACCACTCTAATCCTTGGTATTACCACCCTCCTTGCTACAGCCAACGCTGTTGACTCTAACGATGAAGACGTCTTGAACAAGCGCCCGGCGATGAGATATTGTATGACGATCGTATCACCAGAAGAATGTAACAATCGCCCCAGGTGCGCTTATTCCAAGAGTAAGTCGTAGCATAAACATTCATCTATTTCATGTATCTAATGTCTTTATATATGTATAGCCACAAACGTGTGCATGGACACCGATTGATGTTGAATGTACTTTAGGAGTCACTAGAGGGTTATCATTAGCGCACATGGTATCATAGCAGATAAAAAAGACATACAAAGTCGTCGTCTATTGAAGTGGATGGTGCCATATGCATTATGCGTTTTGTTGCTGGAGCTGTTATCGGCTTTTCCTGTTTTACTTGTGGCTGCAATGTGCCATACATCCCACGCAGCCAGCCATTTACTATCATCTATTGCGCTATTAGTATGTATCCTACTTGTAAATTAGACCTATGAATGGAATTCTAAAAAACAATGCCCCTTGTTCAAAATTGCACATAGCACCTCACCACCACTGTTCAAGTATATCATCTCCAAGTAGATTTGGAATAAAGGCTCTCCATTTCTTCGATGGTGCACGTGATCACTTAAGATGATTGAGAAGCATTGGTTTATTCATCATAGTCAACGACCTCTTACTATACTATCTAATATTGATACTACTACAATCCACTATTTGAGTCGGCATCACATGGTGTTGTCATGTATCCAAGCACTAGTGCTACAAGATCATTCATAAGTAAACTAGAACGATGTGTGTAGTGTAGTGGGAGATGTGACGTCACAGAGCCAAGAATGGTAACAGTAGCAGCAGCAGCAACCAGCAGCAACAGCCGCAAAGCAGCAGCTGCAGTGGCCATAGCACAAACTTCAACAGGTAAGAAAAGCAAGCTTTTGGGCTGCGTCTATTCCCCGTCCTCGCCCTCGCTCATTTACATACTCTTTTAATGCTATGCAACGTAGTTGCTGGTGGAGAGAATAGTTTTGCTAATTGCCATTGTCTTTGTTGCTTCGTTCCTCATCTGACTTGAAATACCTGGCAACAAGATCCGCTACTCGCAACTTTGTTCAACTGCGTCAAGCGCTGTATCTTTTGGAGAGCGACAAGGTAAGGAATACATGATGACTCTATAAGAGAACCCATTCACTCACAATAGAACGCTGCATTGCTCTTTCGCTCTCACGCTATTAGACCAGACCATTGCTTATACCCACGCATCTTCTTCGCATTCGACCCTTTCATTGAAACAACGTTGGTGCGCATCCAATTGAACGCTTTACAACTAGCCCCCGTGTTGAATAACAGCTTTCTATCTATATCAGCTATCGAGCAACGTACAAGATTCTATTATCCACCTGGAACACTTGTACGTGTTGACGCGACGTTTCGATCCGTTATCCGTGCAGTTGTGTGTGTATATCTATATAGTCCATCAACTTCAGCAACTTCAACAGCAACAACAACAACAACAACGCACACAGTGGAAGGAAAAGCATTATGGCTATGGATGTGCCATTGAGCAACAGCAATAGCAGCAGCAGCAGCAATACATCTGCACAGGATGATCCTGTTGAGAGTTGTAGTGATCGAGATATCCATTCTCGCATGGTAAGTGAAATTGGGTATGTGTATGTGTATGAGAGACCTTATGCTAATAGAAGAATGGGTAGAATATGATCGATGTACTTCGATTGGATGCCGAACAAAGCAAGCAAAAGGAATTAAGGCAAGTTGGATTCATTTTGGTGTGCAAATCTCGTTTATTCACGGACTTACATTCATGCAGTCTGGTCGTTACACACAGGGAATCGTTGCTCAAAGAGCTATTCATCTTGGTGGGCCAACCAGAAGAACATAGCGATAACGTCCTCCGTTTCCTTCAAGGTCGAAATGATGAGTCAAAACATGATCCTGAAACTTGGCATACTTTTCTACGGGATCAATCGCTCGGGTAGGGAGGATAATGATTTGGGAGAGGATCCTTGGATCTAATGTACACATGCACATCTAGTACGAATCCAACGCCTGGTATAGCAACTTCAGCCGACAACAACACACAATCAACGACAATGGATGATGTCGAAAAACAACCTCAGCTACCATTGGAAGCGTCTTCGTCGTCGTCGTCTCATAGCATTGGATCATCGGCCGATGTAAATATGGAAAATAGCCATCCCGCTACTCCAAGTGCAAAGGTAAGTTTGACAAATACCCACTCAATGCCATGTAAATGTCTTACATCCGAAATTATAGATGGCAACAGAAACCATGGAGACTGAATCACCAGCCACTGCAGATAGCGTTATGAATCCACCCAATGGAAAAGAGTCGACGTCAAATGAAAACGAGCAATCACAGCAACCATTACCACCACCACAAGATGAACCAATGAAAGATGAATCGAATGAGGATCAAGTCGTGGAGGATCAACCAGTGGCAGATCAACCAGTGGAAGATGATCAACCGGTTAAGGACCAATTAGTGGAAGAGGAATCAATGAAGGACCAATTAGTGGAAGAGGAATCAATGAAGGATCAACCACCCGAAGATCAGCCAATGAAGGATCAGCCATCGGTCGATCAACCAGCCGGCAATCAACCTGTGGAAGATCAACCAGTGAACAATGAATCATCTGAGGATCAATCAATGAAGGATCAATCACACGAAGATCAACCAATCCACAATCAACCACCTAAGGATGAGCCATCAGAGGACCAAAATCGAGAGGAGGAACATGTTAAACCACCGCAGGATCAGCAACAAGAGAATGCTGTAGTTCAAAAGATTCCACCTCGTAAAACCACCATTCCAACGCAGCGCATGCTTATGGCAAAAGAGTATCAGCCAAGATCATACAACGGCCTCAATTTCCCTGATTACCGCAACGACAAGGAAGAAGGATTGGATCTATATGCCTGGCAAGTACGTGCCAATGCCCAGCCACTCTATAAATCACTGCAGACGGCACGTAAAGTATTACTTTCTCGGGATTGGATGGTAAGTAAAGTATACAGGGGAAAAAAGAGGAAAGCCATGCTCATTGGGATATGATAGCTTGCCCGGGAAGAGTTTAAATCGGTCAAGACTGTACAATCGATTGAGGATTTGAAGAAAAAGAACATGTGGAGCTTAAGGCAGCCTAAACGGCAAAAGACGGTTCCGAGGACAAAGACGCATTGGGACTTTTTAATGGATGAAATGGTAAGAGTCTTGTGTATATCATGCGCACACCTATATATTAACATTGGGATCAAAAAGCGATGGATGCGGACCGATTTCAAGGAAGAGAGGAAATGGAAAGTGGCAACGGCATACATGTTATCACAAGCGGTGATGGAATGGCATCAAGCACAAGACAAATCAAGCATTTGCGTCAAGGTAAAATGAGAAATGTAGTGGAATAGGTGGATTTTATTAACGTGGGATTATAGACGATTATACCCCAGCAGCATCAAGTTGCCAAAGAGAAAAGCGACAATGATACTCAGCAATCCGCCACCACCACCACCGCCGACAATCCCACTGATGAAGCAACAAAAGCGGTTGATGACGCAGCTGTTTCCGAGATGGTGGTGGATAATGGCTCCTCAACTCAAGAGCCATCACAAGCTGAATCTCATCCTGGTGAAGAAGAGTCAAAGGCTGATGCTGCTGCTGCTGCTCCAGTGGATTTGTCGCAAAAGATCCTTCAAAATTATCGATCCAAGATCATGGAACTTGATCCAAATCACACAATTGTGACGCTTGCAATGGAAGACATTGGTGAATTCGATATCCATTCCATATTCCCTGATCTTTTGATGTACGAGCCGCCCAACCCTGATTATGATGACCCGTACTTTGATGAAGCAGAATATGGTCGCATTGTTGCTATCACCAAGCTGATCACAAACAAGATTGTCCTCAAAAAGCGACAGCGCTTGAGCCGAAAACGAAAGATTGATGGTGAGCCGGTGTTGGTTGAGGAGCCTGAGCAAGAAGAGGAAAGCGTCAAAACCCTCCCAAGAAATGAACGCTATGATACTTCGCCTTTGGTTTCTCGTAAGTATATCCATTTCGAGCTTAGGGCATGTTATTAATGCATTGGTCATAGAACTCTTTGCACCAAAGAAACTTCGTGATGCACCAGCAGTCCAACCACCCACACCAAAACAATCTCCTGAAACCCAACCAGCTAGTTCATGGACCGAGGAAGATGATTTATGCTTGATTCAAATGATATTGCAATACTCTTTCAATTGGAACCTTGTCACGGATGCTTTCAACGCAATAAGATTACCGAAAACAGGCGAACGCCGAACGGCATGGCAATGTCACGAGCGATGGAAGCAAAACAACCTCACATCCTTATCGGGTCAAGTGAGTCCAGGTAAGTTAAAGGAATGGTTAGCTATTTAAGCTGGTTACTAAGAGGGCTATGATAATAGCGTACATCTCCAAGTTGAAAAGAGAAGCATCGAAACGACCCTCCATTGTCAGGTTCGAGTCCAGTAAGAAACGTCAGCGACAATACAACATCTTGGATTCAATTCAGCGTACACAAAAACGTCGAGATGAGATACAAAAGCCTGCAGGTATGGTATGGAACATGGGATGATGGAGAAAACATTTATCAACATGTATTATAGCATCAAGTTCACGTCCTCGAAGTACTATTGAGACTCATGGAACAAATGCCAATGGTCAACGGTTGCCTACAGCCATGGAGCTTAGTCTTCACAAGAGTCAACGTGATCGGCAGATGCAGCATGCTTTCTTGGAACAACGACAATTATCGGCAGGATATCCTCTTCAACGACCAGCTGTAAGTAAATGGGGAGATGTATGCTTGTTTGGGTATATACTAAATAGCGTGCTTTATATAGGCTCCAACTGCTGGTAATCAAGTACGACCCATGCAACAGCAGCGACATTCTTCTCCAGCACAAGCGATGGTTTCACAAACTCGACCACCGACAGCATCAATACCACCAAATAAGCCTGCAATGAGCAATGGCCCAGTGATGGGTGTACCGAATACGCCAGCGAACATGCCAATGACTGGAGCTGTTGGAAATAGTACCCCTCGACCACTACCACCATCAACACCACCTCAACCACAACAACAACCACAACAACCACCCACACCAGCAGCATCCACTCAAGCTGGACAATTACATGCAAATAACAGATACCCTTCTGCACAATTGCACCTTTTCCGTCAACGACAAATGGCATTGGCTATGGCTCAGGCACAAAGTCGTCCTCCTGCATCAACGCCTTTACAGCGATATGCAAATGTCATGAATTCACCTGCACAACAAAGTCCAGAGACCATGGGACAACAACAACAACAGCAGCAGCAGCAACCAACTCATCCAATGGCGTCTCCAGGGATGCATCAACAACCAGTAGCTTCGGTTGCCACGCCACAAATACCTATGCAACAGCCACAACAGCAACAACAACAGCCTACTGTTCAACCTACAAATCCTCTTCAAGCTGCTGCTCAGCTGTTACAAATGGGTTATTCTATAAATCAACTTCCTCCGAATCAGCAAATATTATTGCAACGATACCTCGCACAAATGCAAATGCGTAATGCTGCAACACAAGCACAAGCACAGGCTCAAGCGCAAGCACAGGCTCAAGCACAGGCTCAGGCGCAAGCACAAGCACAAGCACAAGCTCAGGCACAACAAATGGCTAGTAATGGTATTTCAAATGCATCACAAATCCCACGGATGACAAGTAGCCCTGCTGCCATGCGTCAATCTCCTCAACAAATGATTGCTGCCGCTGCCGCTGCTGCTGCCACACCCAATAGCAATGGATTATCTACAGCTGCGTTAATGGCTGCTCATCAACAACATCAAGCATTACAACAGCGTTTCCAAGCTGCTCAAATGTTGCAATATCAACAACAAGGATTACAGCAACAACAACAACAGCAGCAGCAGCAAATGCAAAGCCCACAAAACCATGTACTACAACAGCAACAGCAACAACACTACCTTCAACAGTTGCAGCAGCAGCAACAGCAGCAGCAGCAGCAGCATTATCTCCAGCAATTGCAACAACAGCAACAACAACAACAGCAGCAGCAGCAGAACAATCCACATCAAACACAACAACAATTACCACAAGGGTCACCTCTACTTCAAAGAAGTCCCCATGGTCATGTATAGGTCTTCCATTTCACATTTAAACACACACATCCTCTTTTTTTGTAAGTAGTACTATTACGATCCCGTTTATAGGTTTCTTAGCTCATTCCCTTCCTCCACCACAACACCCCCCGTCAACATGTTTCCTCTTACTTTCAATATTACTCTTTCTCTTTGTAAATCGTGCCATTATGATACATGTTACTTTTGCTAGATCATTCTTCTTGTCTCATGTAAAGTATGATGATGCATGGATGGGAAGGGGGGGATCACATAGTATAAATTTGCATTTGAGTAGAAATTGTGGATCACGTGTCCAGCTCTTTCACTTGTTCCAAACCATGACAGACTCACCGACCTTGCTCAATGTACGTGTTTGCTCACTTGCATCACCCCATGCAACATGTAACCTTATGAATGTATCTATCCTTTAGCTTTCTCAAGCATTGAACCTTGACATTGGCCATGCGTACGAGGCAAGCATACGATGAATGAGGGGATTGGCTTTTTTTTGCTTTGGTATACTGAACTTCCCATAATAGAAGACACTCTGCGAAAACATCTTTGATGTATCAAGGACCGATCTATTGGATACCTATGAACGATTACGTTTGTCCTTTTGGAGTGATAATACTCAAGACATATCATCACCATCATCACCACCTTTGGAAGGGCCTTCGTTATCTGAGCCTGTGTCCCAATCTCCCACATTACCGCGTAAAAGACACGTCTCTGAACCTGTTTTGGAAAAGACAACCGTATCCAGGCGACAAGATACAAAACTTACTCGACCACCACCACCGCCACAACAACATGACTATTCAGCCTCGGCCGTATCACCCAACTTGCATACATTGTGGGGGTGGAAGAAGGCATTCATTCGAGAGCTACGCATGGAGAAACCCAGTACGTGTTGTACCTATCAGCTAAAAACCCACAACTTATTGCTTTGTTATAGACTACAACGAAGAACGATTACTGGAACTGGCTAATGAATGCGGTCGTCGATGTGATAGCAAACAAAGGAAACACTTGGCCAAATATCTTTCAGGAATCACCAAAGCTTTACGTCTTGAGGATCGATTCACAAGCAAACTTGAGGAATGGCTGTAATAGCATGCACGTGGATACCCATAATACCTTTGACTACTTTCTGAAAAAATAAAGCATCGTCGTCTCATTCTTAATCATCCCCATCCAATGATATCGTGTTAGCTGGGATATGTATAAAGGGAAATGGTGTCAAAAGTACAAATCCAGCACGTTGTTGATTATACGTGTGCGGTCGTGCACTATGTAGGCAAGCTTTCGACATTGGACGGCCTCTGGTTTCAGCATCATGTTCCCCACAGGGATCCTTATCACCCCTTGGTGTACATCATCCTCAACATGGGCTCGCTATTACAGTGTAAACCGCAGCTGGATTTATCACTTCGACTCGGTACTCCAAGATGGTGCATCATGACCACTTTATCAATTCGATCCATCATGACAACAATTCCCGCGCCCACTCACATATAAACAAGGCTGTGGTCACCAACACTATCATACGCTCTTTCTTTCTACTGCTTGTATTCATATCTCATCAGTGGCCTTTGGTAAGTCTCAATGATAGTCTTTGTGTGGTTCACAAAATGAGAGTACTCAGGCGTTCATCGATGTATAGCGCACTTCATTGCTTTATCACTTGGTGATGTGCCATTGGTGCCTAATGACATTTGGCTGTGCTCCTTGATGGACCCTTTGCGGTAAGTATATAACTATCATATATATATCAAAAGGATGCCTAGTCTGATAGGTATTTGGGGCTCCTTTGTAGGTGACATAAATACATGCTTGAAACTGGAGACGGTAGCTCCACGAGTTGACAACTCTTGTTTTCTCTTTCTCCTTTCACTCGTTGTTTCGCACATGGTTTTCCCGGGCTAAGAATGGCAACGAGCTGCAAGATGCTACAAGAAAACATGCTGCAAGAAAACAAGCTGCAAAGCAACGGCAACACAGCAAGCAATATAGAAAGAGAGAGAAGGGCCCTTGCCCGCCAAGAGCAGCAACAGCAGCCCACCCATCAAGTACAAGCAGTGGCGCCGCAAGTAGTCCCTCATATGACAAGGGACGCTTTTGGCTTGACCCAACCGATGCTTGTGCTGCAACGGCGTCAAGCGCTGCTGCAGCAGCAGATGCAGCAGCTGGAACAACAACAACGGCGCCTACAACAACAGCAGAATAATCCCTAAAAACCACCAGCAATTTGTATGCATCTACCACCGCCACTTCGTATTGAAATATGCATTCTAATACGTATAATGTATTTGCAGGTCATCATTATCGCACCATGGCGCATATTGACAAGGTGGTCTTCTTGGATATTATCACTCACACATACACACACACATATATATATATATATATCTTGCTCTTGTATATTTGGATATTACCACACACACATACACACACACACACACACACATACACACATACACACATCTTGCTCTTGTTTTATGTACAACACTTTTTTTTTGAAGCAATGGACATGAAAATATATACACAATGCTACTCCTTATCGTTTGTTGGGGAATGCTTCTGCTTGCTCCTCTGCTTTTCGTTTACGCTCATTCAATCGACCTCGAAGAGCCATTCCAAATAGTTTGAAGCCAGCATCCTTGCCAGGTGTATCGAAGAAATCCTTGTATTCCCCAGTAGCTTTAATAAGACAAAGGATTAGTACACACGTAGTAATCAATGTGAATGTGTTTGTTACCTTGTCCTCGAGGATTGAGCATGATCTCTTCCGGCAAATGACGCAAAGTGTCGGGCATTGATTGACGCACGGACCGAGCTTCGTATGCAGGATGATGTCTAATATGTGCTGGCATCGCTTCCAATTCTTTCGTCACTTTCAATGCGCTGATCCATTCCTCTCGACTCTCATAGTAATGCATAAGGGCAAGCTTCACAATAGGGGATGGCGACTCTTTGGTATACTTGAGAAATTGCTGGCATCGTTCTTTGGTATAGCTGAAAGCTCCAAGCATTTTGGCATCTTGAGCATCAAATTTCGCACCATCTATAGTATTTTTATCCACAGAATTAGCTTCGCAATCTAACTTGGTATACATGCAACTTACCTTGATACACCCTGTAAAGCATCCATTCCAGACAATGATGCTACCAATCCATAAAGGAGGGAACAAAGTCTCACCCAGAGTAAGTCTTGATACATCCAAATCACGTAAATGCTTTGTGAGAGACGGCCGAACACGTAATCCAGACTTGCGACGATTGCCGAAGATTGATAGGACATGGATCACAGCTTGCTTTTGTAGGCTTGATAGAGTCCCTAACGGTATAAAATATCAATATGACATACCAGGATCATCAAACCACCGTCCCATTCTCACCCTTCGCTCTTGACGGCATGTTGCCCAGCAGCTATTATTGTCCGTGTATCAGCACGCAAAGACGAGAGTAACACGTTAATACAAGAAACCAATGAATGTTTCCCACCCAACTTACAGGATTCAAGTTGCATGATCCTTTGTGTGGTCACTGCGTAAAAGTTGCACCTCCCCATTCTCGGCCTTACTTTGCCTTGACTTGTATACCAATAAGTACCCGTGGGCGGTTGTATCCAGTGCGACTATCTTCCATTCTTCCTCCAACGATCATTACAGCACCCACAACCGATGAATCGATGTATTTGTGAGTCTACGTGTATTAAAGTAAGATACAATCCTTTTATGGTATATGATCCACTATACATACCTCGAACAAGATTTCATCTGGATAAGGTATCAAGAGACCAATACAGGTTGACCCATGATGGCTGGTGACTTTGGCATGCGTGATGTGATTTGGCTGGTGAAATCGATTGGCAACTCGAAACGTTGTACCAAGACGCGACGTAATCATGCTCCTTTCCAGTGCAGCAAAGGATGATCAAGATCCTTTTGCTGGCAATAGACGACATGCTCGATGGTGGTCACCTGTAACCCAACACTATAATCAATCTCTGTACACACACACTATTGAGTTGTTCCCATTATCCTCTCCCCCTCTTACCAAGCCTTCTTCCAACGTCGAATCAGGTGCTGATAAGGATGACGGTGCAGAAGAAGATGTATGAAGATGGTATCGCTGTTTTGTTCATGTTGTTTCATAGCAGCTCTGCTTCGTCTTCTTCGTCTAGACGTGGACGCATTCTTGGTAGAGATCAGATAGTTGCATCGTCGTAGGAAGTGCACACGATTGCACCACATCAGAGGCTCTTGATTCATACACGGGCGTGACATTACGTTCTCTTTGTTCTTGCATGGGAGGGGGTGGGGTCGTGTCATTCTCGGGAATCCAGGGGGATTGCAAGAGGAGAAGAAGAAAAGCGGACTGAGAGATAAACGAACACTATTATGCAAATCAACATCCGCCCACCGTTGCCATGCTGTATCACCTACGCTTTACCTTACATCGTCTCAATACATCTACTTAAATAGAAGATCTTGGAGATGTTCTTGTTGTTGGTGTACAAAACCACCTGCCATCATCATGAATGATCCTCCTCAAATGCTGCTGGTAACAACACAACCCAAATAGAATCATTGTGGGGCGACCTTCGGTGCGATACAAGACCAATTTTACGTCTCACGCTTCTTGCACTTTCAAACAAGACAGTTTCGGATGCAGTGGTCATTTTGGATTATTCATGATACCATAGTCAACTTGAAAAAAAGCGTCATACGAGCTACCATAGGCGGACGTTACCATAGGCGTATAGGGGAAAATACCCATCATGCACGCTCCACTTCGGCTAGTTACACAAACAAGTCCATCTGCATCTTTGGCTCCAATGTGAGTGAGGCGATTGAATGGGATGAGAAGTAGAAATGAAGTCATGGCATAGTTGTCTAGACGACGTCTAAGAGCATCGTAACGATGGAGCTGTTCATGTGTCGAGGGAGGGGGTGGTTGCCATGAAAGAAAGAGTAGGAAATTCAATCGGCACGCGTTGCTGTTATCCGGTGTCACCATCCAATGTCCTTGTTCACGTCAACAAATGATATGACCTTTGTACGATTGGCTATGTACCTCATTTGATGATCTATTATGTAAATTGACATGAATGGTTCTACATTACCCATCTTTTACATATATCCACTGTGCGAGATAAGCTAAGCTCTTATTTTGTCTCTATGATGTGAATGATGTGTTACAATTAACGCATCCATCATATACATCCACTTACCGCAGCAGTGCATTCTGGGAGGGAGGGAGGATATAGGCGTCGTGATGATCCAGCTTATTGTTACTTGTAAAAGGTACCACTCATTGCATTCATTTTCGGTATAGAATGGCTATTTTATTGAATTCTGTGTTTGGTGGGGGTCGGGGAGGCACGTGATTACTGAGGTGTCTATTTTATCATTGACATTGGGGAGCATCTGTCACCCTCTTCTTTTCCTCTCATAAACACAATGGTTGTTACTCCATTCCAATCAATTACAGCACTATTGTCGCGACTAAGTCTTCAAGGGAGCAATGCAAGTAACAACACCCAACAACAACAACGCAATGAACGACAATCGACCGCAGCCATCGACACCATGCCAGTTACTCAATGCGGATCAATTACAACACGATTGTCGCGACTAAGTCTTCAAGAGACCAAAGCCAAACGCCATATGAAGCGACCATCACCTACTGATCCTGGCACCAAGGGACGTGTCAACAAGCCCAAGCGATCCAAACTAAAACCATCAGTCCAAGCAAAAGCAGTATGATAAAATGGATCTCTCTCTCTTTGGCACTTTGATCTTATACATTTTGAACATAATTTAGCTACAAAGACGTCTCGATCGAGCATTCACTCAACGCATGTACGTCGTGAGTCGTGTACAGAAAAACGACCATCACATCGAATTCCATGGTAAGCTTTTATCTGTGCTTCTCTTTTGCATGATTCAGATCACTCATATCGATCCTCCGACATTCTCCCCGATACTAGTGCTCGGTAGCACAGGAAATGTAAGTATCAGAAAAAGGTAGTAGTGGTGGTATCGTATATGCCTAACGGTCTCTTTTTCGTTAGCACTATACCGTTCATATCACAAACAAAATGAGGTGCGATTGCTACGACTATCAATACAAACGCCTCCATTGCAAACATTTGTTGCTCGTTCTCGCCAGGGTGCTTCACGTCGAAAAGGGTTCGCCAGCGTATGCCAAACTTTCACTGACAGACGACGTAAGTTGGGAACCATCTTGATCCAAGTTTTGAAGTCTTATGAGTATGTGTTGTCTTTTCCAGGAACTAGAACAGGTGTTTGCAAATTGTGTGCCTGACCCTGATGTGATGGTATAAATGCTGAACAATGTCTTTGTCCCCTATCATCATCCCACCGCTTATATACGATGTTATCTCTCTCTCTCTCTCTCTCTCTCTCTCTCTCTCTCTCTCTCTCGCTCAAATGTATAAATCACAATCTATTGAAACGTGCACAACCTTATGTTGGTGTCTTTTTTACTCAGGGATGAGAATGAGGATGTCGATGTGATTTCAAACATCAACCAGATCTATGATGTCGGTGCCTTAGTACATTTATTCCCAGCTGGCAGTAGTGGTCGTACTGGTGCCGAGGATGATTCAGGATTAACAGCTGTACTTTATCTACATCGTCGTATCAAGGCAACAGATACGTTATTGCACCATCATTATCAACAAAGAACCACGAGGTCACTCCTACCGAGTCAAAGAATGAACCCAAAACACATGAAAAGTCGAAAGAACAATAAGGCAAGTGGCAATGAATACATACTCAAACATCATCATACAAGATACTAACATGGTATCTAGAACAAGAGCATCAACACGACAAAACGCCATACGCTCCTTCACACTTGGTCCAAGATCGCCAAGTGACCATTACCAGTGTCGTCAACCTATCAGAGCCGTCGTTTTCAAAAGAGGATCCCATCATACGAGCTGTCATCTAGGAGATCGCATCCGTATTCAAGGACATTGCCTAATTGAATCCACTCTTCAGGGACCAGATAGCCGGTTTCTCCATGTCACAGTCGGCAAGAAGTGTATTTGAGGATCCTGGGAAACTCGATGATTTTGCTACTGCAACAAGTCTTGGAGACATTGCCAGCGGAGGAACGACTACGTTACTACAAAAGGCATTGTTGGTGTTGAAAAAGGAGTTGATGAATGCACAATTGCAAAGCGACAACGCGAGTATTATTTGATAGAGCAGCTCAAAGAGATCAAAAAGGAGCTTGGATTGGAGAGTGATGGCAAGGATTCCCGTGAACGCGCACAGAAATTGTCAATGCCATATCAGGTGGAAAAAAGTGGTCAATGAGGTATATACATAAATATTTACAATACATTGCTTATACGACGACTCTCTCATAATGCATGCTTTATAGGAAATTGTCAACCTTGAGCATCTTGGACCAGCAGCATGTCACCCGCAACTACCTTGATTGCTAAGGATCGCCTAACGGTATACCGAATCGTCATCATTCCCGGTATCCGATGGTCTAACTTGCCTGCTTTCTTATTGATAGAGACGACGATTACGATGATCACTGCATGCCACAACAACGACAACGAGATCCAAAAGGAAGCCTGAAGATCCCATTCTTTTCTACTTGTATGTTTTTGATATTGCGACGACGAGATTGACGACTGCTGACGAGTACGAGTACGAATGATGACAGACGACGAAGACGAGGATGGTGGCAAAGTAGCTAGAAAGCTAGATGCAATAAAGCATTGTTTATTTATTACGTACACGCTTGGACTTTGCTAGCTTGTGTATTACATAGGTTCGAAGATGTATAATAAAGGTGGTTCCGGTTATCGATCATGCAAGAAGTATATGGCTTCTGTGAGTTACAACAAGGAGTGGGATGACCTTGAGAAGAGATAAAGTGAAGTGATCCCTCCATTGAGTTTCAGGATGAGTGACCCCCATCAACATGTACACGCAATTATCTATGTAGCTTATTCGCTTCTTATTGTTGCTTGTGGATGTATAGCATAGATGATGAGATAATAAAAGTGGCTCTGTGATCGGTCTTGTAATAAGGATAAGCACTCTATTTTTCATGTGGATCAAGCGCAATGATGATGCATCTCGCAAAGGCTACTGTGTACTACGGTAACTTAATGATTGGTGTGGGCAGCTGTTCCACTTGGATGATTTCAACAGCATTGTGTCTTAGTTGCAGGATAAAAGTTAGAGACTTGGTTACATATAAAACATTGCATGGAATGAAACTTGGTAATGATGATATCGATACCACGACAACACGGATAGATAAGATGAGCACACCATAACAACATCACTAGGATCGTGAGTTTTCATTTTCAATTTACGTACTTGATAGTGTGTTACAGTATCAGACATGCAAAGACAAGGATGTATGTTTAATCAAAGAACATGGTTTAATGATTACGATATGTACTAGAATAAACAAGTAGCTGTTGGTTTCCTAAAGCCAATGCTAAAGTACTCACAGGGATGACCAACGAGAAGGTCGCTACTCAACCATCCCCAACCTCTACCTGTGGGCACCAATAACATGTCGACAAGGTGCAGTGCTGGGGACACCGCTTGTACCTTTTTTGAAGACTAAGAGAAATAGAAGCAGCCCCCTACAACTACATCCCTCGAATCAGGTGCCGGATCTTTTGCGCGCCAAAATCTCGTTGGAAAGAAAGGGTAAAGAAAAGATAAGGATAAAGGCGATTCTTTTATAGCCGTTGATGCTGCTGAAGGAGCGTAACACCAAAAATCCGTATATGGGTTGAGGAAGCCATTGCCTTCTTTACACCATGTTCGCTAAAGAGATTATCATAAAATACATGCACAAAGACACACTTCTTGTACCTTGGGCCATTGCTATATGGGGAAGGTGATAATGGGTGCACGGATCACCAGCTATAAGTGGAGTTGGATCGATTTGCGGGGAAGCATCGCTGTTTCTCCTGTTTCACACACCAACAACTCTACGCCGACTCATCCAGAGCACTCCTTGATGGCGCTTCGTCAATGCAATAACGTCAATGGCGACAAGAGACGACCTTGAACTATGTCAAACGTTGATTGGTGACCCGTATTCCTTTTTCATTTACGATGAGAGCAACCACGATTCACCCAATGGCTGCAGGTTCGTTGCAAGAGAACAGCCCGTGCTTATATCCATAACGCTTACAGGATATCATTCTTACGGTTTCAAAGGATTCAGGGCAGGGCTATAGATATTTCCTATTTGTCGTTAAGAAGAGGCACTTTGGTATGTTGAGAAGAAGAGGCGATGGTTTATTTGATGAGGTATGTCTCACATTGGGCTTGCTACTCCATGACGGTAATCTCATACGTGTCTATGGATGATAGAGTACGTGGCATTCAGCTGGCGATATTAACAGCAAAACCGGTCTTTGCTATTTGCACCATGTCTCTTGCGCCAACCTTTATTCTGATATCAAAGGTGATCCGATCACCCTCGCTGCTTACCGAACACGCATACCAACAGGTTGACGACATGGTAAGCCATCTTTGTAATAATGAGGATGTGCATTATGCGTACCAGTGATTGATTTCCTTGATAGATTGCTTATCACCTACTCCAATTTGACCGATGGATGTACGCATCGACAACATTGCGCCCCAACACTTTATCAGCTCTTGCATCAATTCATCAAGTCATCATCCCCAACAGACAGAAATACCCACGCCGACCATTCACAATAAAAGGATGTTGTCGCCGCCCATCATACTCCCACACGTCTCTTTCCTCTGCCATACTTCTTTGATTGATTACAAGGCCAACTTTCTAAGGTTTGTGTGTACATCCCATCCTTCAACCAGTGAGTAAGTGCTGATCGTTGTGGTCATTCATAGAGTTTCTTTGTTCCCTGCTTTCATTGTTGTCGTCGCCCTCATTGTGATATTGGATCCTTATAATAAGGTAAAGCCTGATAATGTTGCTTGATGAGCCACTACTCATACACGTCACCTTGTTACTTTCGATATAGCTATCTCCAGTGATGCCGTCTTCAAGACTTTGTCCACTATGGGAAGCCGAATCTGCCATGGTGCATTTGACATGGTGCAAACAGCAAAGTCCTCAACCTCCGAGAGAGTGCCTGGCATTCCACTCCAAGCAATTGACCAGTTTGAGTGGATTGCTGCTGAGGCAATCAACTTTGAGTTTTTTGTCTCAGAAAACGAGTACAAGCCTTTGCTTATGGATTGGCGTCTTCCTCCTCCCACACCTCGGCTCGCGTCTGGTCCTTCCTCTTCTTCCTCGCTTCCGCCTTTGTCACCACCACTCGTCCCCGTCAAAATTGAACCTGGCGTAACGCCATTGGCCGCTATCAAGCTTGAGCCACCATCACCTCCCACTTTCCTCCCTGCTATCAAGGTCGAGGAATTGGATGACGAGCATGCTTTGCTTGCTGCGATGCTTGTCCGGGGCGAGGACAACTTGCGTGCTGTAAGCATGCCTGAGGTCTCCGAACCCACCACCACCACACCACCAACATCAACAGCTCATTGCGGTTTTCCGTATGATACTCTCCTCTCTTTAACTCTTGTACATATTTCTACCTTGCTTTTATGCCCTTCCCTCCCCTTGTATATAGTTTGAGGATGAAGACGACGATGGTTGCAATGTAGCAAGACAGCTAGATGCAATAAAGCATTGTTTATTTATTACACGCTTGGACTTTGCTAGCTTGTGGATTACATACTATTGGTTCGAAGATGGAATAAAAAAAGTGGTTCCGGTTATCGGTCATGCAAGAAGTATATGACTTTTGTGATACAATAAAGGAGGAGTGGGATGACCTTGAGAAGAGAAAAAGTGAAGTGATCCCTCCATTGAGTTTCAGGACGAGTGCGTATTGAATTGATTAGTGGGTTTGCATGTACAAATTGGTTTATGAAGCTCGACCTTCTCATACATGCAAATGTTACATTGACCTTTCCAAGCCTGCAAATCAATTGTGTTACACAAGCACGTCCGCATCTTTTACTCTGTCAGGGTCTAGCTATACTTCACAATGAACAAAGACCTCTTTTCATATAGCATCACGCTTACAGCATATGTAAAACATAAAGGTGCCTGTATCTCTAAACTTTACAATCAAACGTGGGGTCTTTAATAGAACAAAGCTGCTCGGCGGGGTGAAAGCGATCTTGTGTCAAACTATGCCAAGTCGATCGTGGCCGATCCCAGATTCACCCAATGTCGCTACCAGCCAAAAAAAATATTTTCGTCGTCGTCGAAAAAAATTCAACAGGTCGATCCACTTTGGCTGGTGGCGACATTTGCGAAATCTGGGATTGGCCAGCTTGATCGTGTAACTGGCACACAAGGTACTGTTGGCCAAGCTAAGCAGGTTTGTTCTCATAAAGACCTCACGTTTGATTGTAAAGTTTAGAGATACAGACACCTTTATGTTTTACATATGCTGTAAGCGTGATGCTATATGAAAAGAGGTCGTTGTTCATTGTCAGGTAGCTAGACCCTGGAGAGCAAAAGATGCAGAAGGACCTCTTTGGGTAACTCAGCTAAAAAGTTTGGACTTCAGGGACAATGCATGAAAGGTACGCAATCCTCACTTTATGCCATACATTGGCAGCTAATAGCCACTTTTGTGCATTCCTATCTTTTGTGCATTCTATTGTAGGTGGACAATGCTCCTGCTCTAGACATTCATTTCCATGATTAAAGTAGGTTGATCCGAGCTGATTTGGTTGAGTTACGCTCACACAAGATTACATCGGTTGAGCTACATCGAGCGTGCTCTATGTCCTGAGTGATGTAATCTCTCTTTGGCCACAGCTCAGTCAAATCAACTCGGATCAACCTACTTTAATCATGGAAATGAATGTCTGGAGCAGGGGCATCGTTCCCATGCAGTGGATCTTGCAACAATGATGATTGGATAAAAGTGGCCGTTAGCTAGCAATACATGCCTGTTCCTAGATGATCCATAAAGTAATTATACATTGACCCTTTCATTCATGCAAACGTAGCTGTCTTACACAACACGACCCGCTGCATCTTTTGCTCTGTGAGGGTCTAGCTACTTGACAATGAACAAAGACCACTCTTCATATAGCATCACGCTTACAAACATAAAGATGCCTGTATCTCCAAACTTTACAATGAAACACAGGGTTTTGAATAGAGCAATGTGCTCGGCTTGGCCAACAGCACCTTGTGTGAAAGTTTCGCGTTCAATGTCGCAACTAGCCCAAAAAATATTTTTTGGTCGTCGTCGACGAAGAGGTTGACCCCCAGATCCAGTTTGGCTGGTAGCGACATTGCGAAATCTGGGATTGCCCACGATGAACTTCATACTTTGACACAAGATTCCTTTGACCCCGACGAGCACGTTGATCTATTAAAGAGCCCACGTTTGATTGTAAAGTTTGGAGATACAGACGCCTTTATGTTTTACATATGATGTAAGCGTGATGCTATATGAAAAGAGGTCGTTGTTCATTGTCAGGTAGTATGACTATAATAGAGCCGAATATGCAGAGGGTCGTGTTGTGTAACTTGAGTCAGTCAGCACAGGCGATGCATGATACTTGTGCACAATTTAGGTATAGTTCCTAAAGCCAGCTAATAGCCCAATCCTCCCATTCATCATTGTTGCCCTACCCAATGCATGTGAACGATTGTGCTGCTCCAGCCCATCATTTCCATCATTAAACTTTCTTGATCCGAGAGGATTTGACTGAAAAACGCTCAAACACAGAAGTATCATCCAATATGAGACAAATCATTTTGCAAAGTTATTTGTAAACTGCCAGCTAATAGCCCATTCCTCCCATTCACCTTTGTTGCCCAATCCAATGCATACGAACGATTGTCTTGCTCCAGCCCAGCATGCTCATCATTTAACTTTCATGATTCGAGCTAACCTGGTAGTAAGGTAATGGCTGTTGTTGGATCATCGTTATCAGATAAAGTGCAAAATGGCACACACCCTTTTGCTACACGTGAGGATCATTTCTTTTATTTACGTGTATCTATTGTCTATCGTGAGGGAGATGATGATCATGATGGATGGATGGGGTGTATAGGGTCATTGAGTGGCCTCAGTGTAACAGCAGTAGGGGGATTTAAACTTGGGGGACAGCAGCTCCACGACTTGAGACAACGCGTCTCTTGTCTTTCTCCCTCCTCTGCTTTTATCCCATTCACGACATCCCGATCAAGGTAATGTACTATAAAGGTATGCTCTTGTTGGTTGTGACGTATTAATGTAGTTCTGAACATGCATAGGCAGGGTGTGAGTATGTCCCAAGGGCTGAGGAATGAGAGTGATAGCCATGGCGATATCGTTGCTTCCGGTCGTTGCTATTCCCACTCTATGCTTGGTGTCAACAGGTACATTCAGAGCCCAATGTTGCAGCCGAACTGGTTCCATTGACGTGTTAGCTTGTATAGATGGCTGGTTTGGCGTCTATCGGTTCAACAACACTACACCATGGTTTTCGGTTTCCAGTAACCAACAACAAAGGGTCTCTATGTATATGGAAAAGGCAAGTGCAATGAAAAGGGTGTTTATTGTGTGTGTGTGCTAATGATGAATTGAATAGGTTTCTTTGGTCAGGCAAATGCAATTTGGGGCATCATCATCATCTCTTTGGGTTCAAGTCCCAGCCTGTATCAAGTGGCCGCTGCGTCGCTCTGCACTAGCCAAGTGTGCTGGAAAAGCTTCTTGGAACGCGTCCAGGGCTCTATAGGCCTGTGTTGAGTTGATGGATCGACGACGATGGGTTTTTGGAAGAGCATGGTCACCGTGTTGAGGTAAAAGGGGATTTGCAACAGCTTGACATCAGTGCGAACCAACACGCTCTTCTCGTGATAGGCCCGTTCTTTCCCTTGAGGATTTCTTTTCATGAGGTGGGAAAATGATTGGAAGGATTGGGGATCATTCTTTCTTTGGAGAGGATGAATGAGGAAAACTATGAGCCTGGACTTCCGTGATTCGTGCAGTGCTTTCTCAAGAACAAGGTATCGCCCGGCGTTGCTCGTATGGTGGTGGGTGATTTGGTTTGTGAATTCCTTCTGATTTGCTTTCTTCCTTGGAGAGGATCGCCTAACGGTATATCGAATCGTTATCATTCTCGGTATCCGATGGTCTAACTTGCCTGCTTTCTTATTGATAGAGACGACGATTACGATGATCACCACATGTCACAACAACGACAACGAGATCCAAAAGGAAGCCTGCAAGATCCCATTGTGTGTTTTTGATATTGCGACGACGAGATTGACGACTGCTGACGAGTACGAGTACGAATGATGACAGACGACGAAGACGAGGATGGTGGCAAAGTAGCTAGAAAGCTAGATGAAATAAAGCATTGTTTATTTATTACGTACACGCTTGGACTTTGCTAGCTTGTGGATTACATACTATTGGTTGGAAGAAGGATAATAAAGGTGGTCCGGTTATCGATCATGCAAGAAGTATATGGCTTCTGTGAGTTACAACAAGGAGTGGGATGACCTTAAGAGAAAAAGTGAAGTGATCCCTCGATTGAGTTTCAGGACGAGCGAACCATCAATCTATGTTACACTGCCATGTACGTGTGCTGCTATGGCTCAGGCACAAAGTCGTCCTCCTGCTTCAACGCCTTTAAAAAGATATGCAAATGTCACGAATTCACTTTCACACAACAAAGTCCAGAATCCATGTCGTCTACAAAGTCATCTCTTAAGCCGCAGGTGAATTTATCACTTCGACGCGGTACTTCAAGATGATGCATGATGGCCACTTTATCAATTCGATCCATCGTGGCAACAATCCCACGCCCACTCACATATAAATAAGGCTGCTGTGGTCACCAACACTATCATACGTCCTTTCTTTGTACTTGTCTCCATCGATGGCCTTTGGTAAGTCTCAATGATAGTTTTTATGTGGTTCACAAAAATGAGGGTACTGAAGCATTCGTCTATGTAGCTCACTTCATTGCTTTATCACTTGATGATGTGCCCATTGGTGTCTAATGACATTTGGCTGTGTTCCTTGATGGACCCTTTGTGGCAAGTATATAACTATCATTTATATGTCAAAAGGATGCGTAGTCTGATAGGTATTGCGGACTCCTTTGCAGGTGGCATGATTACATGCTTAAAATTGGGAACGGGAGCTCCACGAGTCGATAGCTATTGTTTTCTCTTTCTGCTTTTCGGCTTGTGTCAAGATCAATAATGCATCCCGGTTGCAGAAAGCGAAGCCGAGGTGCAAAGAAACAACGTCGCAGTGGTGCAAAGATACAACGTCGCAGAGCTGCTCGACGCCAACATCAGAGAGCTCTTTCTCGTGAACGGCGACAGCAGCAGCAACAACCACCATGGATGAGAGGGCACCCTCTTGCCATGACCCAGCGGATCTTCGTGCTTCGACGGCAACAAGTATTCCTGCTGTTGATGCTGCAAGACCGACCAGAGCAGCAGCAAGAGCTAGAGCAGCGTCTTCAGCAAGCACAAGAAGAACTGCAGCAGTTGCAACAGCTGCAACAACAGCCTCAGGATGATGCATAAGCTCGGTGCTCTCCTTTCTCTCCTCTCTCTCTCTTGACCTCTTGTATATATCCACCTTGCTTTTATCTCTCTTTTTTCCTCTTTATATATACCCACATTGCTTTTATCCCCTCCCCTCCCCTCCCCTTGTATATAGATAGCCTCATAAATACATACAATTTGCTTTTTCTTTTTTTCATACATGTGTTGTGACCAAGTTGGTTGTGGTTTGCAGTATCATAGTGTCATAATAACAAACATGTACTCCCATCCTATAAAATGCCCCATTGACCGTATTGTGAACACACTTTTGTCATATTGCTTAATTGGTATATTCAGTGTCAATGATGAAGTAGTGATTGAATCTCTTCTAAAGATTTCCCTTTGGTCTGTAAAAAGCATAGAGATGAATACCTTGTATACAACATGGAGCCATGAAAGAGACGCCTTACCTTCGGTATCATGCGTATCCCGAGAACCCCAAATGCAAATGAGATGACTGCGTATAACCAAAACGTGACAGCAGTGGATAGCGACAAAAAAAGTTGTAACAATAATAAGGTTGCATGACCCATTGGCTGCAGTAGCTAGCTAGGCCATTTGCTTTTCCTCGAACTTGCATGCTGAACAATCCACTTTTAAGCTAACAAGAAAGCACAGCATGATCCATTAGATGTTTGTAATCCATTTGCGGTTGTATGATAACCTCTTACCCATGGATCCTATCCAAGACCAAGGACATAGCTTGCTACGTAGACAAAGAGTGACACCAATAGACTCGTTGATATGACTGGTCCATGGTGGGCATCCCGTTGGGCTCTGATACAAATCTTGCTCGTGACCTTTGCAACATTGCATGTATCTCCCATGGTAAGCCATCCACAACGTTCATACAAGACACATCGTGCACAATTGGAACCATCGCATGTTTCTTGCTTGGGTAATAATCTTTGAAGAGAAGCAAACGATGATCCCAGGATCATAACAAACATAGCGGAAACCAATCAACGCCAACGTCCAACTCGATCAATGGTCTTGTAGCAGTAAAGATGATGTTGGTGGAAGCAACGGTGGTGGAGTCGCCATGATCACGAAAACCAGACATCTGCATAATAGATCGCCGTATTGAACCCCGAGAGTTGTTGAGCTGCTTGTAGAACGCATGCTATATACGTGACAAAGCAATCAGTCGATCAAGAAGAAAATCTATGCATGAGAGTGAGTACCCTTACCGATATATAAAGGCCGCCGATTCACCTGATTGATACACCTTCACCCTCTTGCTTGATACTTTCTTGTATGCTGGATACTTCTTGATCGATGAATCCCTCTGACGCTGCATCAATGGCTTGTGATCGTCATGTTTCCCCGTTGGCAATGCAAGAGCTACATGCAAATCCAAACTTAATATCATCCACCTCAGGTTTTAGTAGTCGTATGAGCATACCAAAGCATTGAAAGATAGCAGGCAATGCAGCCAGACCATCCGCCGTCCACTTTTGCAAAGGTGATATTGATGAGATAGGCGACCACGTGACCATGATGGTGGATAATTGACCTCGAAGCGTCCTAGTGTTCCATGGAGCGTTGTTGTTTAGTCATGTGATCTTGCCTAGGGAATATGGGGATACTTACTTTGGGATGATCATGGACGCTATTCCCACACCCAACCCGGACAACGAGACGTCGTTTCAGCAAAGTTGGATAACCAGTGACAAGACCCAGTATGATGGCACCCACAATGAACACCATAGAAACAAGCGCCTAATATACATCATGTTAAAACCATGTTCCCTTAAATGGTTATCCCCCCTCCATCACAATCCTTCCTTACCTTTCGTCCTATGCGATCGATCGCCTTGCACATAGCTTCGATTGCCAGTACCAGCAGCGGAGGGAATCACCATTGACAACGATGCCAGCACCTAGACCACCACCAAAGATAGCTGCCAATGTACGTAGCGCCTCCAACAATGTACCAGGTCCATATTGCTCTTGAAGTGGTTGTAAAGTGACTATAGCCATACATTCAATTCAGCCCATGACAATGTTCATGTTCAATGGAGAAGGAAGAGAGAGAGAGTTTTGCTTACTGGCAGCACCATAACCAAAGAGAAAGCCTCCTATGCAAGTGCTCGAATCCCCGCCCCGCAGGTGCATCTTTTTATGGAGGGGAATATGGTGACAGGATCAGGAAGACTTTGAACCAAGCATCCTTGATGGCCGCCATTTGCTCAAGCCATAATGAGGAGGATTTTGGACGATATGGTCGAGGATGACTATGGATGATTTGACAACTACAAGACACCCCCACAACTTTTACAACTTGGTATGTACATGACATGGCGGTCGCTATTAGTATCGTATTAGCTATCATCGTGTTAGCGAGTACGGTTTTAAATAGGATGATGGTCTTAAAGAACGCCAATAAAATGAGATTCAATGTAGAATGATAAACATTTGGTTGCAAAAGGTGAAGGAAGGCAATAGATCATATACCGTTTATCTGGATGGTGAACATGGATGTATGTATAGGAACCCACCTTTGTCATTAAAACGTTCATGTGATCCATAAAAGGGTACAAAATGCGCAAGGTGCCGTCAGCCTAATCCTGCATCGATGCTCATTATTTAGACGCTGCCCATTGTTGACTACCTTTACTAGCACATTTCGCATACATAACAAAAGGCAATGGACCACGTCCGATCTCATATTTCTCTCCATGACAAACATACTTCATTTCCCTACTAGGGTATTACAACTAAAGATGTACAATTGTAGATTGATTGAAAGGTCCATGATTGCCCAAAAAATCAAGGGCCAGCATAATGGGTTAGTGAAAATGCATCATATACAGCATCAGCGGTACTCGTTTAACGAAATTGAAAATAGCCTGTATAAAAAGTAAATGGCATCTTTGAATAAAAAAGAATTCATGCAACGTGTGGTACACAAAACACGTCTTGTGAAACAAAAAGTTGCTTAATGGCCTCTGTGTACGCGTTTCTCAACGTAGAGGGTCAGTGCTCTAGCGCCATTTTTTGTACTTAAAGTGATCGTTTTCACCATTGTGTACCATTATGATCCATTGCAACATCCATAGTTGCATAGTAAATGGATCAAAAGTAGCTCTTTTTAAGGCAATGTTGATATGGCGGGGAGTCTATCCGTTATGAAAGATGATCGGGCATGTTCACCGGGGGCGGAATTTATCCGCTATACCATATTGAGCAATGGAGGATCGGCAGCCGGCAAAGGCAATGCTATTATTTTCGGCCCGCGCTGGCACATTGCGTATCACTTTTTTGTTTTTCCTTTCTCTCTCAATCCAATTATGTGTTAGGAATCATGCAAGTGTTGGCAATGATTGACATGTTACCATGCATTGTACATTTACGAGTTTGAATAAAGGAAAGGCTCCCTTTTATTATAGCGGAGCACCACCACGTTGCCCATTAGCCACGTACTCCCGAACGCGGTTTGCTTACCCGTGTCGTGTCGCTTATCTTTACCGGAGACCAGGCCAGCAACACCGAAATTTGGAAACACAAATGTCTCTCTCTCTTCCCTCCTACTACCCTTACCCCACCCACACCACCACCGGGGAATATAAAAGAGCGAGAAACATGACACAGTGGGAGTTTGTAGAAATAATTTGTCCTTCCTTTTTCACTTTCCTCTTTTTTTTTCTTTCCCTCCTCTTTTTACACATCACAACATGGATTCATTATTACCGACTACTGCACGTGCATCGATTCAAAAAGCCATTGATATTATTCAAAAGACATCTGCCTATCCAGTATTGCACGAATTTTATCAACGATCCAGCCGTAACGAGTTGCTTGTGATTGGCGGTGCCACGTTCCTGACACTCTACAACCTTATCAGCTATGTGAACTCCAAACGTCAAAAGTTGCACTTGCCTCCTCGTGTCGCTTATGGCTTGCCATTGGTTGGTCACTTGCCTTACATCTTGTATGACGGCAGTCGTTTCCTTGATTGGTGTGCCGACAAGTATGGCGAAGTGTTTGATCTCAGTCTTCCTGGAGGTGTCGTGACAGTGGCCAGTGGTCGTTCAGCTGAAGAAACCCTCAAGGCTGCACCTGAAGACTTGTCCCTTGAGAAGGGTGTATTGGAAGGTAAATGCACGAGAGATCTTCAATGGCCCCCCCTAAAACTAATGACGTGTATAGATACCTTGTTTATGCATTATGTGATTGATCCCATGACCTTTGAAGTGGGTTTCCAAGTGAATCCAAGTGTAGCCAAGGATGTGGTGCCTGCATCCATGATGCCAAAGTATACAGCTGGTATTTTGCGTGGTTTGGATCGTGCTATCGAGGAACGTATGGGTGGCAAGGATCGCGTGGTGGTTGACAAGCCAAGTCAGTTTTTGCAACGCTTTGTTGGTTACATGAGTGTCCCTACCTTGTTGGGTGAAGAATTGGAGACCAATCGTCAAGTCATTCAATCGTTTGCCGAATTCACGGGCGATGTCACTAGCAACGTGGGTGTCTTTCTTACGGTGCCCAACTTTTTGCATCGCTTCATTTTGCCCTACTTGCAACGTGTCCACCACCATCGTCAAGTCATGCGTGATCATGTGATGCCTGTTGTCCGTGCTCGTCGTCAAAAGATGCGTGAAGCTGAAGCACGTGGTGAACCCCACAATTTACCAAAGAACTTTTTGCAAGGCTTGGCAGAGTATAAAAAGCCTGATGGATCCCAATACGCCGATGAAGAAGTAGCCCGTGCCGTTTTGTTGATTGCCTTTGCTGCTGTGCATACCACTTCCATGAACTTGAGCTTCTGCTTGCATTGGTTGATGGCACGTCCTGATTTGAAGGCCGCTTTGGATAAGGAGATTCAGCAAGTGTTTGGTGATGGTCCTATTACCGATGAAGGTCTCAAGCAAATGACGTTCTTGGATCAATTTGTTCGTGAATCTTTGCGTCAAAGTGTCGACAAGTTGGCCAATGCCAAAAAGGTCCTTCCTGAACAAGGTTACACCTTCAACAATGGCTATCAAGTCCCTCAATATCGTGTTGTCCAATCCATGAACCGACGACTCAATTTGGGTCTCAATGTCAACCGTGAAGATATCCAAGACATGGATCCCAACGCATCCGGCACCAAGCTCTCCACACAACCTGCTCGTGATTTCGTCACCTTTGGATTAGGCCGTCATTTGTGCCCTGGTCGTTTCTTTGCTGTGCATGAAATCAAGCTTTCTCTCATCACCCTTTTGCGTAACTATGAGATCAACACCCTTAGTGGCAAACCTCCTAAGCCTGTGCACTATCTTATGGGCTATGTTGCCGTCAATAGTGAAGAACCTATCGTGTTCACCAAAAAGAACCACCATTAGATCATATATACTTAGTAGTACCTTGCATCATTAATATATTCCCCCTACCCAACCCGTGTATTCATCAGTCTTCTTCTTTCATGCAGCTAAAATAAACTCATTTTTATGTATTTCAATTGGCGTTTCTTCCCTCGTTGTTGTGTTCCCCTTTCCCCCTTCTATTTTCCCTTTCTCTCTATTTACGCGTTCAACTACGATGGCTATTGCAGACTACTTTGAATGGACCATTGTAAGGCATCTGTAAACACGACACACCAAAGATGGAGGGAAGGGACTTATGAATGCTTCCTTCTAGGACTTTGAAGGTCAAAAGCTTGCCGAACAATTGACACACCTGATCCCCACCTTGTTTGCAGTAAGTATTCGCATGCCGGATGGACAATGGCACCATGGGGCGGTTTTCGTCTAACATCTCTCTCTCTATAGGTTATTGGTTTCGTCGTTGGATACAGCATGCAGTCGTTATTGGTTACTCTGGAAATCTTTGGTGCTGGTTTGGTATTGACCATGCTGGTAAGCATTCATTTGTGTGTGTGTGTGTGTGTGTCTAGTGATCCCTTTTCTCTTACATACTCCATATCCTAGTTGGTGTTGCCTCCATGGCCCATGTATAATCGTCATCCACTCAAATGGTTACCCGCATCCATGCAATAGCATCATTGTCACAAAAAGAAAATACATTTATCGTTGTTTTTCATCATCATCATCATCTTCACTGCTACTACTGTCTTCTTGTTGTCCAGCCAATTTCATGACACGTTCGAATTCTTCAGCAAATTCAGCGACTGTACGACCATCCGACAAGTCAATGACATCTTTGGGTACCATGTTGGTAGCAAATCGTGGTGCGTTGCATACACGCGAATCCACCACCGATTCAATGATGCGGAATTCAGGCTCAAACTCAGGATTCAGTGGGTTGACTAGGACCGTCATAATGAGTATGAAGGTGTTGTGATGGGGGGGGGGATGGATGAGACGACTTACATTCCATCAATTCGGTCCAATCATACAAGAGGCTATCTGTTGTGGGAGAAAATGGATTGAAATCAATCAACCACACCTTGTGACGAGGTCGATCCACATAGACATCCATTGCGTCTATATAAATAAAAATACATGAGCAACCTATAATTGAGTGGCCAAGAAAAACATACATGATGTACTGGGGAATTTGGATTGGATATGATCTTGGAAAAACGCGTAAATCATTTCTTCAATGTCATCCTTGATGCCAGCCATATAATCGTAAAAGGTCATGTCACGTTGTGAGATGCCTATGTCCTATGCATAAGTAAACAGCCCAAAATCACTCCAAAAGAGGACTTGCCTGCAATCTCCTTATCCTTTACAAAGACACGGAATTCCATGGATGGTTGTAAGGTATGCCATTCACGAAGGACAAGATGTTGTTGTTGTGGTGATGTTGAAGGATCCGCACATTCATCAAAGGCGTGGTTGAGATCATGGTTGATAAAGTCGGATGATTTGAGAAGCAAAAAGACATCAAAAGGAGAATTGCATTTCAATGATTGAGTCGCTGTGATCCATGCAGCATCCTATGTATCATAGCAACCATAAGCAACGTGTAATCAAAGAGAGTGAATCCAACCACTTGCCCTTGGTGAACTCCAATTCAACTTTGGAAATACATCCCCACCCAATTGCCTAACAGAATCACGGACGAATTGCTCAATCTCGGGAAACTTGGGTATCTGTATCCATAGCAACGCATTAGCTTGAATTATGAACATGTGCATGTTTTACATACATTGTGTTCTTGTTCATCATCTGAAAATGCTTCCTCATCATCATCCGAGATTTCTTCTATGGTAGCTGGACGTGGTTGACTATGCACATGTGTGTGTGTGTGTGTGTCACATTGAGTCATTTTTGGTCGTTACAACAACGCGTACTCTTTACCCATCGTCTGGAAGATAGATCCCATCTGCATTCAAATAGTCAACGAACTCACTCGGCAGTGGCAAGATCCTCGATTCAAAAGTAACTGATCGGAATTGGCTATACCATGCTGGGAATGAGCAGTTTTCTATATCTTGTCGAGATACAACGAGTGGTTCTGGTTGTTGGTTGTTGCTGCTGTTGCTAGCACTTTGTTCTTGTACTACAGTTGGCATGAAATAAAAGCAAAAAGATAAAAAGCCAAGATGATGGGTTTATTAATGCGTTGTGTGTGTGAGTCCACTACTATTCTAAACCTCCGCAAAGTTTTTTGGCACCGGACCAGTGGGTTCGCCTTCGGGTGTCTAATGTTGAGAAAAAGTTAATGCACGTGATCATGGATGATGATAAGAATGCACACCCGATACATACCACATAAGCAGATGCAAGACCACCATCCACACGGAAATCCACACCTGTGATATAAGAGCTTTCATCCGATGCAAGGAACAAGGCAGCATTGGCTTGTTCAATCGCTTCACCTAAATCATACACTATTATGAGCATCCTATCAACGCGCGCGCGTTACCCCCCTATTCACACAACATACCAAATCGACCCTGTGGCACATGCACCAAACGTCGTTGTTTCTTTTCTTCCGTATTCAAGAAATCCATCAACAAAGGTGTACGCAAAGGACCAGGACAAAGTGCATTGAATCGAATGTTTTCACGAGCATGGACCATGGCAAGTTCTCGTCTACATCGCGTTAAATTTCTTCTCTCGCTCTGTAAGAATAAGCTATACTACTTACGTCATGGCAAGAACCGCACCTTTGGATGCCGTATCTTGTGAAAAAGAAAAACGCGTGTGCGCGTGAGAAAAGGAGAGAATACACGTTGACACCATGGTCTACTACTACTACTTACATGCGAGTTGTGGCGTGGCTGCACCCATCAAAGCAACAAAGCTAGCAGTATTGATGATCGATCCTCCACCTGATTCACGCATGGCAAGAATAGCATGTTTGCAACCAAACCAAACTCCTTTGACATTGATATCCATGGTCAAATCCCTACATATCGTGTATAGGTCAATGAGTGAGTAGGTGTAAAATAAAAAGGACGACGCGTACATACCAAATACGCTCTTGGGTTGTGAGTGCATTGTCATCTTCTGGGTGCATGATACCAGCATTGTTGAACATGATGTTGAGCTTGCCAAATGTCTTGACGGCTGTATCCACCAAATGCTTGACTTGATCTTCCTTTGACACATCGGTCTTGACGGCAATAGCACGATCTTTGCCCACCAATTCTGTAATCTTGGCCACTGTCTTTTGGATGCCTTGCTCATTGAGATCGGCACACACCACCTGTGCACCTTCCTTGGCAAACAAGATGGATGCTTCATATCCAATGCCACTATACCCATTGTCAGCCAACTTTTTTGTATGTCATACTTTTTATCCTACCTAGCTGCACCCGTGATGATAGCTACTTTGCCTGAAAGTCGTTGCATGCCTGTCATTCTCTCGCGTAGTAATAAAAAAAAGGAGACGTGTGAAAGAAAGAGAAAGAGAAAAAGAGAGAGAGAGAGGAGAAGGGAGATCAAGATAAATACTGGCGGTTTGTTGGTCCAATACTGTGGGAAAACATGATGAGAGAGTAGTAGTAGTAGTAGGTAGTAGTTGACGCCCAACATAAACAAATCATCGGTTTTATTCGCTTAGTGACATCCGACTGATACCACCGCTGGCATCTTGTAAATTGAAGGATGATGAAATTTGACCTGGTTTTTGTTGTGCACGAGCAGCAGCATTACTTGATGGGCTACTTCCATAGATTGAACAAGGTGGACTGGATATGGTGGATAATACAGGTGATCCTGATGCAGAGACCGAAGGTGACACTGCCCTACGTTTCAGCGTGCTTGCAGGATAAGGTTCAAATCGGTCTTCCGAAGCTACGTATCGCCCATGGATGAGCATCACTCACTCTCACTCACTCGCCTCACCCTTCCTTACCTTTTCGTTTAACGCTCCTATGACCCGCTGGATAAATAGGTGATGGCAAGTTTTCAAATTGAAATGTCTAAAAGAAGAATAGAGTCAGCTACATGCAAACGTGATGGTACTGTTTACTTGCCGTCATTTCCATCTCGGGATTAAGTTTGGATGCATGATACGGTGCCATGACAGGAGAACATTCATTTTCTCTAATACGTGCCCATGCTGCAGCAGGTACAGTGGATGATGATGATGATGATGATGCCTACATTGGTATGTACATGGATGATGAGGGCCCCCATTGTAAACCATGTTGTTGTTGTTGTTGTTGTTGCTTTACCATATCTCCTTTGCCTTGACAAACTCGCATTTGTTGTGTCATGTCACGTTCTCTACGCATCTCCATATCGGCCAAATGGGTTTCTTCCTAGTATGTTCCCCATTTTCAATGAGTACTTCCAAACCAAAGAGCAATCACTCAAACTTACATCTGCTTGATTCATGACTCTTGCCAATGCTTTTGATTTGGGCTATGTGTGATACATGATGAGTGATCAGGGGGTTGCCTCCTGAAATGAAAATGTGTGGCAATACACAACTTACAAACAATGAGCTCCTTCGAGAAACACTTCTACGCTCTGGATCATTGGATCGTTTTGGACTACTTGAATCGCCCTGACTTGTGGATCTTGGATGTCGTTGTTGTTGTTGTTCATGAGAAGAGGACGAGGATGATAAAGAACGTCGTCGCATGGATGATGATGGCCGTAAAGGAGCTGGTGCAATGAATTTGCCATGATGCATTCTTGTATCATCTGCCATGATCATTTCATCTGCATGTTGTTGTTGTAAAGAAGAAGAGGAAGAGGAAGAGGTTGGGATGTATTCGGAGGATAAGGATCGTGTCAAACGGCGGGGTGGTGGAAAGGTATGCTGATGACCTTGTCGACTTGAAGAAGAAACAGAGCGGTTGTCATCGGAATCGATACTCATTTTCTGGGAACAAGGTGAAGCTGTCAAGGAAACAGAAGACGATCGACGACGCCGTAGTACGTCTCCCCGAATTGTCATATCCCCAACATCGTAGTCAGACATGCGGCTACTCAATGAGTCGTCATCGTCGGTATAGGGTGTACGGAATGGAGAAATAAAGCGTCGTTCCATAATAGTGTGGATATGTGTGAGTGAGTGAGTGAGAGGGTAAAAGAGAAAAATAGAGCGCAAGAAAGGGAATGGATGATAGTAGTGGTAGTAGTAGTAGTAGTAATTGCCAAATAGTCACTATTGCATGATTTTCATCAGCATCACTATTACCACCGCCAACACAACACCAAGGATACAACTTGTAGAGTGTCTAGTTAGCTTTTATTACAGCCCTTAGATAGTTGTCAATAGGAATTAATCTTTCTTTTATCATTGAATCAATCACTTGGCAAGTGTGCAATGTGTGTGAGCAGAATATCCCACCCCCTTTTTTTTGTCTCTTTATCGCATCCACCCCCCCCCCAATGAACCATGCACCAGCAGCAATCTAGCCTCTCCCACTCTTTCTCTTCTCATATCCCAGCAACACACACACATGAACAAAAAGACTTCTTTGTTATAGATAATTCTACTTTTATCTCAATGCATGTGCAATAATAATCACTGCATTTGCATGTGAGTCATCTTTTTGGAAATAGAAATCATCGTTGTTGTCGGTGGTAGACGCAGATAAACGGCCGATAATGAGTACCAAGAAGAGAACCCTATCTCGCTCTTATTATGAACCCCCATCTATTCACCCCCACTCTCCTACAAGTTCCATTGAATTCTTTTGGCTCTTTCAACCCCCAAGGGTACCCTGACTCTTCTGCTGCTGCTTTCTTCTTGTTCATAGCAAGTATAATACTCACTCTCACACATACAACCCTTTTGGGACTTGATCATTCTCCTCACTCACTCTTTCCCCCTTTCCTTCCCCCCCACAAACCCATTTGATTCATTAAGCATCGTACCATTTGTGATACATGGGATAGAAAGAGAAAAGCTGGGCCCATAAAAAAGTTGGTACGTGTGCGTGTGTGCGTGCGTGTGTGTGTGTATGACCACATAGTTAACCCCCCAAAAACCATTGACCCCCCAAAAAGTTGGATTTTGGGGGTGTGATGAAGATAGAGACTATCATAGACAAATTCCTACCATGCCCGTGGATGTTTACTTGAGTACAAAAGGAAGACTATTCATGTATCAATATAAATGTCAAAGTAAAAAGGAACGCGAAATGATAGCAGTGATGAACAAAACGCGAGGAAGAAACAGAGATAGAGAGAGAGAGAGAGAGCAAAGCATGTGGCTAACCAAAACAAGGCTAGCGTCAGACATCCTTATCCTTTGATGCTGCACGTGACGGCCAATAGGATGACGCAGTTTGAAAATATTGGAAGCGAAGCAGAATCCGGAAAACACAAGAAAAGGTAAGTTCCCTTTCATGCCTCCTTTGCCTCAAAGAAAAAGAAACCCATCCTTTTTTTTCCTTCCGTCTTTTTTTACCCTTCTCTCTCTTTGCAGAACTCTTTGATCTCTTGATATATCCTTTGTTTTTCTCTTTATCTCTCTCTCTCTCTTTCTCTTTCTTCGCTCTCTTTCACCTCCTCCTCCCCCCTTTTGGTGTACCACCCTACTATTCCATATATATATCCTTGTTCTTGTTGCACTATTCACACACACACACACACACACACAACATCATTTCACCTTGTCTGCTGCTGCAATATCATCCATTTGCTGAACAATGCTCTTTCAACAAAACTATTTGCCTGGTGCATTTCCTGCCGAGAGATTCTATCATCACAGTCAAAAACATCTTCAACAACAACCACCGCTGCCGTCTTTTCCGCAGGATAACTATTCTCGTGTACGTCCTCCTCATCCTGAGCTCGATTCCGTAAGTCATTGTACTCTCCAAATGCCACTCATGTACTCACGCATTGGGAACCTCTTTAGAGTTTACGCAGCAACTATCATGTTCCACAGCAACAACAGCATGATCCCACGTCCTATGTATACCCACAGCAACAGCAACCAGGGACAATGCCGATCCAGCACGATCCCGATCAGCAGCAAGCATCGCAATTGTTTACTGCCACGTACTCGGCAGCCTTGAGTCAATACCAACAGCTGTATCAACAATATTACCATGAGCAACAACAACAACCAGCACAATCACACTATCTACCATCCATCATGCTTCCACCGCAATCCCCTACCTTGGCAAGCTACTATTTTGAAGGAGCCAATGGTTGGGTCAATCATTATTATGATCCAAAACGACGTCAATACTTGTCGCCACGCGTGGATCCACATTATCATCATCGTCAACAACAATCACATGATATGGGTGCAGCAGCAGCAGTCCACGCACAACAAGCACAAGTCCAAGCAGCAGCGGCAGCGGCAGCAGCAGCGGCAGCAGCATCACAATTGCCAACGTTGGATAGCCTTGGGTTGAATCCACAACAATTTCAAATGGCAGTACAGCAACAGCAACAACAACAACAAATGCTTCAAATGCGTCCAAGCACAGCAACGGATTTCATGCATCATCGCAAGATCTCATCTCAGCAGCAACAACCCTTGTATCCTCAGCAACCGTATAGCAGCAATACCAGTCACCCACATCATGCCCATCATCATCTTCATGATTATCTTGGATCAGCAGCAGCCTCCTCCTCCTCGTCATCAGCACAACAATCCATGATCAATGTCGAGTATACAGATGAATGGCGAGAAAACATGTTGCAATACGCCCACAGCTTGTACTCGAGTAATCCACGCAATAGCATGTTACCTTCGATTCTACATGTATTGCATGATGCGTTTCCTTCACATTTGCCAACGTTGCTGCTCTTGGCATGTGTGTATTACACGTATCAGGATTATCAATCATCGCTGCGTTACAATCAATTGATTCTAAAGTACGATCCCAATTATGTCGAAGCCATGAGCAACATTGGTACTACATTACGGAGTATGGGTCGTACAGCGGAGGCAGAACAATGGTGGTATCAAGCTGTCAAATTAAGACCTGGCTATTGGGATGCTGTGGAGAATCTTGTGGGTGTCTTGTGTTCGACCGGTGATAATCGCAACAGCACTTCGTCATCATCATCGGATCCTTTGAATACCTCAACCAGTAGCAGTAGTAGTAATAAAGGGGGTGTTGCTACTACTACTACTACTACTACAACTTCAACAGCAGCAACAGCAGCAGCAGCAGGGGCTGAGAAGGAAGAGGATGACAACAACACAAAGCAACGTCAAACAACAGCGTATCCTCGATACAAGGAAGCATTGGGTGTATGTGAATTTGTGGAGCAATACTTTTACAAGGAGAGTAGTACTACTACTTCACCTATCAAGCCACCCAAACAATTGCCGGTTGCTCAATTACCACGGTTGCAAAACTTGTTTTATGCAAAGGGGAATCTCAAGTATGCATTGGGTGACATTGCAGGTGCACGACGCGAATATGAAAAGGGATTGGAGCTTGTCTTTGGTGGAAGTCATTTGGTGGCTGTATCGAATCATATTGCGTTGGCATGTGGATCCACGGCTGTCATGGAAGCATCGCAATGTGGTCGTTTATTGGAGCCTTCCGTATTGCCTTTGGTCTTGTTGCAACCTGATCAAGCGGTGCGTATCATTCAAATTGCATTTGCTCAATCAGGTGGTGTGTTGCCAGGTCTTGCTCCATTGACCCATGGTGGTGGTGGTTCGACAAGTACGAGTAGCAGCAGCAACAGCAACAACAATGGTGGTACGACAACGTCATCGAATACGGAGAATGCCAATGCATTACAACAGGCAAATCAGACGACATCGACCATCTTGTTAACCTTGGCCAAGTTGTTCCAGGACATGATGAATCCCGCCACACCTGCCATTGCAGCTGCAGCCACAGCAGAAGGAAGAGCTGCACCGACCATGTCACTTTTGTTGCCATTGTACTATCTCAGTTTGGCATTGCATCCAAGTCCATCCACAGCCAACAATTTGGGTATTATTCTCAGCAACATTTCAGGAGCGAGTGCCGCTCTTGCTGTCAAGATGGCAACACCCAACAATCAGCAACAACAACAGCCTGTGACAGGTACCATGCTTGCAATGCAATACTACATGTATGGTCTTCAATTGGATCCACGCCATCCACACTTGTATACCAATTTGGGATCGTTGCTCAAGGACATGGGTCATTTGCATGAAGCGGTGTGCATGTATGAAAAGGCGGTCGAGTACAATCCACAATTTGATGTGGCGTTGGCCAACTTGGGTAATGCGATCAAGGACATGGGTCGTGTTCAAGATTCGGTGCAATGGTATCGTCGTGCTGTTGAAGTCAACCCCAACTTTGTGGATGCTGTATGTGGCCTTGTCAATTCATTGGGTGGCGTATGCGATTGGCGAGGACGTGGTGGTGTTGGCAATGAACCTACCGTGGATGCCTATGGTCATTTTGTGCCAGCTACTACAAGTAATGGCGACATGAATGCACGCAGTGGATGGATTGGTCGTGTGGTGGACATTGTTGAAAAACAATTGGATGAAGGTGCCGTTTGGGGTGTGGGCATTCTCAAGCAGCAAGTGGAACAAAACAAGTCCTTGGGTGAATACTTGGCCGAAATGTTGGTGCATACAACAACATCAACGAGTGGTGGTGATCATCATCAAGAACAATTGGTGCAACTCTGGACGCAGCGTTTGGCGCATTATGCAGATGGCAACAGCAAAAAGACGAATGAAGGTGGATGGGTGATTCGCATGATCGAACGCATCTTGCGTCGATTACAACGACGCTGGTACGTCGAACACTATGGCACAGCAATCAAGAGCAGCACTCTACAGCCATCCATTGTTGTCACTGAAAAGGAGGCCTTGTGTTATCGACGACCTGCAATTCCTGGCAACTTGGCAGCACCTCCTGTGCCTACGGTGTTACCCTTTCACACATTTACGTATCCATTGAGTGCTCGACAAGTACGACTCATTTCACATCGCAATGCGTTACGTATTTCACATGGTACATTGACATCATCATGGGTGGCAGGCCATGTGTATCCACCTCCACCGCCTCCTGCACCAAGGTTACGTGTGGGTTATGTGTCTTCGGATTTCAACAATCATCCATTGGCTCATTTGATGCAATCGGTGTTTGGCTTTCATGATCGGGTACGCTATGAGGTGTTTTGCTATGCGACGACCCCCAGTGATGGATCGCCTTATCGACACAAGATTGAACGTGAATCGGAGCACTTTATTGATGTATCGGGATGGTCGAATCAACAAGTGGTGGAACGCATTGTACAAGATGGGATCCATGTGCTTGTCAATCTCAATGGATATACCAAAGGGGCAAGAAATGAAATCTTTGCTGCTCGTCCTAGCCCTGTGCAATGCTCCTTTATGGGGTTTGCTGGTACTTTGGGTGGTGGTTGGTGCGATTGGATTATTGCCGATCCTATTGTATGTCCTCCTGAGATGGTCAGTTGCGAAGTATGGCGTTCTCGATCTCGACGATTGCAAGAAGATGGCACTGGTGGTGGTGATTTCGAAGGTGATATCGATCCAGAAGAGGATACGGATGATTTTGTCTACACTGAAAAGTTCATCTACATGCCACACTCGTATTTTGTCAATGATCACAAGCAAGGTTTTCGTGAAGATGATGAGTCATCAAAGACAGAGTCAACAGCACCAGTAACAACAAGCACCAACAATACCGATACGTTATGGGATCAAGAACAAGATCGACGATGGACAATGCGACAAGAAGTGTTCCCCACTTTGCCTCATGATGTGGTGATCTTTGCCAATTTCAATCAGTTGTACAAGCTTGAGCCAGGCACTTTTCGTATGTGGTTGCGTATATTGGAACGTGTGCCTCATTCGGTCTTGTGGTTGCTACGTTTCCCACCTGCTGGTGAACGGCATTTACGACGCTGTGCTACTGAATGGGCGGGTCCTCAAGTGGCGAATCGGGTCATTTTCACCGACGTGGCACCCAAGCATGTGCATATTCATCGAGGACGTGTGGCGGATATCTTTTTGGATACACCTGAATGCAATGCACACACTACAGCGGCGGACATTTTATGGTCGGGCACACCTATTGTCACTTGGCCGAAATACATGCACAAAATGTGTTCACGTGTGGGTGCAAGTATTGCTCAAGCGACTGGATTTGGCTCTGAGATGGTGGTGGAGACTGAACAAGCGTATGAGGATCGTGCCGTGCAATTGGCGCTTGGCTTGCAATATTCATTCACAAGTGCTGGACAACGCAGGGGTCATGGTGAATTGATGGATTTGCGTAAACGACTTTATCTTTCAAGAGAATCAAGTCGTCTTTTCGATACGGCACGATGGACCTTGAATTTGGAACGAGGCTATTCAGAAGCATGGCGACGTTGGGTCACAGGTCAAGAATTCGAAGATGTGGTGCAAGATACTTCCAATCCTGGTAGCATTTGGGTGGTGGATCCTGATGACAAGTAATCGATCGGTCCCTTCTCTCACACACACATTCATTCATTCATTCATTTCCTATCATCACACACACATTTTTTTTTACCATAGTTTGCTCTCCCCTTTTTGCTTTTTCTTTTTTTGTTTCTTTCTTTCCTCTTCTCTTATACTCTAGATCCAATTGCGCAAAAATCCTTAGAACTCTGCCTAGGCCCTTTGGATTCACTTGCGTAAGGGAATTGGGTGGGGGAGTTGAGTTTTTTCTTTATTGTGTTGCAATGGAAGGGGATGTGTGTGGGCGTGTGCGTGTGCGAGTGTGAGCGTGTGTGTGGGGATATACATATATGTGGTGTTGGATCGCTATTCTTATAAGTCATCTTGAGTATTAATTTGAGTTTTTCTTTTATTGACAATCTAGCTCTGGTCCTCCTCAAACCTATCAGATGCATCAAAGTCGCAATAGACACGGTAAGACTGGCCAGTTCCAAAATCTGCTTCCATCCTAAGTTCCGTGGCACCAAAGTACATTCTATATACACACAGCTATGTGAGATCACGTGAGGGAAAGAGAGGGAGAGAGAGCGACAAAGAGAGATAAGATTTACCTTACTGTGTATGCAATACGTTCACCATGCATAATGCCTGGCATTTCAGGGATAGGAACGGAGATGGCAGCAACATGGTGTACACCAGGCTCATCATAATAGCGAGGCACCACATCACTCTCAGTAGCGTACAGCATAATATCGGTGTGCTTGACAGTGCCATAATACACATACATTTGCTCGGTGATACAGTGGTCGAGGGGTAATACATCGTGCTTCTTGACAAAGACAAGGAATCGACTGGTACATCGCACGCTTCCATCGGGTCGCACGACGCGTGTCATGGGTGGATCCAATTGCGAATCAAAAGGCAATCCAGCATTGATGCCATAGGTTCTTCTTGATACACGTGCTTGGATACGTTGTGGATTAAGTCCGTACAAGGCCGCACCACGCACCACAGCCAATGCTGCACGTTCTGCTGGGGATACCACCTTGTCAAACTCGGTAAAGGTCTCCTGGATACGTTGATACAAGTAATTGGATGATCCAAATCCACCCACAAGCATCAAGTAAGTGAGTCGTCCATCTGGAATTTGATCGTATTGTTGTCGAATCAAGGATAGCTAGATCATCATCATTGTCAATAAAAAGAAAAAATAATAATTCATCTTGTTATGTACTTGCCACATTGTCTACCACAGGATCAAAAATCTGTTCCTTGAGTACATGAGCTGGTAACTTGATTGTGCCTTCATCCAAGCACCCATCTTCTTCTTCGTTTGTTGCTGCTGGTGGTAACTGATCCAGTGGCACTGATCTTGGTAGGGTGACATAATGATCCTCAAAACCATCAAACTCAGGCTTGATCACATCAATAAACTGATCCATCAAATCATTCATTTCTCTTGGTGGCAATTGATCCATGATATCTTGACCCAATGTCTGTATCAGCCATGTACGATAGCGTTCATCCAAAAAGACACTGCCACAGCTTTCACCGATGCCCTTGGTCACCTCACACAAGCGTTGGGATTCGGACATTTCAAAGACAATCAAATCGCAAGTGCCACCACCAGCATCGCATACCATGGTACGATCGCCTGGCTGTAAAGCGGCATCCATGGTTTGTTCACAGTAGAGAGCAGCTGCTTCGGGTTCTGAGATAAGGACTAATCGATCGGATGGATCCGAGGGCTTTACAAGACCTGCCAAGACAGCGGCTTGGCGCATGGTATGCTTGGCCTTGTCCGACCACAATGCAGGCACCGTCAAGCAATAACGAAATGTATCCGGGTGGTAGTTTTTGGCAAATCCTCGAGTGATTTCTTGTAACGTATGTTGATGCAATGCTCTCAAGTAATCAGCCACCACTTGTACAGCTGTTTTACTACACACAGGTCCATTAGGATATGAGTAGGGTGATGATGGTGATCTGTTTTACCTAGATGGCTCCTCCAATGTACGTCCCAAATTCTCATCCAACAACAATTTGAAATTCGATACTTGAACATGATGCTTGCCAGCGTATGGTTTGATCATGGTCCGTTTCGCACCGTGTCCCCAATCAACCATCTCCTCGTTATCACGTCGATACACCAAGGTGGTAGGCACCTTTGGAAAATAGTTGCTTCCTTTGTGTGGCCTAAAGTAGTAGTAGACAAAGAGTCAAAAGTAGTGTTCCTGTAACCAACCCACCCACCCAATGAGACGAATAAAACCTACCATTTCAACACATCAAAGACTTCGGGTGGCGACGTATGTGTAAATGCATAGGCTGCACCGGAATAGGTCGTGCCAAAATCGTATGCAATGACAACCTTGTAATCAGGAGACATGAGGGGGGAGAAATAAAAAGAGCAGTAGTAGCAACTTGTGCAACGTTTCCATGGCACGCCATTTATGCTAAGCGACTGTATGTATTACTTGGCGCCGCGCCACTGATAGATCAAAATGGGTAAGCTCTTTCATACTTCTTTTTTCGCTCACTGCTTATACAATTCAGCTTACATATACTTGCTAAGAGACTATGATTGTTATTGAAACGTATGTGCAAAGTATTTAATGTGTGAATGTGATAATAGCAATGACAAAGGAATGTGGTGATGATGAGCGAGGAGGAATTATTTAAAAAATGCGGAAACCTTGATAGGTGACAGGGATTTCGACAGGTTCAATTCTTCTGGGGCGGAAGATATACGTAAGGTCCACGCCAACGACATCCAGATGACCAAAAAAGTCGTCCAATAATTCGGGAGGGATCATATCTTTGAGGTTGCTGGGAGGGTGGATGGTCTCCTTCTTCATTTTGCGGGTTCGTCGTGGATTGTTCTTGGGTACCATTCTGGTCTTCGATTTCAAAACCGTGACCTTTGGTCTGTGTGGGGTGTGCATTGAAGGGCATCGTTCGAAGTAACCAGCCATATAACCTAATCATCGTCACACACACACACACGTTAATGGCGTACAGAATAAATGTGTGTATATATAAACTTACCGATGAACTCGCCCAATCCAAACCTTTGATCTGGGGATACGATCATGGCTACAAAAAGAGAAAAATGATCAGCTATTTTACACGAGATGAGAATGCAAAGATGAGATACTTGCTTGTTTTTCTTTCCTCGCGACTCAAGAGCTGGTAGTCGTTGCAGATAAAGGATTCAGGTTGATGCTCAGGGGTGAGAGATCCAAGAAGATGCAATAAGCCATCTCTGACTTGATCCAACGTAACCTTTGCGTTCTTGTTGATGACCACAGATGCAATGGAAATACGCACCATATCCTCCTTCACAAGTACATCAATGACATCGCCAACGTGTTCCTTCCACTTTGCCACCTTGCTCGCCAATTGAGGGCCTGTACACAAGAGATTGACGGATCCTTGCTTTTTCCTTCCAAACGGGGTGATCTAAGATTACTCAGTGAGCCATCACTATCATCATCATCCCATCCTCATCAACCACTTACAAGAGCGCCCACGGTATCAGCAACACGATTCACTTTGATTTGGGGTCCCTTGAGCACAATCCTTGGAAACTCAACCGTAATCTCCACGCCTGTTGCTTTCTCCTTTATCAGTTGCATCAGTCGACCTTGGCTGCCTAAAAAGTGTTTTGTGTGTGTCTCATGTTAGAAAGATGTTCCTCTTCAATAATACATTACTCATTTCGAACATACCAAAGAGATCCTCGGCACAAGGGAGTACATAGGGCACTTCAATCCATTGTTGTACGATATCTCCACTCAAAGTATCCCACACGCCAGGCCTAAGCATGTCCCGAATAATATGTTTCAGCTCGGTTTCATTGGTAGAAAACGGACGTATGGAATGAAGGTCACGTTGTGGGTAAATGACAGGTTCACGAGATAGTGTTGCAGTAGAGGGTTGTTGTTGTTGTTGCGGATGAGAGGATGAAGCGATCGAAGCCGTGTTATCATCAGCTGGAAGAGAATCATCAACCAAATCAGTCGTTTCACCTTGTTGCTGTTGTGCTTCAGGTGCTGCTGATAAGGATACTGCAGAAGAAGAAGATGATGATGGTATGGCGATGATATCATTGTTGTGCTGTTGACGCTGCTTCTTTGCGCCTCTGCGTCTTTTTCGTCGTTTGGGTTCATTGTCTTCTTCTTCGTCTCGGCGTGAACGTACTCTTGGTAGCGATCTGGCAGTTGGTTGGCTATGTCGTTCGTTCAATGAATCTTCTTGGTAAATTGTTGGAAGCGTGCGAGATTGCACCACTGAAAAAGAGTGTCCTGATCCATACACAGGCGTGACATTGCGTTCTCTTTGTTCTTGAGTGGGCGATCGTAGCGTCGCATGATTCTCAGGTTTCCAGGGGAATTGCGAGAGTCGTTGAGCATCCCTTTCAATGGCTTGGCGTGTTTCTTCGATGGAGGGCTTGGTGCCCCATAGTGCCTTCCACAGATTGGACAGCATGGTTGGACGAAAAAGGAGGAGGAGGAGAAAAGGCGGGCTGCGAGAAGAACGAACTTACAAGGACATACAACTGTTATGCAAATCAACACCCGCCGCCGCAGCAGCAGCAGAGTCACATTAGATGCCATGCTGTATCACCACCCACCCTTTATCAATTTATTATCTTACAACGACGTCTCAATACATACGTCTACTCAAATAGATGATCTTGAAGATGTTCTTGTTGTGGGTGTACTGCTGCTACAATAAGAGGGCGGTGGACGTGTTAACACTACTGAAGAGTATTTGGGTGGTGGCGTTGCCGTGATGGATGAAGCGGATGATGTAGCAGTAGTAGATGATTGAGTATAGAGTGGTTGTTGTGGTGGTGATATATAATGTCGACCCATATGGGCCATGAGCATGGCTTGAGAGAGTCGCGCAACAGCGTGTTCAGGAAGACGCAAGGTGGAATCAGGTGGAAAGTAAGGTGGTAGTTGTAGCATGGATGATGCAGCGGATGAATCATTGGTGTATAAGCGTATCGTCGGTGGTAATTGTTCATGTCGATTATAGGCACGTTCTATCATAGATTCACTACAAGCTTGTTGTGCTGCTGCGTATTGTTGGTCATATTCCCGTTGAAGCTGTCGTTGACGCCTTCGTCGTCTCATTCCAAAAATGTAGCATCCCGCTACTACGCCAAAAACAAAAACTGAAAAAACCACTTCAAAGGCAACGATCCCTATTGGACAATCGAATCAATTGTTTATAACAGTTGCTCTAGCCCATGAAGCTTTCAATATGATTTACCTACAAGCTGTGGACCTATTATCATTCGTTGTAGTACTGCCACCATCATCTTGCGATACAGGAGAAGGATACGGTTGAAACGAGGATGATGATGGGCTAGGCATAGAGGTGGTTGTAGTAGTAGTATCTTCAAAACTGCCGCTGTCGCTGATGTGGGTTGTTTTGGAGAAAGGGGGAGTGCCATCCATCATAATGATTTGCTGTTGCTTCTGTTTGAATTGCTCGTCATGATCGACCCCACTATCCATTAGCAAACGTTGACTATGTAACACGCGATGAAGAAAAATAAAAAAGAGGAAAAAAAAGAGAAGATGACTTTTTGTGTGTGTGTGGTGGGAAGTGAAAAGCTGATACAAACAAAATACATGCTGCTGCTGCATGCATGCATCATCTTCCACTAACCTACTCCGATAATAAAACGTGACCTTAGAATGTTGTCATTGTTGATCCTTGTTTTTCTTTCCCATGGACGATTATTTAGATGATCTGTGCACTTCCTCTTATCTCGATGACTACGATGACTTGTTTAGCCAACAGGACCAAACACAACGTCAATCCACCACCTCTGCACTGCTAAATCATCATGTCGATTCACAACAAGTGATCGTGGATGACTCCTTTTTCGACATGTTCTCCTCGTCACAGCTACCTGCTCCCTCAATGTCAAGTAATAATGATGATACTACTACCACCACCACTGCTATGATCGCTACAAAACGACCTGCCATCATGGATGATCCTCCTCACCAAAGTTCAAGCACCAACACGGGAACTCAACCAAAACCACGGTATGTACATAAAACGATCGCTTCGAATGGCCATTGTTATTGATCACATGCCTTGCTATAGGGAGTCCGTTATTGCATCCATTGAGGAAACCATCTTGTCAGTGGTTCAACGTATGGCACTTGGCAAGTCTTTGGAACTTCCAGGCTTTGGTCGACCCCAACCCAATCGCACAAAGTGAGTAGAATTCGCCCTTAAAGATATTAAAGCAACTCACCACCATCATGATTCTCCTGATTGTAGCAAGAAACAGAAAAAGACACGCGATCATGCAGCCCTGCAGCAGCAGCAACGGACCACCAGCTTGGATCTTGATACCAATTCTTTGGAAGAAATGCGATCGACACAGCCAAGCTCATCATCGTCAAATACTACTTCCTCCTCTTCAAATGCATCATCATCCACAGCAGCAACATCATCATCATCAACGACAAGAGCATTGACGCTTAACAGTGCAGCATCAGCAAAAACGTTTGGTACGTATGTGGAGTCCCCTTTGTATTATAAAGACGACAGCAGCTAATCTTGCTTTCCTTTTAGCACGCTATCTAAGGGTCTTGGAGATCATCCATGAAGCACTCGTAACAAGCGTGGTGGTATCAAAACGTGACATCTATTACAGAGACATTGCATTGTTTGGAACACAAAGCGTGGTGGATAAGGTTTGTATATAGTATTATTTCATCATCATCTTCATGGATCACGTATGCTAACTTTTTTTAAAGATCGTAGATGATCTTTCATGCTTCTACAATGTTCCTCGATCCAATCTCAACGTGGCAAGTTTTAAACTTTGTTTGGGAATCATGCATCTACTAACGTTTAGTACTTTACTTTAGACAGCAGCATCCAAAGGTCTTGTATTTGGCCCGGCAAAAATCACGCTCAAGAATGGCAAAGTCATCGATTGCTCTACACGTGGTGGTGATGGTGAAATGAATCAGGACTTGGACACGGATGATCAGGTACATGTATATACAATGCCACATGGGGTCAAATTCTTACCTTTTTTATATACCAGGGAGTCTTGATCCCACCCGCGAATCACGTGGCACATATGGAATGGGAAGCTGATTTCTTATTGATCATTGAAAAAGAGGTATGTATGTGGCCATCCCCGCAATACAGCACGTTATTGATTCTATGTATGTGGTCATGCAGGCAAGCTTTCGACATTTGGTGGCATCTGGTTTCAGCACCATGTTCCCCACAGCGATGCTTATCACGGTTGGTATCCCACAACACTACCCCCTGGTGTATGTACATCATGCTCAACATGGGTTTGCTATTACATAATAGGGAAGAGGTTATCCGGTAACGTATACGCACATGTGGATTACTATGTCCTTGTTTTGGCTCATGCTTTATTGGTGACAATAAAGGACCTTGCTACTCGTCATATGGTCAAATACATGTCAGCCCAAGATCGAACGCTTCCAATTATTGCACTTGTGGATTGTGATCCCTATGGTTTGGATATTTACAGCGTGTACAAATGGGGAAGTCAAGTAAGTGATATACAACCTTGATGGATGGTATTTTGTTTTGCTCATTGTATTGCCAAGGCGCAAGCTTTTGATTCACCCAACTTGGCTGTTCCAAGCATCCAATTTCTTGGCTTGAGCATGCAAGATCGATCGAGGTATGTATTGTGTGGTGTTTGTTTATGCATACCCGCTGGCTAATGATGATGATGATGATGATGACCCTAGATTTGGTATTCCTCATTCAGCCTATGCCCCGCTGACTGTACGTGATCGTCGCAAGGCCATGTTGCTACTCCAGAATTCAACCAACCATGCTTCATCATCATCAACAGAGGGTTCTTCACAAGATCATCAACAATTTGTGTATGCATCTACCACCGCCCATTCATAGTGACACATGTATTCTAAGGCACATCACCGTATTCATAGGAACCTGCTATCCTCCATGGTGCACATGGACAAGAAGTGCGAGTTGCAAGGCCTTTGCGCCAACCATGAATTTGGCATGTTGAAGCTGTTGCAAGCTAAGCTTGTCCATTTTATACTTGAAGCATGATTTTATGAATTAGCTACCCCATGTGGGCTATTAAAATTGTGACATGAAAAGTGTTGGGCTATCCATCTTTTAATAATACATCGACAAGCGACACATCATGTGGAGGTTTAAGCATTGACAAGAAGAGCATGGTTGCATTGTTTACATAAGAAGATGTTTTCATTGTTGATAATGATTGTAAAAGGCAAAACAGTGTTTTGGATACTAAACTACTAGGGGGATGTCGCGCACCTAGTAACTCTCTACATATGTACAAATGTGTATTTATATGAGCAAGCTATTGATGCCAATTTGATAAGGGAAATGAAAAAAGGAATGTGATGATGGGAGAGGAGGAATTATTTAAAAAATGCGGAAACCTTGATAGGTGACAGGGATTTCGACAGGGGCAATTCCTTTGGGGCAGAAGACATACGTGAGGTCCACGCCAACGACATCCAGATGACCAAAAAAGTCTGACAACAACTCTTGAGGGATCATGTCTTTGTTGGGGGGATGGATCGTCGTCTTCGACTTGAAGACTGTGATCGTAGGTCGCTGAGGTGTGTGCATTGAAGGGCATCGCTCAAAGTATCCAGCCACAAAGTCTAATCATCGTCACACACACACGTTAATGGCGTATAGAATAAATGTGTGTATATAAATGTGTGTATATAAATGTGTGTATATAAATGTGTGTATATAAACTTACCGATGTATTCGCCAAGGTCGAATTTTTGATCTGGCGATACGATCATGGCTACAAAAGAGAAAAATGGTCAGCTATTGTACACGCGATGAGAATCAAACATGAGATGCTTGCTTGTTTTTCTTTCGAGGCCATTCAAGAGCTGATACTCATTGCAGATGAAAGATTCAGGTTGATGCTCCCTGGTAAGAGGTCCAAGAAGATGCAATAAGGCATCCCTGACTTGATCTAACGTACCCTTTGCATTCTTGTTGTCCTCCACAGACGCAATAGGAATACGCACCATGTTCTCCTTCACTAGCACCTCAATGTCATCGCCAACATGTCCCTTCCACTTTGCCACCTTGTTCGCCAATGGAGGGCCGGTACACAAGAGATCGATGGATCCTTGCTTTTTCCTTCCAAACGGGATGATCAAATATAATACTCAGTGAGCAACCATCATCATCATCATCATCATCCCATCCTTAACCACTTACAAGGGTGTTCACAGTATCAGCAACACGAATCCTTTGAGTACTATCCTTGGAAATTCAACCGTGATCTCCACGCCCGTTGCTTTTTCCTGTATCAATCGGATCAAGCGACGTTGTCCGCCTATAAAGTGTTTCGTGTGTATCTCATATTAGCAAGATTTTCCTCCTCGAGAATACATTGCCCATCGTTGACATACCAAAGAGATCTTCGACACCAGGATTACATAGGGCACTTCAATCCTTTGCTCTACGACATCTCCATTCAAAGTACTCCACACGTCAGGCACAAGCATGTCTCGTATAGTAATGCGTTTCAGCTCGGATCATTGATAGAAAAATCACGCCGCGAATGAAGGTCGAGCATTCACGTTGAGGGTAAAATACAAGTGCACGAGATATTGTTGTAGTAGAGGGTTGCTGCGGATAAGAGGATGATGAAGAAGAAGCCGTGTTATCATCAATCGAATTTGTCGTTTCAGGTTGTTGTTGTTATGGCTTCAGGTACTGATAAGGATGATGCTGCAGAAGAAGAAGATGGTATGGAGATTGTGCTGTTGACGCTGTTTCATAGCAGCTCTGCTTCGTCTTCTTCGTCTAGACGTGGACGTACTCTTGGTAGCGATCGGATAGTTGCATCGTCGTAGGAAGAGCACGGGATTGCACGTCATCAGAGGCTATTGATCAATACACGGGTGTGACATTAAGTTCTTCTTTGTTCTTGCTTGTGAGGTGGTGGCGTCGTGTGATTCTCGGGAATGCAGGTGAATTGCGATAGTGTCTTCCAAAGGTTGGACAGCATTGTTGGGAGGAGAAGAAAAGGGGGCTGAGAGATAAACGAGACAACAGGGACCACTATTATGCAAATCAACATCCGTCCACCGTTGCCATGCTGTATCACCTACTTTTATTGTCAGGGAACAAACCACCTGCCATCATCATGAATGATCCTCCTCAAATTACAAGCAATGGCACCAACACTGGCAATCAACCACAACCACGGCAAGTAAAACGTGCACCATCACTACCCTGAGTGATCATTGTTATTGAGCATGCACCTGTATGTAGGGAATCGGTTATTGCATCCATTGAGAGAACCATCTTGTCAGTGGTTCAACGTATGGCTCTTGGCAAGTCTTTGGAACTTCCTTCATTTGGTCGACCCCAATACAATCGCACAAAGTGAGTAGAATTCACCTTTAAACAAGTACAAAAACCTCACCACCATCATGTTTATTCTGATTGTAGCAAGAAACAGAAAAAGACACGCGTTCATGCAGCCCTGCAGCAGCAGCGAACCGCCAGCTTGGATATTGGTACCAACTCTTTGGAAGAAATGGGATCGACATAGCCAAGCTCATCATCGTCAAATACTACTTCCTCCTCTTCAAATGCATCGTCATCCACAACAAGAGCGTTGACGCTTAACAGTGCAGCACCAGCAAAGACGTTTGGTACGTATGTATGTGGAGTCCCCTTTGTATTATCAAAACGACAGCAGCTAATTTTGTTGCTTTCCTTTTAGCATGCTATTTAAGGGTCTTGGAGATCATCCATGAAGCACTTGTAACAAGCGAGGTGATATCAAAACGCGACATCTATTACAGAGATATTGCATTGTTTGGAACACAAAGCGTGGTGGATAAGGTTCGTTGGTATTTCATCATCATCATGGATCACGTAACGTATGCTAACTTTTTTTTTCAAGATCGTAGATGATCTTTCATGCTTCTACAATGTTCCTCGATCCAATCTCAACGTGTGGGAATTCATGCATCATCTAACGTTTAGTGCTTTACTTTAGACAGCAGCATCCAAAGGTCTTGTATTTGGTCCAGCAAAAATCACGCTCAAGAATGGCAAAGTCATCGATTGCTCCACACGTGGTGGTGATGGTGAAATGAATCAGGACTTGGACACGGATGATCAGGTACATGTATATACAATACCACATGGGGTCAAATTCTTACTTTTTTTATATACCAGGGAGTCTTGATCCCACCCGCGAATCAAGTTGCACATATGGAATGGGACGCTGATTTCTTATTGATCATTGAAAAAGAGGTATGTATGTGGCCATCCCCGCAATCCAGCACGTTATTGATTCTATCCATGTGGTCGTGCACTAGGCAAGCTTTCGACATTTGGTGGCATCGGGTTTCAGTACCATGTTCCCCACAGGGATGCTTATCACAGTTGGTATCCCACAACACTGCCACTTGGTGTATGTACATCATGCTCAACATGGTTTGCTATTACATAATAGGGAAGAGGCTATCCGGTAACGTATACGCACATGTGGATTACTATGCCCTTGTTTTGCCTCATGCTTTATTGGTGACAATACAGGACCTTGCCACTCGTCATATGGTCAAATACATGTCAGCCCAAGATCGAACGCTTCCAATTATTGCACTTGTGGATTGTGATCCCTATGGTTTGGATATTTACAGCGTGTACAAATGGGGAAGTCAAGTAAGTGATATACAACCTTGATGGATGGTATTTTGTTTTGCTCATTGTATTGCCAAGGCGCAAGCTTTTGATTCACCCAACTTGGCTGTTCCAAGCATCCAATTCCTTGGCTTGAGTATGCAAGACCGATCAAGGTATACGTTGTGTGGCATTTTGTTTATGCATACCTGCCGGCTAATGATGATGACGACCCTAGATTTGGTATCCCTCATTCAGCCTATGCCCCATTGACCGTGCGTGATCGTCCAAGGCCATGATGACGCTTTTGCAAGCTAAGCTCTTGCACTTTGTACTTGAAGCATAGTTTTATGTATGATGATCTTTATGTAATTGGCTACATACCCCATGTGGGCTATATAAAAATTGACATGAATGGTGTTGGGTTATCCATCTTTTAATAATGCATCGACGACAAGCGACACATCATGTGGAGGTTCAAGCATTGACAAGGAGAGCATTGTTTACATAAAAAGATGTTTCATTGTTGATAACGATTGTAAAAGGCAAAATAGTATGCAGTGTCACTAATGGGGTAGTGATAACCATCGCTTATCTGAGCTAATCTTGAGACATGGATGGTGGTGGTGGTGATGAGCTGGGGATGATTTTTGGGTCGTCTCTTTGTTTTCCATAGATAGCCAAGGTAAAATACGTTGTGCCTGACCGGTTTAAAACAATCTCGGCTTGACTAATCGATCCCTTTTCACATTGGCCTCTGTCATGGACATTAGCTCCTTGCAACACTCACCACCATATTATGCCTCGACCGCAAAGTGATACTTGGCGCTATTTCACCATCATTGAAGGCCCTGACGGCAAAGGTCGTAAAGCAAGCTGCTCCTACTGTGGCCATCAGCAAGCATGTGGTGTGACCCGACTCCATCAACACCTCTTGAAAAAGTGTCCCAACATTCCACCTTCCTTGCGTGCAGAACTACGACAACGAGAAGAATCCAGAGCTCGATCGTCTCCTCCACAGCAGCAGCAACAAAACCACCGTAACGATAGCAACGATATGGACATCGACCGTGCATTATCAACATTAGCAGCACATGGGATATCTACTTCTGCACGTCAACAGCAACAACAGCAACAGGAGACATCAACAACACAGCCTGTGGACAATTATAGTAGTACGTCTTCGTCGTCAGGAACGACGTCTTCTTTGATGGCAAGTGGTCAGCAACAACAGCAGCAGGAACAAGCGATGCTCGATTGGCTTCTTGCACGTGCTTTGTTTTCAGCCAACATACCCTTCAGCGCCGTTGAAGATCAACATATGATTAGCTTTCTCAAACGCATGCGTCCTGGCTATGTTATTCCAAAAGCATATAAACTCCAGCAGCATTTACTCAAAGAACAGCATTGGGATTTGATTGAGTGCGATAAGAGTGATCCTGCTACCATTCGACCCTGTTCTCCTACTCGAAATACAACACCAGCACTTTCTACCACCACGAGTAATTCCACCACCCATTCATCTAATAATACAACGACGACAACAACTGGATCTTCAACATCCGTTACGACACCTTCCTCCACATCCTCTTCCACATTTTCAACACCCGGTAGCAATACTAATAATGCCTCAACCGCTTCTTCTATTTCATCCATTGGTCGTCTCATGAACAAATCCACCACCATCCCACCTTCTCGTCGCCACCATCATCATCATCCATACGACACATCCTCCTCCTCAACCTCAGCCTCATCCGTATCCACTTCCACTTCAAGAATCCATCATGGAGATAATACTAACAGTAATAACCCATCCGATCGTTCCTTATTAGCATCCTTACGAACTCCCAATATGGATGGAAGTTTATAATTCAATAAAACGAAGCTCTCTATTCTTGTTCATCCATGGCCTCATCCTGATCCTCCTCTTCAAGAGCGCCTTCTTGTTCCGCTTGCTTGGCAGCAATCTCTTCTTGTAGGGCATTCAATTGCTCTTGACTTAGTTTGTACACCAACTTGCCCAATTCTTCCACATCGTCCATCGTCTCAGCTTCCGAATAATCATCCACCTAAAAGGGACCGTGTTTTAGTATCCTTGCTTTTTGTCCAAAAGTAAATTTGTCTTTTTACTTACACTACGTGTCGTTTGCATGTATGTTTCATTGGGTCGTAAGCTGAGTGCTGTGGGTCGTTGTAACAATTTGGAAAAGACAGGTTGTAATTCGTAGCAGTTGGCAAACAAATCCTTGCGACCGAAAATATAGAGACCGAGCTTTGCACGTGACATGGCAACAATGAGGCGTCGAACATCACGAAGATGGCCCACTGTCTTTGTTCGTACCAGTGAGAGTAGGATATCTAGTAGTAGATTATGTGTGTGAGCGAATCATCTTTTTAAAAGATCTCCTTTACTTACAATCATTTTGTTGGCCCTGGTATTGATCGACGGTGGTGACAATGGCAGGTTTTCCAAAGTAAGGATTCCAGGAGCATCGTCGCTCAAGCACATCTTGAATCAAAGCCTTTTGTCCATTGTAGGTGGTGAGGATGGAGATTTTCTCTGGTGGATAACCAACGAGACGCATGTACTGGAACATGGCAACCACGTATTCAGCCTCGCCAAGATTTTGATAAAAGAAGGGTACTGGCTCAGCTTCGCCCTTGCCTTGGTAGTTGCCCACATCAATCAACTGATAATCATACGTGATACCGGCATTAGCATGTTGGAATGCAGGGCTGGTTTGGACCTCGGGTAAATCTTCCAGACCGCCATAGCGCCAGCTGTATAATTCCGCAATCGAAGTCCGTGCACGTCCCTGTGCATTCAATTGAAGCGTGGGTACACCCAAGCGAACAAAACGTGTAAACATGCTCTGCTCCATATTGCCATATTGCTGGAATGCCATGTTTTTGACAACAGGAGGAAGTTGATGATGATCACCAATAAGAATGACACGCTTGAGACGGCTCTCACCCTCATCAGATCGTTGCAATAACATGGGAATAAAGGTCTCCACTTCCAAGATTTGAGCTGCTTCCTCCATCACAATGTTATCATACTTGAAGTTGAGTTCCAAAAGTTCTGATCGCTACATATACATATATACCCCATGAGTCACATGATGAATACAACAACCAAATCCCCCCAATCACATACCTTGAGAGCAGCGTGTGTGCATGTCATAGCAATAATCTTGGCTTCCTTGGTGACGAGATAATTGGCACGATCATAGCCGGTGCGTAAGAGTTCAAAGGCTCGAATTTCTTCAAGCTCTTCAAACATCCTTTCCAAGTGACGGAAACATCCCTGTGCAGCATCCAAAGCCTCTTCTCGATCCATGTCACCATTGAATACGGGATGGGGTGCGTTTGAGAAAAAGTAGGCAAAGGGGAAATAGCTGCGGATCTCATCGGCGGTAGCTGTATGAGATTGAATATAGCGTTCCCAATGCGTCTGAACGTGATAACGGTAAAAGTAACTTGCAGTCTCACACGTGGCACCATGATCACCAGGAATACCCAAGGATTGAGCAAGTCGATTCACCTCTTGCAATAATTCAAGTCGACGTTCCAAGAAACTTGATACACGGCCATACTTGCTAAAGCTCATTTCGGTATTCAATTCTTCCTCGCCATGACCAAGACGAACCAAATGCCGGCTGTCAATGTCTATGAAATACACACACTCAGTATAAATGATGATAGTGATCATGATCAAAATGCTTACCAAGCTTGGTCAACTTTTCAAAGATTTGATTCAGAGCTTGATTGCTGTGCGTAACAATAAGGGTGTGTTGTGTGGGATTGTTGTGATAAAGATTGGTGATCGTTTGTACGGCGACATCGGTTTTACCAGTGCCAGGAGGACCCACCACCATTGTGAGACCATGATTCATGCCAGAGTGAATCGATTCAACTACCAAAAAAACACTTAGCAACGCTATGATATGACAATAACCTCATGTAAATAGATTTACCTTGAATGGGAGTAAATCGAATGGCGTTCTTTTTGGGAACATCTTGAGGATAAGGACCCATATTAGGAACCTTGTATGTTGAAGCTGTGATGATCTCTTGTCCTTCAGCTTGTGCTGCATTCCTTGACTTCTTTTTTGGCTTTTGTTCCACTTGCTTTGTATCAAAGTGAAGCTTGTAAGGTGGCTGAATAGGTGCACTTGAGCCTTGGGCTGGTTCTACTTGCTTTGGTGGTGATTAATAAATCATACAACATCGCATTGGGCATGGAAAAATGGGACTTACTTTTTGTGGGAAGCTCTCCTTGACATGATCCCAATCCAAGAACGTATCTCTAAAGTTCATGTCGCGGATACGATCGGGTAAAGCAGTATAGTGGGCACTGGAAGGATCGCCATAACCCAAAAACACCTTTTGAAGCCAATCGGGTACAGCCAAATCGCCTTGCATCAGATCACGGATGGTTTCCAGCACCGATTTAAAGTTGTTTTCTTGGGGTCGTCGTCGTACCAAAATGTTGAATGTCTCATGAATGTCTTCAGATTGATGACGATGGACACGATCCATATCCGCCTTGTATTGATTAGGATCCAATTCCACACGTAAAGTACGCTTTGTGCCATCCCATCGTGTTGTGCGATCCTCATTCAAAGTAGGTTTGCGTGCTTCATCAATCGGTCGACCATCACTGCCAAGCACATCCACAATCTCACATCCACGCACATGTTTGATGCCATAGTGTGCCTTGAAATCCTTATCCTCCGTATATCGGTTCACCGTATCATCGTTGGCTTGAATGGTCAACAAAAAGAGCACATCATGGCGGCGCAAATTGTCCCATTCACGTCGAATCGTATCCGTGTAGCGACCCACATTAAAGGTGATATCGGCCTTGACATGAGCAGGTCGATCTTGACCCAACTTGGGAGGTGCTACATCCACCACACTCACAGCTTCAACAGGAATAGCCATTCTTGCCCAACCGGCAAACTCGGTCTTACGATCGGGATACTCAAGGCGTGGTGCAAGACGCTTGACAACATCTTCAATGTCTTGTCTAATCTCATACGAACTTTCCAGGCGGAAGAGCGTAAAGTTGCGTAAAAGATAATCGTGAATCGTCAAGAACTGCAAGTTGAGCTTGGGAAGCGCCAAAGGTCGATCGCCTGTGTAGAATTGATTTTGGATCAAAGTATCACTGAACAATGTCTCCTATTATTCCTCTATAAGTTTTCTTTCCCTTTCTCTTTTGGTTATCATTGTTCTACTTGCCTCATTTGGATATAAAGGTGTTTCATTGATCTTATCAATCTGGCTTTGACGCTTTTCATATTTGGCAACCAGGCTTTCAAGGAGGAAATCTTTGTGATCCAATTGTTCTGCAGCTGCTTTGGCAATAGGTGTGGAACGAAGATGAACAGCATCACATAGTTGGCTCAATGGTTCAACGTCTGCAGGTTCAAGATGCCACAACAAGTCTTGTCGTTGTTCAAGAGATCCATAATTGGCCAAAGGTAACTCGGGGAAAACCTCCTTAAGGCGACGAAATACAATGTGCTATAGGACACAAAACAATGATGAGTCCCATGGACTTGAGGTTCTTTGTACCCCTCCCTCCCACAATACCTGAAGCTGCGTCAATTGTGAGCCTCGCATTTCGGTCATATCAAGATCGGTCAGTGCCAAGCCGGTCAAATCATTGATCTCGAATTTGGAATAAAAATCAAGGTTGGCGAATAGCTCTTTCAATAATGCAACATCCTTGTTCTCGCGTTTCATGAATGGTGCAAGGCGACATGTGACAATAATGGCATGATCATCCAAAAGAGTGTTGAAGAATCGACGTGTGGGCAATTGTGCTTCAAGATCAATCAATAATTCCATGAATCGCTCGCAGTATCGTATCACATCCTCATCCACTAGGTATGTACATTGTCAGCGTACAAGCTTGGTGTATATAGCTCCCTTAATGCCTTTACCTTCTCCTTCAGCTGGGATCATATAAATCGTTTCAATAAATGACTGTAACAAGTTGCTCATCCACTGCTGCTCGAATGTCAATTTCTCTTTGGTGCTCTCATCTAGAATCCATTTCGATGGTTAGTTGTCACGTATAACGCATGGGGGTTGTCGTTTTTGCTTTACCGGCTGCATCGAATTTCTTTTTTGCTGACTTCCACAGTTTGCGCAATTGGATAAACTCGCCAAAGATCACATCACGTCGTTGAGCATGTGCAAAGTTTGACCAAATGGTGATAGGAAGTAGCCTATAAAAAGATGTGAGCTTTGTGATTCCCTATGGATACCCAATCGATGAACTTACTTTAAGCATTCCTTCCGTACCATGGCATTTTCCAGACTTTGGAAACAATAAATCAAAAAGACGAGAATGATACGCTGTACACGGAGGGAAAGATCTTGAGCTGGCACCAGTAAACGAATGACACGATCAAAGAAGGCAGTGAATTTGGCGGGATCGGATGCAAATGTATCTAGAAATTGACGTTAGCCGAGTCTGGTGATACGCACACACACACGCACACACATGGATGGCTACTGCCACTTACCCCAAGGTGCAACACGTTGTCGAAACTTTTCATTGACCATAAGACAAATTGAAATCACATGGTTGGTGGATGCCTTGTTCTCATCAAAGTAGGGCCAAAGATACTACAACAAGACTAGTGTTGGTATAGTTTTCATTCAAGACGCGCGTTTCTAATATCCGAACCTTCTCGAGGTACTGTGTGAATTCCAAGAGCATGATCTTTTGCGCGTCATAGTTGGATGGCTTGAGCTCTTTGTCCATAATCGTCTCGACGATGCTGGCATTCCACTTTGGTTTGCTGGCATTGTACGACTTTTTGGCGATCTCAGAGATGGAATCCGATTCGATATCTTTGAGCGTCAATGGGCGTTGGCGTTGACCTTGTGAAGCGATCTCTACTTCGCCTGTGGGTGCGTGTAATGGGAATGTCGTCTTTCGATACATGGCCAAGCCAAAGAGGAAAAAGAAAAATAAGCAGCAGCAGCAGCAGAAAGAGAGAAAGCACAATTGAGTTCCGTTCCTCTTAAACTTGGTACACACTTTAGTCCCGGCTGCCAATCAAATGTTTTGCTTCGACGTTCAAATAAGCTGTCAACTTGTCACAATGAAGAGATCGAATCCTAGAATACTGCCACCTGCTTCTTGAATACCCCTCCACCATAGGCCTCTCTTGTTGCTGCTAATCGACCGTCATTTGCTCCCCTCTGTTTGTATTAAACACATGATAAATAACAGCCAAATACTCTCTTGTTGCCATAGCACTTGTTGTCAAGGTGACCATGGCTGCTCGATTCCCATCATCCTAAATCATTTATGCACGTCGTATACCACCTTCAATGGCAACAATGATTTGATATTACCATTGCCTGGACCCCACTCGCCCCATCATTAATGGGTCTCTCAATTTTGTGCCCATCAACGCAAAAGATGTACAACGTGTTGTACATCAAAAAAGAAGATCTATCATCAACATCCTTTGCGCATTACATTGTGTCACTATGTCTGTGAGCCATTTCAATCCACCAATTGCCATCTTACCATATTCAATATGCACAGCAGAGCTTTAGCTCTTTCATCTTAATACCATACATCACTTTCGGTAAGGCGAAATCTTCCACTTTTGCAGCACACATCACTCAGCTTTTGATTTCCATTCTTTGCTCAGGTATTTGGTATAGCTTATCATACCACCTATGAAACGTCCTCCATAACTGGGCCTTTTGTTATCATCAGCAGTCGCCTCATGGTCTATGATGGATGGCGGTTCTACTAGCGAAGATAAAGTACGTCTTCTCATCTGCTTATCTAAATTGAAGGTGGCCGTTCCTTGTTTCCACATATTTATTGGCCCACATCACATGTTCATATATATCCAAAATCTCACCAGCACATATATTCAAGATTCAATCGCTGTAGTATATGAGAGTTTTAATGGAATAACAGATGTGGTTCCTGTTTTACATACTAGACGGCGTGACACTTCCATAGAACTAAATAACAAAGATCAGAGACCGTAACAACGAAAACAACTGGATAACAATATAACTTACGGGGATTAAAGACACACTCTTCATATGCATTGCATTCAAAAATTTCGTTGATACTGTCGCAGGTTTGTCCTGGGGCAAGGTGCTTTGGGGCTGGAAGAAGGTCAACAGGATTGGCTGTTGCAAGAATGGCGACCGTGGCAAGGGATACGATAGCAAACTTCATTGCGATTGTAATAGTAGTGGAGTGGTATCTCTTTGTCTGGATGAAAGTCAACGGGGGCTATTTATATGCTTCCGCTAACTTTATCTTTTTGAATACATAGGAGGTGCTCTATCATAGCAGAACTTAAAGTTCAATACCAGATACATTTACAAACCCGTTACATACCACTACGACGACGATATGCAGGAACAAGCACCCCCTTAACGATCATGTACATATGCACAACATCTTCTGCGTGTGAGGAAAAAAAGTGTTGAGCGTCGTTACTTTTCCTCCTTGAACTAACGTATTTGCTGCATCGTGAATAAAACCATCTAAAAGAAATGAGTACTAACGTAACTTGATCCCGCCATACAAGAAGCAATCAACGATACAAGTGGGAACAGCATGTTGCCATAAGGATAAAAGTACTTTTTATTGCTCCACGTCCGCCACAGATGTAAGAAGGATTGGAAGATACGTCTCTTCGTTTAAAGCTGCAACTTTTCACAATGACGATATCCAATCCTAGGGTGCTGCTGCTATTCATCACTTGCTTGAATATCCCTTTATGCATTGTTTTCTTGCTGCTGGTACTAAGCGACCATCCCTATTTTGTAGATTGAAGCACACGAATAATAACACTACAAAGACTCTCTTGTTGCCATGGCAATGGTTGTCAAGGTGGCCATGGCTACTCGATTCCCATCCATCGTAGATCATTCATGCACGTCGTAGCTTACCTTCAATGGCAACAATAGTGTGTGCATCCTGCCACCTTGAACAATCATTATCATCTTCCAACTTGATATTACCATTGATTGAACACCACTCACGCCATCATTCGACCGGTCTCTCAATTTTGTACCCATCAACGCAAAAGATTTAAAAGGTGCTGTATACCAAAGAGGATCCGTCATCATCATCCTTTATGCACTTCATTGTGCCGTGGTACCACGTTCGTGCGCCACTTCAATCCAGCAACTACATACCAACTTACATACTCTATATTCACATCACAGCTTTAGCTCTTTCACCTTTATAGCATACATCACTTTTTTCGGCAAGGTCTCATCTTCCACGCTTACGCGCATTACTCAGCTTTTGATTCCAATTCTTCGCTCTGATACTTGGTATAGCTTATCACCCCATATGGGACATCCATCATTAACTGAGCCCTCTTTTTCCTTATCATCTGCAATCCTTTGATGATAGCAGTTCTACCAGCGAAGATGAAGTAGGTCTTTTCATGCGCTTCCCTGAATGGAAGAGGGTCGTTTCTTATATCCACACATTTGACAAGCGTTCAAATCACATGCTTTTCTATCTTTTTTATCCAAAGTCTCACAAGAGCATAATTCAACCATTGCATAAGATGACTTTTGATGGAATGATATATCCAATTCATGCTTTTTTGGGCTATTAGTTCTTTGGCATACATCGAAATTCAGCTAAAAGATATGGTTAAATACCGTGACAACGAAAAGAAATGAATAATAATGTAACTTACCGCGGGTCATAATTACACTCTTCATACCAATCGCAGTCTTCAGGTAGCTTGATACTGTCGCAGGTTTGTCCCGGGGCAAGGTGATCCAATGAATATCTGGGAACAAAGGCGTTGGCTGTTGCAAGAATGGCGGCAGTGGCAAGTGCTAGCACAGTGAACTTCATTGAGATTGTAATATTAGTGGAACGGTACTGTTGTGCCTTGACGAAGGATATCAAACATGGCTATATATACACTTTTTACTCCATCCGCCAACTTTAACTTTTTACTATAGAGGTGCTCTGTCACGCATAGCAAAACGCAATATTACAAACGCTGCGACAACTACTACATACCACTACGGCGATATGCAGGAACAAGCACCTCCTCAAGAAGCATGTACATACATGTGTACAAACATCTTTTGCGTGTGAGGGAAAAAAGTGGCGCGCATCATTACGTTTCCTCCGTGAATTAGTGTACTTGTTGCATCGTGAATAAAACCATCCAAATGAAATGAGTAGTAATGTAACTTGACCTCATCCAAGTAATCAACGATAGAAATTGGACCAGCATATCGTAAAGGTAAAGGTACCTTCATTGGTGCGTGTCCGCCACAACTACATAATGTAAGGGGTTTGTGTGGAAGGATGGGAAGATGCGTCTCATACATTTGTAGTTCTTTATAATAACAAGCCATGCCTACATGGTGTAGACGTCATGCAAACATTACGCCATTGGAGAAATGAGGAGCCACAATACTTGTTGAGTGGTAAATGTACAAGTGAAAAGATGATCATGAAGAAAAAGGTAAAATGCTGCTTTAGCTGACAGCTAGGACGTTTTAGAAGAGGTCCTTTTTTTGTACATACGATGGCAGCTGTATCGACGCTGCAACAATTTAAGCCGACACTACAGAATTGCCACCGCCACGTTCAACGTGCATCATTGCTATCTCTCGCATTTTGGTCCCTTCGATGTTTAAAGCTGCAACTTTTCACAATGACGATATCCAATCCTAGGGTGCTGGTGCTATTCATCACTTGCTTGAATATCCCTTCATGCATTGTTTTCTTGCTGCTGGTAAGCGACCATCACTTGCTCCCTATTTGTAGATTATAGAACATGAATAATAACACTACCAAGACCTTCTTGTTGCCATGGCAACGATTGTCAACGTGACCAATGGGTACTTAATCCCCATCATCCTAAATCACTCATGCATGTCGTATGATGCCTTTAATGGCAGCAACAATTTATGCACCCTGCCACCATGAACAATCATAACCGCTGCCGCTCCTCGCGCCATAATTTGGCAGGTCTCTCGGTCTTGTACCCATCAACGCAAAAGGGTACAACGTGGCATAAGCCAAAGAGGGTCATCCTTTATGCATTACATTGTGCCACTATGTTCATGAGTCACTTCACCAATTGCCAGCTTACCCTACTCCATACGCACAGCACAGCTTTAAGGTCTTTCATCTTTACATCACACATTCACTTGCAGTAAGGCGTCATCTTCCGACGCTTGCACGCATCTGTCACCCAGCCTTTGATTCTAATTCTTTGCTCTGATACTTGGTATAGCGTATTACCTCACATACGGAATAACCATAATTAACTGGGCCTTATTTTTCTTACATATCATCTGCAGTCGCCATGGCATACGACGATGGCAGTCCTACCCGCCAATATGATGTAGGTCCTCTCATGTGCTTCGCTGAATGGAAAATCGGCGTTTCTTTTATCCACACAATTATTGGCAAACCCCACCACATCACATGCTCATATATTATATATCCAGAGTCTCACAAGTGCATATATTCAACCATTGTATAAAAAGATATCTAATGGAATGATAGATCTGTTTCGTGCTTTGCTAGGCTATTGAGGGTCTTATTTTTCAAGGCACTCCATTTGACCATAAACTAAATCATATGATCAGATACCTTGACAACGAAAACAACTGGATAATATGACTTACCCTCTTGAGAAGTACAATGGCTATGACGATTACACTCAGTCTCTGTAACAAATAGCTCGCAGAATGCTGGGGCATGTTGTTTTAATGGTTGCTCAGGTCCGACATGTTAAGGGATGACTGTACCTTTACCATCAGCATTAGGGGGGCCCCCTGAAGGTTTGGCTCTTGCAAGAATGGCGGCAGTGGCAAGGACTAGCACCACAGCAAATTTCATTGGGATTGTAGTAGTAGGATGGTATTGTTGTGCCTTGGCGAAGAATATCAAACATGGCTATATATACACTTTTACTGCTTCCGCCAACTTTGTCTTTTTAGATACATAGGAGGTGCTGTGTCATAGTAGATGTAAGTTTCTAAGATCAGCATCATGCAATAACAAATACGTTTACATACGCCGCGGTAACTTACTGCCGCGACATGCAGGAACAAGCATCTCCTAGAAGCATGTACGGATACACAAACATCTGTGTGTGAGGAAAAATGTGGGCGGCGTCGTTACATTTCTTCCATGAACAAGTGTATTTGCTGCATCGTGAATAAAAGCATCCAAATGAAACGAGTAGTAAAATAACTTGACCTCATCCAAGTAACCCACGATAGAAAGCAGATCAGCCCATCATAAATGTAAAGGCACTTTTATTGGTTGGTGTCCGCCACAAGGAATGTGGGCGTTTTGTGGAAGGGTTGGGTGATGCGTCTCATGCATAGTTCTATCATGTCAAAAATCATGTCTACATGGAATAAACATACAAAAATTACGCCGTTGTAGGAATTGGGGGCCATTATGCTCGGTGGTGGTAAAGGTAGAACTGAAAGATGATCATGAAGAAATGCAGTAAAATGGTGCTTTAGCTGACAGCTTGGACGTTTTAGAAGAGGTCCCCTTTTTTGGAGCAGCTGTGTTACCAAACTATAACGCTGCAACAAGTTAAGATGTCACTATAAAGAATGCTACCGCCACGTTCACGTATCTTTCCATGCCAAATAGCACGCTCATCAGTGATCAATGATGAAGTTGCATTCAACCATACCAGTATGACGAAGATTGTAGGCATTTTTCCAATCCTGATCCATGCTTGTGGATGAGTGTTTAATGATGCATATTAACAACCAGTTGCCACCTATCGATATGGTGTCGAAATGTCTTATGAATTTATTCATATGGGGCCATGAAGCTGAACCAGTATAGGATGCTAAACTAGAACCTGATGGCGGCTTGTCGCCGATCCAAATTCCAGGTTGTCGTCTCTTGTTGAATTCCATGCACTTCCTCTCATAATTCTTATGCCACCAACCTCTCGGGTCCCAGCAACAGCTTTCGTGGTGTCCGGTGTTGTCACAGGCATTCTTGCTATCTCTGCTGCTATCTATCTGTTCTCAACATCTCAATCGGGTCGATCTCTATCAACCGATCTCGCCAATGGGACAACATTAGAACCAAGACGATCAACACGGTTACGGCGTTCTCGCAATGTGAGGAGGCGACGATCGCGTTCAGGACAACAACGACGAGAAGGTGGAGAGCAGCAAGGTGTATCCCCATTGCAAATCCTATCCGATGCTGAAGACGACTTGAACTGGAGCGACGACGATAGTAAGAATCTTCTCAACCTCGTTTATACCATCTCTGAGAACCAAGCACGTAAAGGTATGTATGATAAGAGTGGTTTAAGGAAGAGTATGTCCTAATGACTCATATTCGCATTGAACAATAGAGGGGTATATCCATCGTAAGTGTGCGAAAACAGGCTTTCTATCCATGGACATGGTATTCATGCTTGTTTTGCAGGAGGTATCACCTGTAACAAATGCCGAGTGACACCCATTCGAGGAATCCGATACAAGTGCGCCAATTGTGTGGACTTTGATCTTTGCGAGTTATGCGAGAGTGCCAATTGCCATTTGACCACCCACGTCTTTTTGAAGATCAGAATACCCATTCCACCTTTGGCCAATCCACGAAGTGCTCTTCTTCCTGCTTTTTATCCTGGCAATGATGAAAATAGTCGATGGGTATTGAAACCAGAAGTGATTCGAGAGTTACAAGATATATCCCATTGTAAGTATCCCTTCTATATACATGACAATGTACCCACTCTTCGATGAAACTAGTTGATCAGCTTGAGCTGGAGGCTTTATATGAACAATTCAAGTCGCTTGCCACGGTGACCAAGGGCGATAAGGGTGGCATTGACAATGAAACATTCGAGCAATGTCTTGGGCCGTTGGGATTGGAGAAGAACTTGATTACGGAGCGTATCTTTGCTTTCTTTGACCAAGATCGGGATGGTATCATTTGCTTCAAAGAGCTTGTTTGCGGATTAAGCGTGTTATCCAAAGGCAATCTGGATGAGAAAATTGAATGTAAGTATACAAGTCTACTAGTGGGTTCATTATCTAACGGACGTATAGATGCATTCAGGGGCTATGATCTCGACAATGACGGCTATATATCACGTGATGAGCTTTATCGCATGTTCAAGTCATACTTTTACCTTTCCATGGAGCTTGTACGGGATGTTGTGAGTGCAATGGAGGATGAGATGATGGACAATTTCGAGTTCTCGGCTTCACAACCTGTCAGCGCAGCTTTCAATATCGGGATACCGTCATCGTCGTCTTCTCAGCAGCATAGCAACAGCAACAGTGAAGATGAAAATGAAAATACCAATGAACATGGTGGTGGTGGACATTCTTCAGCATCCAGAAATCGACGTCGATATCCTCATAAAGAAGCTCACTTTGAACATCAATACGCTCATGGCGATGGATCACCAACATCGACTGCGACCATGGATGGATCACATCTTAAAAACAAACAACGGCAAACTTCCATCAACAGCGGTAACCCAGTACAACAACAACAACCAGCACCCAAAAAGACATGGGAGGAAAAGTTCCCGATCATGGAAACAATGTCCCAAGATGCTATCAATGAAATGGTTGACAAGACGTTCAAGAGCATCAACGTCAAGAGAGAAGGTTACATTAGCCTAGATGAATTCAAGCAGTGTGTTCAAGCGGATTCAAGTATTGTGAGCTGGTTTGAAAGTTTAGGAAGTGTATTTTAGCCTTAGTACATAATAAAATGAGTCATTAAAAAGTAAGGCTTCTTGTTGATTAGCTAATGAAGTAATTATAAATGCAAAGGACGGTTCAAGGTGAAAAGCGTAATAAAGGGTTACGCTGTTGATCGCTTTTGCTGAGATAAGCAATATTGTAACACAAACAATGCAATGTGTGCAGTGGCACCAAGCGTAGCACAAGCAATGAGAACGACGAACAATGGCTGTAGATGAGAATGGCCTTCATGTTCACGATGCTCTGCTGCTGACCCAGCCGTCAAGAGTGCCTTGATATCGGCAGCAGATCCAGGTTGACAACATGTATCATCATCATACCCACTGCTGGTAAATCCAATGAGCCCTTGGTCACGATCCCATATGGTGGTTTTGCCACGCATGAAGGTGTTGCCAAGTATAGTCCCTGCAACCTGGTTCTCGTCATTATGGGATGACAAGCCTGTCAAGCTAATGTTGATCCATGGCTGCGTCTCGTCATCGTTGTCAATAAGGACGACGTCAAAGAGGTTCTCGATATCAAGGTCGACTTTTTGCCCACTCAAAGAGATGGCAACATTGCTATCGTCATTGAGCTTGACTGCTTTACTGGGAAGTGTAAGCCGAGTACGATTGAACCAAAATGCTTGCTCGTACTCTGAAGACACAAAGGCAGAGTCAAATTGCACCAACCCAGATTCCTTGATTGAAAGTAGCAAGTGCTGGAGATTCTAATTATGGGTCATCATCAGCATGTTGATGTTATTGAACGGGGTATTGTATTACCTGTTTGCTCAACACGATATCTTTAGTCCCGGTATCAATAATGGTCCTCGGATGATTAATGCCACGCATAGGTACTCGCTTGCCATTCACCAAAAATTGATCAACATGTAGCTCATAATGGTATTGGTTGGATATCAGGGGTACCCAGGCCACCTGTTGATTCATCGCATTTGTGCTGTATCCACCCAACCAAAAGTGGCCAACTCGATTTTGGCATATGGATTTTCCTTTGTGTTTTTGTTGCTTGGAGACGCTTTGTAGACCTTTGGCTGCATTGGCATCAACCCTATGTTTTGGACAAAGTTGGTATGAAAAGGCATTGGGAATATTAAGTTGCTGACGCATGGCATCAAACAAAGTTTGAAGGGATGGGGTACGTTGATGGTCTTGATTGAAATACACATCATGTGGACGTGTTTGTAATTCTGGATAGGCAAGCCCCCAATGACCATGGTTTTGTGGACATTGGCTTGTAAGGTATTGATGATTGTGGGTAATTGCATCCACACGTGCAAAGACACGGTGGTTTTTATCTTGAAGCCTGATTAATTGACCAGTAGCATATCCTTCCCAAGACGATCGTGTGTTGGCATTTTCGTAGCTTGCATTCACAGGGTTGGTCATGGTTGTGTTATGCATAGGGAGTGAAGGGCTGTGTATCATCATGCAATTGGCATCGGTACATGCATTAGAAATGACAGCTGTATTGGAGGAGCCTGTATCTAAAACAAGGTTTGCCTAAAAGAGCATGAGCATGATGGTGTGAGATGGATGAGTCAACAAGGTGCCATAACAATAGTAATAGTACACCTACCCAAGTAGAGCCTATTTTCAGCCGTACATGGTAATTACATTCTGCGGATCCATGGATGTCAAAATGAGCTGTCAATGTCATACTCTTGGGATCCTTTTGTGGTATGACGATATAAAGGCTATACTTAAAAGCAGATTGAGTTTTGTATGTTCCGGAACAATGTTTGCTTTGGGTGCCTAAAACACGCGGTGCATTATTATCTTTTCTATCGCTTGACTTTTGTTTTCCTTTGTACTCTCTTACATACATTCTTATACATACGTAACCCATATCATCTTTGGTGGTCAACTACAGCAAGTAGAGCACGATGGCTGAAAAAGTCAAGTCGTTATTCAAAAAGGTGGAGCACTTGGGACAACCACCCCCATTACCAAAATCGCAAAACATTCCACCAGCACCCCAATTTCCACCTTACGATGCTGTCACTGCCGAGATGTATCGTCATCGAAAGCAAGTAGGAGTGAATTTGGGCTCGTTATTTTGTTTGGAAGGATGGCTTGCACCAGCACAATTAAAATCATGCGGATTGCAACATGATTGGGAATCCGAAAGCGACTATCTCGATGCTTGTCAAAGCCGCGAATCAGCTCGAGGTGCATTGGAGGACCATTGGAAGACCTTTGTGACCGAAAAAGATTTCGAGTTTCTTGCATCCGCTGGTATCAATTCAGTACGTGTGCCCATAGGCTATTGGGTAGGAGCTGAACATGAGGATATGGTGGGCCCGTTTAAGAAGTATCAAGGCGTATACGATGCAGCATGGAATTACCTATTGCAGCTCATTGCCAATGCATCAAAGTATCAAATTGGTGTCCTTATTGACTTGCATGCAGCACCAGGTAAGGTTGTTTGTGTGTGTATGGATATCACATCTCATCATGCTGCTGATAATAGGCGCACAAAATTGCGACAGCCATTGCGGTGTATCATCTGGGCAGGCCCAATTGTTTAAATTTGCCTCGCATAATGCATCCATTGCAATCAAGGTGTTAACACGCTTAGCCAAGACATTTGCACCGGTCAATAACGTGATTGGACTTGAGCTACTTAATGAACCAAAGGATGATTCATCACTGGGTAACTTTTACACCGAAGCTGCCAAAGCGATTCGCCAAGCAACGGGTGACATAAGGCTACCCATCTACATTGGAGATGCATGGAATGTAAACAAGTACAGCGAATGGATAGCAGGCCATCAAAATCAAATCGACTTTTGTGTGCTCGACACGCATCAATATTTTTGTCATACACCAGCCGATCATGCAAAAACGGCTGAACAACACACAAAGCACTTGACAACAGGGCTTAAACAAAAATTAGGTGACAATAGCCGGCGTATACGTGGCAACATGGTGGTTGGTGAATGGTCGGTGGTACTCAATAACAAGTCGATTCCTCAGGGGCAACATGATGGGCAAGTCATGCGTGATTTTGGGCAGGCGGAATTATCGGTGTGGGATGCCACTTGTGCTGGCCATTATTATTGGACGTACAAAACAGCGGATGATGGCTGGTATTGGAGCTTCATTTATTGCTTCAAGAATGGCATTCTACCTCGCAACATGGGCGGCTTTGTTGAACTACCGCAAGATGCTGAATCCAAGGCCAAGGCTCAAAAAGAAAACTTGCTACAAGGAGCCTATAATCAGCATGCTCAATATTGGTCCAATGAAAAGAAACAAGCTATTCGTGACAATACTTGGAGATTCCAAAAGGGGTTCGATGCAGGGTACGAAATAGCCTTGCGATTCTTTAAGGAAAGGAGCCGTATTGGATTCACCGGTCAACTTGCCCATGAATACGCTATCCAAAATAGCCATGAAGGTGATAATGGTGTTGCTCAAGCATGGCAATTTGAGCATGGCTTCGTACAAGGTGTACAGGCAGCTGAACATGCAATAGCTCAATAAACTTTTGGTACATTAGGTTATACTCATGCTTGAATACATGCTATCGTTGGTAGTAGAAAAAGAGGAGCATGATGGCAGGCATCATTATAGTATTTGTCGATCGCTACATTACAGTATTAGCTACATGCCGTTGATGATACAAGGATTACTTTCATAGCCACCCCCGGTTTTCACCTGATAACATCATTATCCCCGCTTTCCAAGTGGTTCAACCTTTCTAGCATGTCTCTTCTTCAAAATTGATTGCGGTGATACAGGGGCCAGTGATACAGCTGTGACCACCCGGTACCTCATTACCTTGTATCTAGTACCCATTACCATGCCTCACACATTCTATTTAACGCATTCTACTTGAACGCATCTTGTGTCCCTCTCTGATAACAATTATCATCCTCTTCCAAACAAAGATCTTGTATCATTGTATTCAAAAGAGCGCAGGTATATTCATGCATGAAAAAGGATCATGGAAATGGTTTTCTGATTTAATCTTTTAAAAGTCGTCCCAATCACATGTATTGGAATCTACGTACATAGAGGTGATCAGATTTAATGGAACCGAAATCACTCCTTCCTATAACTTACTGAGGTCCCATACACAACTATAGTCCCCGTTGCATTCTTGTTCTGTTTTGTAATCCAGACAGGAGGCTTGTGCTCGGCGGGGGTTCTTGGGGACGGCCTTTGCTGTGGCAAGGACGGCAGCAATGGCAACGAAGATTACAGTAAGCTTCATTTAAAAGTAGAGTGGAACGGCGTTGTTGTTGTGCAAGGATGAATATCAATATTCTCTCACTCATTTATATAGACTTCTTGCTTCTTCGGTAACCTTATCTCTTTGGATGGATGCTCTACCACCACCCATACGCCAAAAGACCACGTCGCTGCACACTAGGTTTACATGTCTCTCTTCCTCTCTCTCTATGATATGCAAAAGCAAAGAACCAAATAAAAGTGGTATCGATTTGAGACACCGAATATGCATAAACGCCTTCCCCAAAAACAATCGTTTTCGCCGTGATTCGACGAATGCATCGTGGATAAAAGAAATAATGAAAAACAGCCATTTGTTTACATCCACAACCATCATCATAAAATGGTAGGCCATATACCGTAAAATCACATCAGATATACTCTAGCGAGAGTGGATGCCTTCTTTTCCATCATGGAAGGGTGTATGGAACTCCTTGCATGATCATATCAGCTCCTGCATTAAAAACATTCATGCATTTCGGGATTGGAAGGAAGAAAAGGTACCATGTCCGGCGATGATCCATATGAAAAGAAGAGATGACGGCGATAAAAGGCTGTTCAGCCGACGATGCGACCTTCTAGATGAGAGATCCACGTTGATGCATAGCTCAATATTCTTCCTTCGCATTGATTTTGTCATGTGGAGAATCCAACGTGTAAAAGACATCAATCGTACTTGTGTAAATATGGCAATGCAAAACATGATAGGTATCTTGTGGGTGAATGGCTCTCGAAAGGCTTCTTGGTTGGTGCCATAAGGATCGCAACATACGAGATTCCTCAAATACCACAGCATTCGTCTAGTAGTCATCCCCATCTTTGATCCACCAAAGTCACTAGTTGGGTTACATGTACGAGTAATAAGAGTCATAGTACACTTTATTTGCAATGCCAAGTCTACTATTGCCTATTCAATGGGTATCGGCTCATGAATCTACCAAAAAGGATGGGTTAAAATACATAGCAACGCGAGAGATAGAGTGTAATCCTTACACATTCAGCAACATTCAACCAGTTTTCTATTGATTTCAAACGTGGATCTTGGTCGCTTGGTGCAGTATCCTTCTTCCATAAAACGAATCGATTGATCCTTGAAGCTTTTTGCTTTATCGACGCTGGGAGTTGCAATGATAGATGGTGGTGGTAAACGTTGTTGGATTGTTGGGGGGTGATTTGCGTTGTTGTTGTCATGAGTTGCGAGTTGTTGTATTGCCGGATGTTGAGCTTATAGTACGATAGGTGACGTTTGAAATTGAATTGCACGTGATAGTGTGTGTGGTCTTGGATGAAGTGCTGATGGGTGCTATTCTTTCTCTTCTTGGAGATTGAACATCCTGGGAAGCCGAAGCTATTGCATTCTCGTTGTTGATCCGCATATGTGCTGCGTTGTTGAAATCCTTCCACACTGCGTATCGTGAATGTAAAGTAATGAATGTTGGATCCATCATCATCAACGTAACGTGACCACATCAGTTGCCATGCCAATAAGCTTCAAGTCACTTGGAAGTGTTTCACCAGTATGTGTGATATCCAAATGAATATACGTGCCAAATACAGCATGCTTGGATCAAGCTTACCACGCAAAACAAAGAAAGCATAGAGAGAATATATCCAAAAAGACTTGTTCTTGTATTCGCATAGCTCGCCATATTCCTTCATCTCATTATCAACCACTTGTTTTGCATCTTGAGCGGATATCCTTGCACATGGCCTTGTACTTCAGCAGCTTCTTCATCACAATCATCATTCACATCACTTTCTTGTTGGTCCTTGGCGCCATCATCATCGTCAACAACATCATCCAGAAAGAAGTCGTCTACACGTAGTGATTGCACAAGGCTCGATATCCACAAGCAAATCAGATAACGGCACACCTGGTCCCTCTTCCAATGGGTTGGTCATTGGTGTTGACAATGGACATGAGAACAGGGGTTGTGAAGGTGGTGGAGATGTCAAGAAGGCTGAACTGCTGGGCGTTGAATGGTTGGAATTGTAATGTCGATCGTGTACCGGATTCCATTTGCTCCTTTGCCCCTTTGGACATCGCCGTTTGCTCATTAGTGCAGGAATGAAAGATAATAAAAATAAAAGAAGTCGACTTTTATAAAACGCGCTGCACCTATACTTATGCATTTCATGCAGCAGCAGCGTTGCACCCACGCCATCTGAGTTACTGGATGACCAGTAAAATGATGTAGAGCATTCACGGGATACAAATGCTTGGTAGCGTGCGTGTAGCTATAGTAGAGTATCCCCATTGATGATTAGAGGTAATCTTCGTACATTGACGAAGCAAGCACCATCCTTTATTCATTCCCAGATTACACTATGCCAGATGAAATTTGATTGCTGATATCAGAGGTGATCCAATATTGAGAGTAGGTTGCAATGACATCGGGTTTGTGGTTTTCTGCTTTATACAAAGTCGTCGTGTACACAACCGTCGGTACCTATATACAGCAATGAAATCAGACGCAATGAAAGCGATATGACTGCATATGACTTACTATGCCAAATACAGTTTTCGTCATTGTTACCGGCATCCCCTGTCTTCGTCTTTTTTGCAGACCGTGTCTACGGGGTGGGCGTTTGATGTAGCAAAGACGGCGGCAATAGCAAGGACGAGTACAGCGAGCTTCATTGAAAGTAGAGTGGGAACGGTGTTGTTGTTGTTGTGAAGGTATAAATATCAACATTCGCTCACTCGTTTATATAGGTTTCTTCTTCATCGGTAACCTTATCCTTTTGGATAGAATGAACTATCATCACCCAACATTACGCCAAAAGCCCCCGTCACTGCACGTTAGGTTTACATCTCTCCCTACGATATGCAAAAGCAAGGACCAAAAGTGGTGTTGATATGAGACACCGAATACGCACAAACGCCTTCCCCAAGGAGCAGATGGCAGATCCGCTTACAGTAACCGTTTTCATCGCGATTCAACAAACGCATCATGAACATGTAAAAGAAATCATAAAAACAGCGACTCATCTTCATCCACAAGCATCCATCGTAAATTAGCTCGCGGTAGAGTGCATAGTCAAATGGCGCTGCCAAGATTGAATTCTTTTTTTTTTCGTTTTCCATCGTGGAAGTATTGGCACGATGTTATGAGCTCCTACATGGTCGTATCAGCTCCTGCATAGGAATCCTCACGATCCTCACGATACCGACCCTGGGTGAGTATTGCAAGACGATCGGTGTCGCACCACATCGTATCGTGAGCCTCGCGGTTGTATCGAGGCATCATGTGTTATAGCTCTAAGAGCTATTTTTACCATTGTTTAGTATACCATGTGCTAGAGCGCAAGATATGAATGCAATACGATGAATAGTAAAGTCAGCGAACAAAGCTCGATTTGTCTGTAAAGCATGTTTGTGTGAGGGTAATGGCTGCTGAATAATAATGCAAGCTGCTGCAAACAATGCTGCTTCAATCATATAGTTGTCGTAGCTATAAGAGAATATGCATTACATATAGCGGATGCAGATGAAAGTGCTGTAACAGAGACAGCAGGGAGACTTTGATGGTGCCATTCGCCTATTTCTTCAGAGCAAGCATATGGATCATAATTCCATTTAGTAATTCATACTCCTCGACGATACGTCGATACTGGTCAGGTTATCGAACCATGATATGAAGGGATACTTGCATGGAATCGCAGTACCGTGTATATCGTATGGCGGTTTTTTACGATGCTCCAATAATGATGAGGATCCTTACTCCTGCATTATAAATATTCGTGCATTACGACATTTGAGGAGAGAAAGGGCATCGTGTCCGGCGATGATTCATATGGAAAGAAGAGATGACAGCGAAAACAAGACGTCCAAAAAACGCTGTTCAACCGACAATGAGACCTTCTAGATGAGAGATCCACGTAAGTGCATAGCTCAACATTCGTCCTTCGCATAGATTTTGTCATGTGGGAGAATACAACGTGCAAAAGTCATCAACCGTACTCGCATATGTATGGCATGCCAACATGCAAAACATGATAGGTATGAATGGCTCTCGAAAGGGTTCTTGTTTGTTGCCATAAAGATCGTATCATACAAGGTTCCTCTAATACCACAGCATTCGTCTAGTAGTCATCCCCATTTTCAATCCATCAAAGTCACTAGCCGGGATACATGCATGGGTAAAAGGTGTCATGTGCAGTAGAAATAGTACACTTTATTTGCAATGCCAAGTATACTATTGTCTAGTCAATGGGTATCGGCTCATGAATCTACCAAAAGGGATGGGTTAAAATACATAGCAACGCGAGAGATAGAGCGTAATCCTTACACATTCAGCAACATTCAACCAGTTTTCTATTGATTTCAAACGTGGATCTTGGTCGCTTGGTGCAGTATCCTTCTTCCATAAAACGAATCGATCGATCTTTGAAGCCTTCTGCTTTATCCACGTGTGTTGATCGTCATCATCCTTTTCCTTCCAGAGGTGTCCTATATAGAAACGTGTATGAGCAAATCACGTGTAGGCGCGTCATGGATGGTGTGTGCGTGTCATACTTGCCTTGTACGGTATCAGGTAGTTTGACGTCAAGACCCACCAAACGTCGACCTCGCACAACGGTTTGCAGGGTGTCCAAGGACTTGTGTTGATGTTCCTCGCGTGTCTCAGGGGATACGTGCAAGAATGTTTGAGAGTTGATTGAGCAATCCTGATCCACAGAGAATGGAAAGAGATGTACAGCTGCCATTGAGGTGTGAAACAAAAGAAAGAGAGACTGCTTCGGAATGGATTTCAGCTACAAAGAGAGATCACCCATTGTCCGCTGCCCCACTGCTACATTTATTATCGACATCGATATACACACACACATCACCTTAAATAAACCTATGTTGCAGCATACAATGGTTCGGATATGAATAGCGTAGTGCAATCCTTTTCCTTTTCCTTTTCCAATATAAGATCTGTAGTAGAGGATCATCACTGCAAAAAGATCAAGAGTTCTTCATTGTTCAGATCAAAGCTATCCTTCATCGAAGGTACCACTGATGGTATCGTTTTTTTCTGGTAACCCTCCCCTAGACCAGCTTCCTCACCATTAGGTGTAGTAGCCATCTTCTTCGCTATAGCTTGCTTTGCTGGCTTGATACTATCATCTCGGGCATCGATATCGTAAGGTGACGACCGCAATCCACTCCCTGTGGTTTTTGTGTGTAAAGCTTTATCGTTCTTGTATCTGTACCAGACGTTTATGAGAGATTTGACGCTTAAAAGCAACATTATCAGTCATTGACGCTTGGTGTCGAATCATATCCATGGCGTGTCAAAGTATGCAGTTGGATGGTGTTAGTAGCTGCCATGGTATAGCAATAATTGAATGCATAACTCAAGTCGCGATGATAGCACAATGGATGCATAAAAACAACGCCCCCCACACACACATTGTATATCCAATTCCTTCCATCCCATGTACCAAACCAATATCCATACCCATATCCATATCCATAGGCAAATCGTATGTATTGAAACAAGTTGCTACACGTAAATAAAGCTGCTTCTATACAATGGCTATCTACTGTTCACGTAAACAAAGGCTGTAGGACAAGTTGCTGCATGTAGCTTGAACAATGGAGTAAAGACCTCGCTAATAGCAACTGCTGGAATGAATGCTGTTACGATTGATTGTGGCAGGAGAGTGTACAAGAGAGTGCGTAGTGTTAAGAGACTCGTGTGTTGTAGAAGAGTGACAAGAAGACTGCGTGCACGCCATGGACTTGCCATTCAGTCAAAGACAATCGGATCAAGAGAGTTGTAGGATTGACATGATGGGTTGAAGCAGAGCAATCGTTCGCAGGAGGTAGTTGTACTTGAATGGGGCAACAGTTGACAATGGGAGGAATTGAAGGAGCATGAATCTGGGGAGTAGAAGAAGTGGAGTTGAACTGTGTGTTGAATCGTATTTCTTTGTTTGAGCGTAACTCAGTCAAATCCTCACGAATCAAGAAAGTTGAAGGATGGAAATGATGGGCTGGAGAAGGACAATCGTTCATATGCATTGGGTTGGGCAACAAAGGTGAATGGGAGGAATGGGCTATCAAGTAGCAGTTTACAAATAACTTTGCAAAATGATTTTTGTGAAATTGGATGATGTTCTGTGTTTGAGCGTAACGCGGTCAAATCCCCTCGGATCAAGAAAGTTGAATGATAGAAATGTTGGGATGGATCAAAAGAATCGTTCGTATGCGATGGATTGGGCAACAATGGTGAATGGGAGGAATGGGCTGCTAGCTGACAGTTTACGAATTATGACTCAAATACATTTTTGTGATGCTTGGATGATGCATCACAGTTTGAGCGTGACTCAATCAAATCCGCTCTGATCAAGAAAGTTAAAGGGTGATGGGCTGGAGTAGGCCCAGCGTCTCGGGCTCAAAGGGGTACACGACTGCAAGAAGAATCATTGACTAGGTACACGACAAACAGTCTCATTTCGCGCACGACAAATGGTCACATCACCAATCATATCCCTGCTTTTCGATGGTGATTAGCATCATGAGACTGTTTGTCGTGCGCACAATAAGTAAAAAAGGGACTGCTTGTCGTGTACCTAGTCGGCCTCTTGTTGCTTGTGGATGTATAGCATAGATGATGGGATAATAAAAGTGGCTCTGTGATCGGTCTTGTAATAAGGATAAGCACTCTATTTTTCATGTGGATCAAGCGCAATGATGATGCATCTCGCAAAGACTACTACTACTACAGTAACTTAATGATTGATGTGGGCAGCTGCTCCACTTGGATGATTTCAACAGCATTGTGTCTTAGTTGCAGGATAAAAGTAGAGACTTGGTTACATATAAAACAATGCATGGAATGAGACTTGGTAATGATGGCATCGATACATACCACGACAACATGGATACATAGATAAGATGAGCACACCATAACAACATCACTAGGATCGTGAGTTTTCATTTTCAATTTACGTACTTGATAGTGCGTTACAGTATCAGACATGCAAAGACAAGGATGTATGTTTAATTAATCAAAGAACATGGTTTATTAATGATTACGATATGTACTAGAATAAACAAGTAGCTGTTGGTTTCCTAAAGCCAATGCTAAAGTACTCACAGGGATGACCAACGAGAAGGTCGCTACTCAACCATCCCCAACCTCTACCTGTAGGCACCAATTCCAGGTCGACGAGGCTGCTTGTACATGCCACTTTAAGGTGCCAGGACTTGACGCGCCAAAACCTCGTTTGGAAGAAACCCATGCTTGTGTCTTTGAGATAGCGAAAAGTGTAGCATGTTTTTTGGTGAGCGAGAGCAAATAGGTAATAAGAATACTTATCTTCCCTCCTAGTTTCCTTCCAATGAATCCTTTGGCATTACCCAAACAAGAGCCACTTGTTGGTATCTTTGGATAGCGGTCTTTTATTAGTGCACCCTGGACACTGCTACCGGTCTGCATTTCGTCCTCGGCCAAACGCCCATACAGCACGCCGACACGTAGTGGGCAGCCAGTTTACGAGGAATGGCCAACATCCTTGCTACCTCCGTATCAAGATCTGCTGGGATTCATGGAAGCCTTGTGTGGAAACCGGGCTGGTGAGGGGCGGCAAAGAGTTTCCAATGCACACCATTAGGTCCCCCAAGTCGCTGCAAACAAGGCACGGTGAGTATTACAAGCAACACAACGAAACGAAAAGATAGAAACAACTTACTTTGGCCAAAACATCGTGATAGTAGGAAAAGCACGCACGCCATGCGAGTCGATCGATTGAGTTGAGAGCAAAAAAAGGTGGAGGTTGCCAGGGAGATCCGCAGTAATTTGTCTCTGGTCGCGACGCAGCTGAACTTGAAATTGAGGCGTCTCCATGGACCCCATACCTCATAATGGCTAAGGACGCTTCCACACAACACCACTTGCCCCAAAGCCATAGCATGTTGTTCTTGTATGGCTATGATGAATATGGTTATAGTAAAAGCATGGGGTATTCAGGGATAAAAGTATTGTTAATAATTGTTGATCCAGCATTTATTTCTTATTTGTTCATGTATGTGGCTCTCAAATAGCAATGCCCATCCAACGAATGCATCATGAATAAAGAGTGGTTTGATCTCTGCTTAAAGCAACGTGAATTCTACATTACCAATCAAACACATACCCATACACTATGTAGTCTCTTATAGCAAATGTGGATGGCAAAGGGTTGCAGGTTCTTGTGAAGATGATTACTATGAGATTTTAGTTTGTTGATTGCGTAAAGGTGCAAGCTTTCATACAACAAGATCATTAATCCATGGTTAGTGTTAAACCATTCAACGCGAGGCCATAAGCTTACGGGCGAAGTGAGCAACTCGGGGATTCTAGTCTTTCATTGGTAAACATGGTATGTAGGTATCAATGTGCCCTGCCATGGAATGTATAACGGCTTCCGTCATTGAAGGGGTCTCGGATAAAAAAGATAGAATAAAAAGGATGATGTAGAGTCACAAATAGCTGCATGGATCTTTAATTTTATGGAGTGAGGATAATGCGAATGCTTTATTACCCATGCGCCATCCTCCCGAAAAAGCGCGATATGAAAGAGGATGGCGCGATTTAGATGCATTGCATGAACCCATTGGTTCACGAACGAGTACAATACTAGAAGGGAGATACGCTTTTATGCCCTTGCCGTCGTTCAATGACAAAGATGTACCAGCTTGATCAATTTCATCATGCCGGCAATGGTTTTTTCCTTGAAGGACAATTTGTAGATGTTGTAACCAAGACAACGATCATGGTTAAATCTCAGCTTGATCGTGGTCGGTCTTAGTCAAAGGCCCAGTCCTTGGTCTCAGAATTAAAAGATAACCAGCATTTTGGTGTAATCTGTTTGTGCATGGCAACAGCCCCAATCTGAGGGGGGTTGTGGGTTTTAATATGGGGACCTCAAATTCGAATTGTTGTCATCACATCCAAATGTTATGACTCAGGTACAAGTAAACTCCCCCAAGTTGTCAGGCACAACAGCTTTTGTCCCTTTATGTGATATGCAAAGCTAAAAGATAAGGAAACCCCAGACATTGTTGGATTTAGGTTTGGGGCCGCTGACAAAACGGCATTTGACTCTCCCCCCACATAAGCTAGCGCGGTTGTCTCGAAATAGGACGTCTCTTTGTCTCTTCCTTCTCTCACTTTCTTTCGTCTTTCTCGGTGCAATGCCTTCACGATTTCTTCCCAGTCGTGCATTTCAGGCATACCAGATCTTTGCAGCCAACACCAATGTCGGCAAGACCATTCTCGCTACTGGGTTATGTCGAGCAGCAGCTGAACGTGCCAAACAGCAAGATCGCGACGTGTATTACTTAAAGCCTGTGCAAACTGGATATCCACAAGATAGCGATGCAAGGTTATTAGATACAGCATGCAACATGCCAACAACATGATGATTGACAATGATTTTTATAGACACGTGAAGACTTATTCTCCCAACATCCACACTGAAACATTGTTCAAGTACCCTGATCCTGTTAGCCCACACATTGCAACGGATAAGGTACGCTTTTAGATCAAGATGAATGAAGATAGAGAGATCATAACCCCATTGTTTATTGCAGCCTCCACATGATCAAGAATTGTTGGATAAGATCAAGGAACGAATGATCCATTACGTGAATCAAAGCCAGGATCGACAAGGTGCTTATGCCTTTCTCGAAACAGCGGGTGGTATTCATAGTCCAGTCATGTCAGGTAAAACATACACATACATTGATTGCATGGATGAGCAGGGGCCAAGAACTCAATTTGTAATACTGCAGGTACACCACAAGCCGACTTTTATCGCCCGCTCAGATTACCATCCGTGCTTGTGGGAGATAGCAATCTAGGCGGCATTTCCACCACCATGGCATCCTATGAATCATTGCTAGTACGCGGATACGACATTCCTGCTTTGTTATTGTTTGAGAATGAACGCTATCGCAACCATCAACAATTGATGACCCATTTACCAAAGACGCTTGTCAGCACTGTACCTGCTCCTCCACCTATGAATCCTGATCCCGTGAAAGAAAAGGATGCCATGACATCATACTACGCCATGCTCGATGATCTTTTACAACCGGTGATACGTCATTTGGATGAGCATCATCAAGCACGTTTTGAGCGTCTTGCTGAAATGGAAGACAAGGCACGTGACACATTCTGGTGGCCATTTACCCAACATGGTGCTGTCAACGAGGTCACAGTGATCGACTCAGCCTACAATGATTACTTTACAGCCTATCGCAAGGATAAGAAAACGGGTGAACTTGCACCTTCAGAAATGTTTGACAGCTGTGCGAGTTGGTGGACACAAGGTCTTGGCCATGCCAATCCTCGTTTGACATTGGCAGCAGCAGCAGCAGCAGGACGTTATGGTCATGTCATGTTCCCTGAAACAGCCAATGAGCCTGCACTCTCATTGGCAGAACGCATTTTGGAAAAGGATACATGGGCCCAACGTGTCTTTTTCTCGGATAATGGTAGCACGGCCATTGAAGTGGCTCTCAAGATGGCGATGCGTTCGGCTGCGGATCGCTATGGTTGGTCGGATGATGTCCCTGTGGATGTGATTGGTTTGGAAGGAGGCTATCATGGTGATACGATTGGTGCTATGGATGCATGCTCGCCCAATACATACAACAAGATGGTGCAATGGTATCAACCTCGTGGTCATTGGCTCAACCCACCCTCCATCCATATTTGCAAAGGCACACCCACCATTCGATTACCCGACAATCAAGGCACGGCAGAGTACAAGTCTTTGGATGATATCTACGCCATTGAAAAACGTGCAAATGATCCCTTGGCTGATGTGTATCGTGACATGGTTCGCAAGGAGCTCAAGGCGATGCGTGGTCGTCACGTGGGTGCACTCTTGATGGAACCTATTATTCTTGGTGCGGGTGGAATGATTTTTGCTGATCCATTGTATCAACGTATTTTGGTGGATACGGTGCGTCAAGAAGGTGCTTCATTGTTGGGCTATAAATCACAAAAGCCTGAGGATGGTTGGCAAGGTATCCCTATCATTTTCGATGAAGTCTTTGCAGGCTGGTATCGTCTTGGCCGCAGGTCGGCATCTGATTTCCTCGGTGTGGTAAGTCATTGTTAAATGCATATGGATGCTCTTATTCAAACACTCATAACATGATGGTATTAGAAACCCGACATTGTGGGATATGCAAAGACACTCACAGGTGGTCTTTTACCTTTGGCATTGACTGTTACCAAGAATTCTCTGTTTGATGTATTCTTATCCGCCAACAAGGAAGAATGCTTGCTCCATGGTCATTCATACACTGCTCATCCTATGGGTTGTGCCGTTGCCAATGAAACAATCGACACCCTGGAAGAAATGGCCAATGTCACCAACAACAATAATACATGGACACCCTTCCGAGAAGCTTGGAAAGATAACCAACACGCACACGTATGGTCCATGTGGAATCCAGCCACAGTAGAAAAGCTATCGCACCTGGCGTGCGTTGATAGCGTGATGACTTTGGGATCCATCCTGGCGGTGGAATTAAAGGACAATCAAACAAAGGGTAAGCTATCAAACGTTTGGTATCACATGACCATCATCATCATCACGTTATTAACCTATAATTTGATAGGTTATGGCTCAGTGGTTGCGAAATCAATCTTGCATGAAATGCGTCACGGGCAATTTGACTCGGACATCAACCTCTTTGTACGTCCCCTTGGCAACGTGATCTACCTCATGACGTCACAAATCACCACAGCCGATCGAGTGAACAAGTGCGAAGACATTCTTTTGAAATGTTTAGAGAATAACAAGTAATGTATTATAGATAAAAGTTTATGTGGGGAAGAATAAAGTAAGCCACTCTTTATCCCAAAAGGATCATCAAACTCTCGCCATATGTAGCAATGCACGGCGTGGGGGCAACTCCGTTTGTTGGACAAGAAACGGACCTGGATGGTTTATACTTTCCTCTTTCTCTCTTGTTCCCTTTTTTCTTTTAAAGTTGTGTGATTATGGCTACTACGACTGCAAAGGCAAAGCGATTTTCATTTGCTGGCTTCTTTAGCAAAAAACAGGAACCATCTCCTATCACCCAGCAACAACAACAACAACCATCCACAGATAACAACACCGCTACACAAGAAAAGAAGCAACAACGTCGTGCACAAAAAACCCAGAGTCTTTATATCCAATCCTTCCGCCATCGTTTTTCTACGCCTTCATCCAAGCCGACATGTTCACAATATGATCCTAGCGAGGTTCAACAGAGCAATCCCAAAGAGATCCGCAACACCATTCGGCGATCGCTCTCTGCTGTCATGTACGCGACACCACAAAAGCAACGAGAAGAGGTTACTACCACTACTACTACTACACAAGAAAAGAACAATACATCATCTTCATCGGAACCGGGAAAGTTAGTACCGATTCTGGTCACTGAGGGGTTGTTTGACCAACATAGCGGCATGATTGTAAGCGCCGAGCCTGAAACATTGCCAACCGAAAAGCGGCGCCGTGTCCCTGTCGAGTATGATAATACATTGGATGTGCTGGATAATAAGGATGGAACAAGTCTCGTTGTATGGCAAGGTTATGGCTATGTTATCAAGGAAGAACCCAAGGACAAGGAGGAGGAGGAGCAGGAAAATGATCATGCGTCTTCATCTTCATTGACATGGTCGTTTGACAAGGAGGTCTGGTCGGAGTATCGCGGGTTGATTCATCCCCTTCATCTTGTTCAAGAAGACAACGACGATCGATGGAAGGCATTGACTGTCACAGAGCTTAAACGTTATTACGATAATTATGGCTCCATGCTTTTACGACTACGTGAAGCATGCATGAAACGACAACAAACACAATATCTGGCCATGGAAGGCAAGGCAAAAACTGAATGGCTTATTCCCCATGCATAGAAGATCAAGATCCTGCTGATGTAGATGATATATACCTTTCTCTCTCTTTCCCCCTTTTTTCCCATTCTCTTTCTCTCTCATATTCACATTTAACCTATTTATGCGAGATATCTTTATATAATCTAGTTTATGGTAGAGTAAAAAGAAAACAAATCGAGAAATCTAAGACACTTTATCCGCATCATCCATTGAAACGGAGATAACAGAAGGATGCTCTTCATGATGATTGTGGTGATGATGTTGATGATGATGATGATGATGGGATCGTAATATAGAAGAGGAGGAGGAGGATGTGGTGTGAAAAAATGAAGATCGCTCTACAAGTTTCCATAGCAACGGTGTAGCCAACAAGGTAAGCGAGGTAACGGCCAAGAGCAAATAGTAGACTTCACGTGATATAATATCCAGCAATTTGGCACGCGATGCAAGTACAAAAGCAAATTCGGATATTTGAGCAAGTGCCACAGCCATAGCGGATGATTTGCGGGTGTCAATTTTGAGTGACACCAAAATGCCAAATGTTGCCACGTATTTGAAACCAATGACACCTGCAGCAAGCACCAACAAGAGCATCGCTTGAGATGCCAGGAACGATGGATACACGTGTAACCCAATGGAGGCGAAAAAGAGGCATGCAAATAAGTCGCGTACAGGTTCAATGGCTGCTAAGGCAGGTTCAAACAGGGCTTTACGTGATCGTAAGAGAACACCAGCAGCAAAACATCCAATTTCCATGCCTAGGCCAAGTCGATCGGATATCACCAACATCACCAAGCACACTGCAATGGTGCCCAGCACCGTCAATTCATGGCTGCCTGTGGATTTCATATTGGGAAGCACCATACGGATCACACGTGGTAGGAAGGAAGGTGTCAATTTGATGATGCCATAGCACAAGACACCAAACACAGAAAATGATATGGTGATTTTGAGGATCGCCACCATGACTTGAGCACCTGATTCAGCCAATGCTGGAATGATGGCCTATAATGTCCATTGAGTTATAGGGTCATGTCCTATCGATCGATCGAACAACTACTTACCAGCATGAATCCTAATAAAACATCTTGCATCACCAATAATCCATACAAGTGCTCCAAATGATCCAACTTGATACACTTTACAACCACGGCGGTAGAACTCAAGCTGACACAGGCACCCACAAAGACAGCTTCCTTCAAGGATGCACCGAGTAACGTGCCCATGACCACAAACGCAAGTACGGTGGCCAATAAGATCATCGTGGCACCACCCAATACCAATCGCCACATGGCCCTGAGCTTTTCAAGCGAGAATTCCAATCCAAGCACAAAGACAATAAAAACGACACCCAATTGGGCAAGTGTTTCGGTTTGGATAAGTTCCTATGATGGGATCATTCAGCCTCCTCGCAATGGGTCTAGCCACATCCACCACTACTACTTACGGTGATCATGTTATAGCCTGCGGGTCCAGTAACAATGCCTGCTAGGATATATCCAAAGAATGCTACAAGAAAATGTCAATCCCACTATTTGTGATCCTGTCTCCTTCGTTACCTGGCAACCGTATCATGGCAAATAGGCATCCAAATACATAGGAGCATACAACAATCAATATAAAGTCGTGTAGCAATTGTATATCTAATAATGTAACACAATAGTCAGTGACACCGCATAATCGGTGGTGATGGGATCTACTACACATACCTTCATAAATAACGGTGGTATCGGAAGGCCGTGTCATGATGTATTCATTTCGATCTTGATCAATGAGGATGGCATTGTTATCATCTCCTGCATCATCTGCTGCCGCATCGTCATCATTGTTGACCTTCATGACGGTTTCAAAGGTGCCACCCGAAAAGGCAATGTTGTGTCCGTGCATGCCTTGTTCTAATTGATCAGCGCTTTGCCGTACTTCATCCAACATGGATTGTAACATGGCTTGAATCGCTTCACGTGAATCCGGTGTATCATCTTCAACATGTACATGATGTGGACTGTATCCTTGATGATGTGTTGTAGGTGGAACCTCCTCCTGTTCCTCTTCTTCCTCTAGTTGCTGGTGTGCTTGTTCAGTGAGCTGAGCCAGTTCATTAATGGAATGTGAGCGAAGATGCAAATGCGACTGACGAATAGCAAGCTGGAAATCAAATGTGAGCTTAAGTGCAGGTGTACGAAAGTCGTAGCTTTGCTGCTGTCGACGCTGATGAACCGTCTGATCGTAGATATCAAACATGCCAAACACCAATCGTTCAAACGCTGTAAAGTCATCGAGCTTCACATTGGCAAGCCGGTAAAGAACGTCGTCATTGTCACTTCCAAACGCTTCAATGCTGTCGTAAAGCTGTTTCTTTTCTTCTAGTAGCTCATGTCGGAACCGTTGGCCTTGCTCAAGTACACGATCCACTCGAATGGCATCAGGGGCAGAGTACGACTAGTGTAGTGGAGTAGAGTGCGTTGAATAACAATGAATAAAAAACAAGGGCCATTGACAAAACTTACTTGAACCTCAGTGGGATCGCCTTGCACGCCAAAGCCCAAGAGTACTATGACAATACTCAAAAGCAGGATCAAAATCATGTGGAATTCATGAATGCTGCAGAGCTGGCTGACTAGCCACCACCATGCACCATGGCCAATCACATTTCATCTCAGCATATCTAGACTATCTTGCACCGGTACTAAATTGGAACAAAGACACCTAAATGGGCTTGTTCATTGTTGTATATGGAAAAAGAATGACAACTTATGAGCTATTATTAACATGAACAATAGGGATCATGTTTTACGAGAGAAATTGTTATCCACCATCATCATTGAGCATATCATTGTGGGTCTTTGAATCGGGACCTTGTAGTCATTTGACTACTAGGAATGGTATCCAATGCTAATTAGAGCAAGTATTATCCTTTAACTAGAAGAGGTAACACAAAGGGCATATGACAGAATACTTGGGATAAGGCGTAGTGGAATAAAAAAGATGTCATTATAAAGATACAAGGACGTGTTTTGCGGACTGTACTGGTTGCTATGCAAAAAGTGCGACCATGAACCCTATATAGCTATCTGACAACGAGCCACTTTTTCTATTAAAGTGCCGGTTATTATAGCTGTAGATGCTGTTGCTGTTGTAGCACTTTTTGATGATCTACTATCATCGCTTCAATGTAACATGAGGATCAATGACTCGTTATTGTATTTTAAACCAGGCACACTTTTATTGATTGAGTAAACTACAGATAGCACAACAATATGGATGACGTCGTGAAGGGCATGGCAATGAATATCTACAAGCTGTCATGGAGCATGCATATGTAGTACAGCACAATGCTGTCACCAAACATGGCTAGGCTGACACGTTTTCGTTGCCTATCCACACGCTCCTTTCTCCTGCTCTATTGCTCGCTTGGATACACATTTACTATTTTCACTCGCCCCTTCTCCTCTTGGGTTTATATTTCACGGTCCTTGCCAATACAAATACATCACCGCTTTACGCCCCATTGCTTCATCCTTGATTCCATCGACCGACATTGTGTTGTCCCAGTCGAGCTCTCAATGACACCACCTCAACCCCAAGTCTCGATATCCTCTACACCAGCACTCTCCTCGACTTGTACTCAAACGACACGTCAACGACTAGAGCGACAGCTTGCTGAACATGAGAATCGATTCAAAGAACCCAACAGCAGGATCAAAAAGAAGTTACTTGCAGGCCAGATCAATCAACTCAAAGAACGGCTGCAGGAATTGGATAAGCAAGACAATGCTACTACTGAGGAAGAGGCTATTTCAGGGTCTTTACGTGTAGGCCGTAATCATCATCATCCTTCATCATCATCTGCAGTAAGTGAAATCCCTTGATCATTTCTTTTGCATATCCTCCTGATTATAATACTCTCTCTCCTTGTAGCTACGCCCTGGTTTGGAAGGATCATCATCCACCACCGAATCATCCTCTTTATTACCTTTACCGCCACCTTTAACCGGATCCACCACACCCACCAAGAGACGCGCCAAAGTACCCGATATGGATCGACGCAAACCGGATATTGAATTTGCTACCGAGATTGGTCAAGGTCTTTTGCTTGAAGTGCGCAAAATGCAGGCCCTTTTGCAACAAAAGGAGGAACAGTTGAGCCAAATCCAGATACAAAAGGCTGAGATGGAACGGGCAGCAGAAAATCTAGCCAAGCAATTACGGCAACGTGAAGAAGCAGAAGGTAAAACAAGCGTGTATTTGTTTAAGGATGAACAAAAAGAGTTGACTTTTTATGTGTATAGAGCATCTCAAGGAAGAGACATGGAATTTGGAGCTTAGCAAGCAAGAATTAACGAGCCAAGTTACTGATCTTCAACAAGACTTGTCTCGTATTACCAGTGACTATGCACGTGCTTCGAAGCAAGTGAATGATTTACGACAAGACATTGAACGGATGCAGGACAAGGAAGAAAAGTTGAATGGGATGGTGGAGGATATGAAAACGAGACATCAGCATGATATGAGCACCATTCGACGCCAATATGCCAGTGTACAAAGGGAAAAATTGGATCAGCAAAAGCAAATTGATGCCTTGACTTCCGAATTGGCGATTGCACGAGCTCATTCTCGCATCACGAAACGCCGACAGCAAGACACGCCTGCATTGGGAATTGATGAAGCGGATAGTGTTTCTCCAGAGACGTCAGGCAATGAAAAGGATGCTTATCGCAACAGCCCCAACACCACATCATCACCGCCATCCTCGCCCAAGCAGACACCTACACGTAACCAAGCATTGGAATTGGATACATTGAAAGCATCCCTTGCTCATGCGCATCGTATGGTATCGAATCTTCGAAGCAATCTGCATAAGGAAAAGATGGAAAAGTTTGAACTCAGGAAGCTCTTGAGTGAGTCTCAGGAAACGATTGAGCAGTTGCAAAATGACCCGGCTTCATGGATTGATCAACCTTCCTCATCACAACGCACACAACGTAAAACGAGACGACGTAAAGCATCAGGACAACACAAAGTATCACGACCTACAGCAATAGCAGCAGGAGGAGGACTCATGAGTGGGAAATCAGATGTGGATGATGAGGAAGATGGTGGCAAAGAAAGTGAATGGAGTGAAGAAGAGGAAGATGAAGGACCTTTGTCACCTGAACCTCTTTCATTGGACCCCGCTTTTCAAGTACTACAGCCTCAACAAACACTTGCAGATCAATTATCAGCAGCTATTGAACATCATCATCATCCCATGGAAACCACTACAACAGCCGATGTAGCCATTCAAACATGTGGTGGTGAATACGAGGATATGGGTGTGCAGACCGACAAGCCACGATGGCAAAGTAGATCGATGCCTGGTACAGGTGTATATCCTCGTATTGGCAACAGCATCTATACACAAACAATGCCTTCAAGTTACACCGACCACGTGGTGACATGCATGAAATGCGGTGGTACAACCTTGTCATCGAGTCACAGCAACGCGACGTTTGTATCCGACAACAAGACATCAAGTCCTTCTTCTTCATCCAACAATAGCAATGTTCAAGCTGAAAGGTCGAGTGGCATTGTTGAGCCATCCACTGTAGCAGCATCAGCAGCAGAGCCAAAGACATTGACCCAAGCTGAAGCGGATGCCATGATAGCTGCTGCCCTTGCACCTTACAAGTCTTTGCAAAAAGAACAACAACAACCACCTAATCCAAAGGCGCAGGCGCCCATTCTTACCACTACCACCAATACCAATACCACTACTACTTTTACCACCCACCATCATCCAACACCACCACCACAACAACACCACCACCCTATGGAAGATACGGATGAAGAAGAATCCGATGATGAAGCAGCAGCAACAACAACAACATCCTCTGTACGAGTAGCCAATAATAATACCAACAACGCCGCGCCTTCCATCTTGTTGAGCAAAGCAACAACAGCCTCCTCTCGAGCCACCGCAAGTCATTTATCACGGTCTGACAGCAACAATCATGGTGTGGTCTATGTTAAACCACAAACCACGGTGGCTACTTGCTACCTCAACAACAATGGTCAACATCAACGACGTGCTTCCGAAAGTGGTTCCATATCCACCTTTTCAGAAAGCAAATTGTCCTTGGCACCTTACAACAATAATCTCTCTCTCCAGCAACCTGATACCATGGATACAGCAACTACCACAGCCTCTTCTTCTTCTATTATGAATGGGGTTGGTGATGGTGGTAGTGGTGGTAGCAGTGCCATTGCACTTATTACACAAACCATGATTGGTGATTGGATGTGGAAATATACCCGTAAGGCTGTAGGAAATGGTATTTCTGAACGACGCCACAAACGTTTCTTTTGGATTCATCCTTATACACGGACATTGTATTGGAGTGCTCATGCACCGGGCATGGATGGTCGTGAAGTAAGAGCCAAGAGTGGTAAGTGTACTGAGGATGATGAATGCTGGCATTGGGAGGAGGAGTACAATGATGATTTAACATGATTTGTGTAGCTTCCATTGAAGGCATTGCCACCATCCCTGATCATTCACCTGGACCCAAAGTAAGCTTGTTGGTACAAACAGCTGGACGACAATTGAGGATCACGGCTGAAGATGCGGGTCGTCATCAAGTGTGGTTTGAGGTAAATTTTAAAGAGTGCCGCCGTATATCACCATCATCACCTATTAACATGTGCCTCCTTTTTTTAGTCTCTTTCATACTTGTTGGCACGATCATCACCCTCAGAAGAAATCCGTCCTGTTCCTTCGCATTCAACCAATTCATCATCATTACTCAAAAAAGCAAGCTTCCCTCGACTGAGACCTTCCAAATCCGTCAGCTCGTTTGCTGGTAGCAGTAGTATACATCGTGGCACTGCTGCTAGTACCCTTGGTGGCCTAGATGATGACGACGATGATGATGAGCTGGAAGATGTCCGTATGTGCTGTAATGGAAAACACCATGTATCCAAACTTCATCGTGGTGGTAAATAATCCTTATCCAGGTGGCAACATGTAATAGTAGAAATCCCCCATTTTGTGTCTTTTCTTTAATCTTATCAAACGAATGATTTGAGATAAACCATCATTGTGTCCCTTCTACCACACTCGGTATTTTTCCTTTATACACACGCGTGCACACACATCCCACTCTACAAGCTCTCATTTTGATATCCAGTGCTCGTTCTTTGTCAACACAAAATCCAATCCAAGTTCACTATCTTAGACATACATAAGGACAATACCACCAACGTCATAACGGAGAAAGGCTGGAGTATGCATAAAGCTGTGTAACGGTGCTCATGCCAATCAAAGGTTTTGGCTGGGAATTTCAGTAGGCAAAGCAATTGCAGCTCTTCCTCTTTGACATTGCACCTGCCATGAGTATCCGCCGCATCTTCCTTGAACTTGCATGTCACCTTTGCAAACAAGACTCATTCACGCAGAAACGAAATTTGCGATCTCATTACCAAAACCTTCATGATCTCACGCTTCCAGTCGCACCAAGGCATGCAAAGATCGCCCCTCCTTCTGACTGCGCATATGTCAAAAGCAAAGGAGAATCCACCACCATCGAGTACAAATGTCCCAGTTGCACCACTATCGTCCAATCATTGGAGCTCTTGGGTGAACACATTGACAGCCATCTGATCGAAGATGCTTCTCGTTCTTCAAGGCAACCCTTTGCTTGTCTTCTTTTTTTCTTTCATTCAGCTGATCTTTTCTCTTAAAACAGCCACGACACCACTGATGACTCTGTGGAGACTCCAGTCATTCGACCTGATACAACTTTCACAATCGACCCAACTGATATCATTGATTCATCTTTATCGCAACCAATTTCCCATGGCAGTACTACCAAAACACCAGCATCAACGCATCCATCCTCAGATGCACTTGCACCACGAACGTATGACGAAGCGATCCTCCATTCATGCCAACAGCAGCACGCTAGTGATGATGAGAAGATAAAAACACTATGCTTGGTGGATTCTCTTGCATTGCAACCTATGGCTATCATTGACCAACAAGGAGTCGAGCAAAATGTCCTCACCCATCCATCTATCGGCACCAAACTTGTGGATCAACATGAATGTGTCAAACCCATCATACCAAGCAAAAGGCGTTATGCGGATATGATGGACAAGGGTTCATTATGCGTCAGCTGCCAGCCTGAGGTGACTGATGGCTTGGAGAATTTGTTACACATGTCGCCATATTCCTCATTGCTCTCACAACGACAATATGTGGAGATCTCGGAACGTGTCTGCAACCTCTTGAACTCCGATTGGGAGTTCTTTCCACAGATGCGCTTTTTTACAGCAATGGCTTTCGCTGGGGCCATTTTCTTTGATGCAACCAGGAACCAAGCCCTCATGCTCAATACTGTTGAAGTGTATGGACGCACCAAACCCGTCGACATCTTCTGTGAACCATTTGGGAAGTTAAAGGGATCAGTACAAAGGACATCGATACCACCGACAGCAATCAACACGAGATACCATGGCTTGTGGCCCACCACATTAAACACATTGGAAGGAGCAAAGCTTGTGATTGGAACTTTATCATCAAACGTGCTGGTGACATCGTCAATGCGGTTGGATATTGTGGATAAACCTTCGCTTGGTGGTATAACAAACAACTTCACCCTATCATGCAACAAGGAGTCGCAGCAGTGCAGGATCTTTGTGGACCACAACATGATTGAACAAGCCATGACTTTTATTGACAAGCCTGATGTCCATCGTCTATCTGACACAATGATACTCAGCCAAATTAGGGCTATACGCAGCAAATTTCATACCATCGATGCCTATATCCTTTGCCGTGCTACTGGTCCTCTTACTTTGTCACATTTACACCAACCATGCTCTCTCTTTACGTTGTCCGAATCAAAACGCATCCCTGCTGCTGAAATATTTCGTCTCATTGCTACGTCCGTCATCAAACATGGTGAAAATGCTCGCTTATCCAAGAAGCAAGTTCAAGACATCCATGCAATGTGTGTGTCATCATCATCCAAAGCTCTCCTGGATCGTATTCTTGAACTTTTCGATGATGACAACAGTGATCTACCGATTCTTGGCAACGCAACTCTCAATATGAAACTCGAAGACTTGGCGACAAATCTAAAATCACATTTGGTAAATGCCAACGTAGTTGCAGCAACGTACATCGTAGACACATTTACCACCTTTGTATGATTCTTTCTCGATATCACTTTTCATGTTTCCTGTATATATTCATCCATCAATACACTCATGTCGATATCAATGTGCATAACGTTCTTAACTGCTGTCCACCTTGTCTTTATCATTGCTACATACGCCGTGCCATACGGAGACATATGGATTCGTTGGATTGCCAAGTGGTTTTCTCATTTGGATGAGGGGTATTTTGCAGCCTCTCTTGTGTTACGAAATGCAACTAGCTGCCTTCATCGCATCACTGAAGAGAAATATATAACGGTGGATATTGGCAAGCTGGGTAGTATCGGCAGGTGTCAATGAGATGGTTGCTACCCATGATCCAATGGGATTTGATTTGTTTGCGTTACCTGACGCCTTTGTGAAGCAAGCCTTTAATGGTATTGTGGTATCCATGAATAAGCTGGGATGCATTGCAATGCGCACTACAATATCAACACCAGTGGTTATAGCGCTATCGATAAACTTGGTGGGCTTGAATAATAAACGAATTTGTTTTTTCATCATTTAATCACTCACAAAAAACAGGGACACAAAAAGAACAAAATAGGGTTTCTACTATTATATGTTGCCACTCGGAGGCATGAACTGACAAGGATTACTGGTCATGGATGCCATGTTGGCATTGAGTGAAAGTCATTGTTGCCTTGCATCATCATTTGTCGCTGTTGCGGATGAAATTATGCCATTGGATTGTTAGGCCCAGGTTGACCTGCTCTACTGTGCTGCTGCTCGTTGTTGCATTTGCATTTGTCGCCTATAGATATGGTAGTGATCATCTCAATGCTATTCTTTTATTACATCATGGCGGCTTGTTGTGCAGCAAACTGGTTTTGGAGCGTTTGTGGTTGTGTGAAAGGTGGTTGTGATGCTTGGGGTTGCTGTACTTGTGGTGGTATGGAAACTGCCGGTGGCGTAGGTACGGCAGCGGCAGGAGCAGCGGCAGATGTTGGAGCGATAGGCGTTGTTCCTCGTGATTGTACCATGATTGGTCGTGATGATGCTTGTTGATGAACGCTCAAGAGCTGATATGAGGGCTTTCAATCGTTCCAAAACGACAACCTTTAATGAGTAATACTGTGAAGCAAATAAATGAGATGGTGGATGATATATATATAATGTTGAGCTTAAGTCGTATGATCCAGCCAATTAAAGATATTCGGAACACGTTTGCAGTTGAAAGTTTTTAGATTGACGGTGTGCATTATATGGTAATTCAGTCGATAGGTAATGTTTATTTCACGTTATACCTCAACCATGATCAATACTAATGATTCTATCAAGGTAATGTGCCGTTTTATACAAATTGCGAGCTGCTGTTCATACATAAAAAATGTCGTCTTGCAGATTCGCTATGCGTAAATAAAGCTGCCAGTGTATAAGGATGTTGTTGCTTATCTAAAGTAAGGCTGCAGGCCACGTTTGTGTATAACCAATAAGACGATTGAAGATGAGGATTGGCTGACAAAGCTAATGGCGGCGACTTGAAACGAATCGGTGCGGTAGAAAAGTGCAGGAGCGTGTATGTTGTCCAAAAAAAGACGTGTGCTGAAATAACGTAAGGCAGTTGTCAAAGCTCCATGCACTCGCCAATGACTCAAATCGTAACAGGGTAATTCCAATGCTGGCTTGGCATGATGGGAAGAGGTCGATGAACAAGTTGTAGATGTGCTGAACTCGTCGAGATGGGCAGTTGAGAAGACGCGAATAAGAAAGAATATAAGTTGGTTGGGTTCTTGCGTGTTCGGAGTTTCCACAAGTGCGTTCTTGAGTGTCCTTGATGTTGTGCGAGTGTTCTTGAGTGTTCTTGAGTGTGCTGTGAGTGTTCTTGAGTGTTCTTGAGTGTGCTGTGAGTGTCCTTGAGTGTGCTGTGGTGTGCTGTGAGTGTTCTTGAGTGTGCTGTGAGTGTTCTTGAGTGTGCTGTGAGTGTCCTTGAGTGTTGTGTGAGTGTCCTTGAGTGTTCTTGAGTGTGCTGTGAGTGTCCTTGAGTGTTGTGTGAGTGTCCTTGAGTGTTCTTGAGTGTTGTGTGAGTGTTCTTGAGTGTTCTTGAGTGTTCTTGAGTGTGCTGTGAGTGTCCTTGAGTGTGCTGTGAGTGTTCTTGAGTGTTCTTGAGTGTGCTGTGGTGTGCTGTGAGTGTTCTTGAGTGTTCTTGAGTGTTGTGAAGAGATGCCAACACCAACACAGCAGCAGAGCATCATCGCACAATCACCATAGAAACCCATGTTCACTTTCCCCTGTTTCACCAATACAAAACAATAATGAGCAAAATGCTTTGATAAAATGGGAGGGGTAACTGTTTACAAATCATCTGCTGGTGTTGCGACCGCTCTCCTGTCCCCTGGTCCTAATTGTATTTAACACAGTCAGTAAACAAGAAAGGGAAGAGAATTATGCTACTTGCCACTTTCCACAAAGGTGACATATCTCTCTCAACTTTTGTACATGCTGGGACACCTTGTTGTTTACAAAATCGATCTTCTCTTCAGTCGTGAACCGGCCAATACCAGAGCGGATAGAGCTGTATGCCATTTCATCATCAGCCCTCCTCTGCTTCTCAAAATGTGTAGTAAATAGAATCAAAAACAATCATTTTTAATGCAATCTATAACAGTGTGTCTGCAATGGCTATGACGACTACGATTCATGGGAAAGGGCAAACGCATCCAAACATGTGGTAATGACAGCAACGACAATTTCCATGGCAATCAACCAAATCACAATCCATTCGAGATATTCCCCTAAAGACAGAGATTAGAGAATGACGAAAGCTGCCTCGCTATCCGCTTGCTTACCATGAGAGCTATTCAAGTGATCCTTGAGCATATCCAGTAAATCGCTAATGACTTCGACCCGCTGATTTAAGAGTTCCACACGCTGTGAAATTTCAAGATAGCCTCGTATTGCACTGTACAGGGGTTCCAAGGTAGGCTCTGACCAGAAGATTTCGGGTGTGTCAAGGATGTTGGAGACCAAATTCACATTGATCCGCATAATAAACAATTGTCCAATCTTTTTTGTAATGGCCGTTCTATACATAAGAAATGAGTCCTCCATAAAAGACATCCCTATCCTTTTTCATGCTTACCTTGACATGTGAAAAGTGCCACTTTCGGCCATGACTTTGGGGATGTACTTGGTTTCATTGATCGTGTCGTCCACCAATCTCTCAAACAGGGTCATTTTCACACTCTGAGCAATCGCATGGGCAATCGTCAACTTGACTCGATAATTGGATGGATGGCGTAAGGTAAATGTATCATTGTACACGCTATAAATGAGTTCATTCATGAATAAAGGGATCTTTGATATCCATGGGGCGGCCACACACATACCGTGGTTGACAATTCTCATTGTAATAGTAGTGAAATTCTTCCACTTCGACATCATCCATATCTAGAAGAAGAAAACAAAGATGAGGGCCATGTACATAGGAGGAGGGGGTTTCATTGTGTATATGCATACCTAATTTTGCATCTTCATAAGGATCCAATTCTTTGAGTACTCTTTGTTCATCTTGCAATGTCATTCCCCAAAAGACAACGACGCCATAATCGAATAAAAACATTTCTGGTAACATGGTTTTCTGGTGTTCACCTTGACCATTGGGTGGAGATAATGGGTATTTCACTGAATACGGTGTATAAATGCTATCATCCATCATGAGTGAGTGAATGTGCCATGTAAAAAAAAGTAGAAGGGTGGATGTTTCTTACCATTCATCAAATCGTTTCGGGGATGCGCCATTGGTCGCACTTTTAGATTTGAGATGCTTGATCAGATCCTCCATACGATAAGCACTATGATGATGAGATGACTGTCAATGTACATGCATGATGATGATGATGATCTATGGCGACATACGATGCTGTGCAGTATGCAGTGACACGAGCCAAATCTTCCTTGTTCATACGACTGACGTGTTCAGCTTCGGTGCGTGCATCGCCATGGGGGATTTGAGCAAGTTGGGTATACACATCGGCATTGAGCTCTTCGGGAAGTCGTTGATCCTCATCCTCTGGAAACAACTTTAGCTTTTGAGAGATCTTGGTCGTACGATTCGGCTGTTTCCGAAGATGGATAGGTGATGGACCAGCCACAGCCGTTGTCACTGATGTCGGTTGCTGTTGTTGCTGTTGTTGTGAAGGAAAAGTACTGTAAGCTGGACCATTTCGATTGGAAGCGGGTGTTGTTGAATCGTTCAATAGAGGTTGCTCAAGATCATCTGCCTGGGGTCGTCTTTTGGACATTGTGTGGACGATAAAGTGAGTAAGAGAGAGAGCGAGCGAGAATGGATTTCTTCTGGTTTGGATTCATGCGCCGAGACCGAGTTTTGCTGTTTCAGGTATCGTGAGATTTACCACTACCAGTCTCAGACGAACGCGTGCGACCAAGCACGCTAAGCCAAGAGCACAACCCTTATCCACTACATAGTGTGTGTATATATCCATCCCAATTCATTTGTGCAAAAAAGTATAAAGTATATATATGTATATGGAAGAACGATTGTAAACTACAAGCTGTGCTGTCTTCTCAAGTAATGTTACACGACGAATTGCATGACATCTGCGTGAAAGATTCCACACGTGATAAGGGTATTGCAAATGCACCAGCATTTTCTTCACGATGATGCTTGGACATTCATTGCCGGTTTACGCATAAAAAGTTGCTCGACAAGATCGGTGGGTGATTGTTCATCCGTACTGCCAAAGGGTGTCGTTTGTTTGCAAAAATGCGGCTGTTTTTTTTTCGTTTCTCGATATTAATTTCTTGTGCTCGGCCACGATTCACATTCACTTACCAGTGACATTGCTGATTGGGATTTTTTCAATTGTGGAGAAGGCGTAACCATGGCATTGGCAGTATTATTGGCAGTAGCCGTAGCAGCGGCAACAGAGGCAACCGCAGAGGATGAAGAGGATAGTTTCCTTTCGGAGGCGACCGATTCTTTTGATGATACATAGCCTCATGAGTCTTATGATGTAAAAAGAAGAAGCTTCTATAACTTACCTATCGATCGATCATCTGGGGTTGACATGTCTTGTGGGCTAAACATGGATTTTTGTGGCTGTGGTCTAACATACATATATAAATAACGTTGAAAGAGCACCCAACAAGTCTCACATTCACTTACAGTTGAAACCGCGTCCCGGCATCCGATTTTTGACTCATTCGTATGGATAACTGTGGTAAGACAAATTAGAAAGAGACACACACACAACACAACAACGCCCATTACATCATTCACACCACACTTGCCTTTACAGTTGAATTAAATTTGCAATGGTCCAACAGATATCGTCTTGTTGTCACACCGGATTCAGCGTATTCAGACAAGTTGATGCTCAATGTACCCACTGTTTGTGTCTCCTTGCCTCCGCTTAATTCTTGAATAATCTCCAATTTGAGCTCGCAAGCGCCCAGTATATGTTGTTTGTTGATAACAAGCTGTGCCATAGTATTAATGGGGTAGTTCCAGAATACAGAGTGATCGTTGATAGGCGCTCTAGCAATGCGTCGTCGTCATCAGTATCCCATGACAACCATGGGCGGGGTAGATGTTGTTACCTTTCTGTCATGCCACTCGCATGCGAAGCATTCCTTATCCGCCATTTGACATAGTAGAGACCACTGACAAGAGGGACATTGGCCAAATCTCGTATTAATATGCTCACTTCAAAGTCGACTTTACGGTGCTTTGAGATAAAAAGATTCAATAAAGGCATGGATATATCTATATAAAGAAGGAAAAAGAGGGAGAGAGAGAGAGGAAGAGGAAGCCGGCAAGCCGAAACAAAACCTGTTATACATTGACTCACGTGGAGCTATCCATTTTCCGAAATTGGATGTTGCCAACACATCATCATCATCATCATCTGCCCCCCAACCTCCCACCTCCCACTCACCCGGCAGCAGCCTCCTACACTTGACAATGCTTGTATCCATTGTGACGTGATAAGAGTAGTAGCTTTTCTATAACAATGATCCCCATCATCAATGTGTCAAATTGCTACGGAGGATAATTTATTTACCCGTTCGTCGTCAATGATAACAGCAGCTGGGTGACAATTCGCTAATGGGTTCTTCCCTTCCACCACCACCCCCCAAACCGGTGGCCGACGATGATTATGAACGACCGACACCATGATACCTTGTTGTTGGAGGTGGCCTTGACATGCCCATGCCGACAATCTGGAACGTTACAGAATCAACAATGAGACTTTCTCCGAAATTAGCCATGGATGCATGAATCTAATTTAGTGCCCTTTTGTCAGGCACGTCCTTTGTTATAGACCAGTACCAAATAAAGCGGAATTTTGAATGGGATGATTTACAGTATCAAGATGATCCAACCACCCTCCTTAATTTATTCTTCCTTTGCAAATGAGGTTTGGAGTTGTTGATGCTTTATTGGAAGAGGAGGAGGAGTACACATCTTACATGGGGTTGTAATTCTACTCGTCGAGTGCTCTATCACGTGCTACTTTGGAGATGACAATTATTGGATCACAAAGGGGGTGAACAAAGAAACAGCTGATGGCTTCTTTGTCGATCTTTTTCAACACCCATGGATCATCATAGCGCTGTTCCTTTGTATCCAAGCGACGTCTTATTCATACTGCCATCATGTTGTTGTCACTTTTATCGTTACCATAAAGGTAAAGCTGCTGCAAAAGCACTTCTCCCCTCAAAAATTAATGGAGTGCTTGAGCTTCTTTGATTACTGACAAGGAGGCTTCATAGCTGCTTATACTTTTAAAGGGTCCAATGTTCAAGACACGAGTGATCCTTTTAGGCAAACCATGGTTACACAAAATACATGCTGGTTCCTTGAATGGCTTCCCAAATGCAAGTTTTTTATTATTCCAACGATTCGCGCTGAGCACACGTATGCAATGACATAACAAATGGTGCTGTAACCTACAATGACCCTCTTTTTTCACCTTATGACTTTGACAACTAACGAATCCCTAATCAAACATGTTGTTGTCTACAAGAGCTTGTGCCATACACGTGGCAGAAAGTTTCCAATCCAACAACCATTCTATGGCAAGGTAGAATATGAGTCAAAGGGTGGTCAACCTTCTCTAAGAGTATACCATCTGCTCCCAAACGCGCATCACGTCATCCTTTCTCTTTGAGAATCCCATTTAAAAGAGAAGGCCCGATAATTACATGAGTCGATATAGGACAAAGGGTAACATGTTTATGACATAAATAACGGCTGCATGAGGGAGAGATAAAAAAGACCGCCAAAAAGAGCGATGAAAAGGATGGGTGGTGGTGGTGGTGGTGCTGAGTTTGAGGATAATAATAATGTTGGCGTCGTGGTGATGGTGGTGGTGCGTGTAAATAGGCTATACAAGGCCATCATACAAATTCAAAGCTTGAACGATGGTTGGATCTTTCCTTGACCCTTCTCGGAATTCTTCCATGGTGAGTCTTCCATCCTTGTCCTAAGAAGAAGAAAAAAATCCTTCCAGGTTAGAGAAATCAAATCAAAACCCAACCATGCCTCACTTTTTTTTTTACCTGATCCATCATGTCAAAGATCTTGTTGACTCGTTTCTCGGGTGTGTCTTCATCGGGTGGTAATTTCACCATGCTGCCTACCATTTTATAGATCGCGTCCACGATATGCAACATTTCATCGTAGGTGATAAACCCATCATTGTCAATGTCGTAAAGCTGAATTTTTAACAACGATTTAGCAAAGCGCAGGAAAAACGGATGCAAAGCAACTCAGCCCATAGTTACCTGAAATGCCCCTACGGTGACGACGACGACGATGATGATGAAAAGAGAGAGAGTGATCCAAAGTTAGTAACACGCGTGTGTTTGTGGGCGCCACCACCACCACCCTCACATACAATGTAATTTCTCGTCCACTTGGCCACGACTTGTCACGGAGAGTGCACAAATAAACTCCTTGAAATCAATCGTCCCATTCTTGTCGCCGTCAAAGACATTGAATACATAGTCTGCAAAGCGGGATGGGTCTCCGAAAGGAAAGAACTGCTTGTAGATCTTTTGGAACTCGGTCTTGTTCAGTTGGCCACTGGGACAATCTTTTAAAAAGCCTTTATACCTGCACACATAGAGAGAGAGATATGTAAGCCATGGACATGAGAAAAGAAAAAGAAAGAAGAGGGATTGGATGCCTTTACCATTGTTGGAGTTCCTTCTTGTCAACTGAGAATGGGGAGTCAATATGAGATGGTGGTCCGTGAATAGTACGATGAGGGAATGAACTTACAATAGGTGCATTTCTGGAGATCAGTAAGCTGCTCAGGGCTCAATTTGCTTTGTGCCTTGCCCATGGTGAGAAAGAGTGAAACGTGAAAGAGAAAAAGAGAGGACAGCAGCAGCAGCTACACTTCTGCGAGAAAGGCAATCGTCGGCACGTCACGAGTTTTTGTTCCACTGGTTTTCTTCTTCCTCTTCCAAGCTAAGCAGTTCTTGTGTATCCATCCATCCGCCCACATGTCGTACTTCCAATCCCATGCGCCTTTCGGAAATGATGCCGTGAATGGCACTTTTTTAAACACACATAGCCTTGCATAAACCTGTTAACCCTTCTTCCTCCAAGCACAACATGAATCGTTTCAAATCATAGTAACCATGTCAACGCATCTATAAAAAGGGACCCGTTATTATGCAGCTGCTTCTGTACACGTGATCTTAGCAACACTTTTGTACTGATGATCCCCCAAATGAATCTTCCTCCTTCCCAATGCCTATTTGGTTTATATAAAAAATCATCATTCATCATCACATGGCGACGAGATTGTACGTTATAGGGTTGATTTATTCAGCTTATAGCTCGAAAAGAGAATATCCAAGGCACTTTCTTTACGCAATGGTAACTTCGACCTGTATTTCAAATGTTAGCAAAAAGATGCCATTGCATGATGATACAATAGAATAAAAGTATACTTGCCTCAACACCAGGTTCAATGGAGATCGAAGTGATCTGCTTGACAATCTCGGAGGGGGAGTGCAAGTCGATCAAGCGCTTGTGAATTCTCATCTCGAACTTATCAAAGGTCTCGGAACCGTTACCACAAGGAGACTTGCGGGTGGTGATGCGCAAAACCTTGGTTGGCAAGCGGACAGGACCCTTGACCTTGAGCTGCTTGTCTTTGGCACGTTGAATGAGATCAGCCGACACTACGTAGTATAGGTAAGTCAATGTTTGCTACACTGGTACATGAATGTATAAAGAGAACCTACCCTTCTCCAAGTTCTTGACGTTACGAGAAGTCAAGGTGATACGGATACGGTGGATCTTGGGCTGGACCTCTTCTTCGAGACCAGGCTTTTGGGTGGACGAGTTCTTAGCCTAAGGGAGTTGAGTTGAGTCAACATTGGCATACAACCTTTTTCATAACAAAAACAAGACACATACGACATAAGACATGTTTCAAATATATCCCTAAAAGAATACTCAACGTCAATTTCCAAATGGACACTATGCTTTTCTCATGTTGACATTTACCAGCGGTGACTAAGTAAAGCAGCTGCAAGAGAAAGGATGGGAAACCGAAAGCCACTCTTGAAAAAAGAAAAAACAAATGGCAAGTCACTCCTTTGTGCAACCCCGAGTTGTTTCATGCAAGCTGTTATCTATGATGCAGGATGCTCGAAAACATAGCATTCATTAGCAAATCTTTAGTAAACAAAGCATCTAAAGAAATAAAACCATCGATTTGCTCATCCATTCTTTTACTTCATATGCATGTTGCAGCTTCTTTCAACATCGTTGCTATGGTTCGTGGTATGCGACATGGCCATACAATAAAAAAAAAGTGCCCTTTCAAGTGGATAAGGAGGGATGATAGGAATGGACATGGTAGCCATCCAACGCTTGGTTTATTATGATCAAAATACCTAAAGCAATGTCACTATCGATTTGCACATCTATTCTTTTACTTGGTATGTATAATGTAACTTCTTTTAACGTCGTTGCTAGTGATCGTGATATGGGACATACGAATGAAAGATAGCATGTAGTAAATCATTGAAAGCACTCTATCAAGTGGAGAAGAGAAATGAAAATAGACATCGTATCCATGCCAACGGTTGCTTTATTACGATCAAAAGATGATAGTGATGAATAGAAGGGTTGAGCTAGCAGCACGCTGATTGGCTCTCGTTGAACTTCAGCCTTGGAGGGCAGGTCTTGTATTCCAGAAAGAGCTTGATTGACACCCTCTCTTCCTCGGTTGGTAAAAATGGTACGATAGATGCGTAATGGAATGCTGCTAGGGGAAAGATAGCGTGGAAATCGACAAGAGATCAAGATGGATGAATGGATGGATGAAGGGATGAAAGCGATATTTTGAGACCAGGAGTGTGCTTATCAACATGCGTACAATTAGGGCATCGACCTTAAGAACCATCACGTCAAAAAGTCCAACAGAACGGCACCAAAGTCTGAGAACGTTTATCAGCTTTTGTTGGTCAAGGTAGAGAAAGAAAGAGAGAGAGAATAATGGCCATTACGAACAAAAACCGGCTTACATTCGAACGCAACCTCCGTAGCTGTACCGCTTCTTGGCTCGCCGCACTGATGCCGACTTTAACAAGGTCGTCTTGAAGCGTCTCTTTATGTCGCGTATCCACCGTCCTTCTGTCACTGTTTCTCGTCTTGTCAAGAACAACCAAGAAGGCAAGACTTTGGTTGTCGTTGGTAACGTCACTGATGACTCTCGTCTCCTTGACTTGCCCAAGCTTTCTGTTGCCGCTCTTCGCGTCACCAAGACTGCTCGTGCTCGTATCCTCAAGGCTGGTGGTGAGATCTTGACTTTGGATCAACTCGCTCTTCGTGCTCCCACTGGTTCCAACACCGTCTTGCTTCGTGGTGCCAAGGTATGTGTGATATGGATTGTAAGAAAAAGGAGGAAGTGTGTGTGTGTTGATGGTTGGTTTCCATTATAGAACTCCCGTGAAGCTGTCAAGCACTTTGGTATGGGTCCCCACAAGAACAAGAAGCCCTATGTCCGCAGCAAGGGCCGCAAGTTCGAAAAGGCTCGTGGCAAGCGTGCCAGCCGTGGTTTCAAGGTCTAAGACTTTTTGCAACAATAAATTGCCCTTTATATATAAAGATGTCTATTTACTACTACTTTTACTTTTACTACTACTACGACCACCACTACCACCACGCGAACGAATATCCTCCAATGCTTTGGTCGAAGCTTGCGTCGGAAGCAATTTGTTTTTACCTGCATAATCCACACGTCAGCCAAAATCATGCAAATGACATTGAGCACCTTACCCTTGTTATTTTCAATGATACGATCAGCGAGTCCTTCAATGAGACCACCCGTAATGTACTTTTTAGAAACACCAAATGGTAACATGGGCTTGGTCAATAATTGCTTCAATTGTGCCTTTTTGGATCGTATCGTGTTGTCTGTTTTGCTGGACTTTTGATGCTTGCTGTTATCCTCCTCGTAATCCACATCCATTTCAGCTGCCATATTACGTAGCCAATTATCCTCATGATGTCGCTATAGAATAAAAGACTGAATATTGTGTGGTCCTTCCATTCTTTCTTTTTTAATAACGTACCTTTTGTTCCTGATGTTCAAGCTTATCAATTTCGGCAGCCAATTTGACACGCTTTTTCATTTCATTCAAGATGCCCAAGTCAACAGGGAAATCGGGGTATTGTTCTCCTTTCCGGAGGGTGTGACAAAGCTTTGTATACAATTTGATTTCCTCTGGACCACATAGTTGCAAAGAGACACCTTCATGATTGGCACGAGCTGTACGACCACTACGATGGACATAAATCTCGCCTGAGCGTGGGATCTGATAGTGAATGACATGATCTACGGATGGGATATCCAAACCACGTGCAGCGATATCGGAAGCCACCAATACTGCTTTATCACTGGCCTTGAATCTAAAAAGTCCATGAGCTACCTCTTCCCTCTTGGTACTCCAAAGAGAGATCTCTTACCTATCAAGATTCTTCAAACGTTGTCGCTGTTGCATCTGGGCATGGAGGCCTAATACATCAATGTTCAAGAGCTTGAAGACTGGAATCAACCTCCGAATAGCATCGATGCTGTTGACAAAGATGATGGTACGACCAGGATATCTTGTAACGAAATAATAGACATAGAGATCCTTTTCTTCCTTGACACAATCAATCTTGGCTTCCACCAACCGCGATGCTACCGCCTTTTCAGTTGTGATATCCACAATAGCAGGGTTTTTGCCGACAAGGTTCAATCTTTCAACAAGGTCCTCTATATACATATACATGGGTAAGTATACGCCAAATCCACATGACCAAGTCTACCACTACTACTCACGCATCGATCCAGGTTGCTTTGCTTTCGCTTTTTGCTTCTTCGACTTGTGGAATCGCAAATCAGTGCCCAAGGTTGCCGTAAACACAAACGTCTGGTGCTCCGCATTATCTATAATAGATTCCCCACCCCGCGTCAATCAGCCTGCGATCGTCTCCCTCTACTTTTCTTTTACTTACGTCTCTTCATGGATTTCACTTTGCCATTCTCAGCTTCCTCGGGCCAATCGGTGGTAAATCTAAGGATCAAAGAGTGAGTGAATAACTCCATAATAGCCACTGGATAAAAGATGCTTACTGTTTCTTATCTGATAAAACATCAAGGATATTGGTCAGCTCTTCAAAACGTCCCTTTTCAAGCATTCTGTCGGCTTCATCCAATACAAGGAACTTGATGTGCTTGAGCATGTCCATATACGTGGGTTCCTAGATGCCATGTTAGATGATCTTGGACTCTCACTTTATGCAAAGTAAACTTACTCCCGAAAAGATTTCCCATAAACGACCAGGTGTGGCAACAATGATGTTCGGCTGGTTCTTTAATAAACGTTGTTGCTTGTCGATGGACATACCACCCACAATAGCAGCGACCTTGATCTTTGAAAACTTTGCAAGGTTCACAATGTGATCTTTGACTTGCATGGCCAATTCTCTCGTGGGCGTCAAGATAAGACCATATAAACGTGAATCATCGGCGTCGCCGTTTGCCAAAATATGTTGTACAATAGGCATCGAGAAAGCGAGTGTTTTACCAGAACCCTATGTTTCTTTTCATGAATACTTTGTTGATATGGAATCCCTCAAGGACTTACCGTTTCAGCAGCACCAACGATATGACGACCTTTCAATGCAAGACCAAGTGTCTTTTCTTGGATAGGTGTTGGTTGCGTGAATTTGTGATACTTCAATGCACTCATGATAGGCTCTGCCAATTGAAAACCCTCCCATGCTGAAACGTCAACATCTGTGTAAATTGTGTGAGTACCCTATACCACCAACAATGCCATGTCCTATATTACCTTGAGGGACCTCATCATCATCAGGTTTGGATTCATCTTGATCCTCCTCTTCAGCATCAGAAGCTTCATCCTCAGAACTAGCCTCTTTTTCCTCCTCCTCATGGTCTTCCTCTTCAGCCATCGCATCATCATTGACATCATCATCTTCCACTTCTTCTTCTTCGTTGTCTTTAAATAAAAGCGTCAGTGCTGTGCCAATTGGTGAATGCAAAAGTAACTACCTTCGCTAGGGGGTTGTTCCTCTTTGGGATTCTTTTTCTTCTTGTTCTTCTTTGCAGCCTTCTCTGCCAACTTGTCATCAAAGGTGTCGAGGTCATAATAGTCCTTCATCTCTGCAATATCCATAGGCTCAGTGGGCTTGGCAGGCTTTCCAGGCTTTCGATCCTCTTTTTTGATACGCTAGAAAATGACAGCATGGGCGTTTACATCAACGTTGCCTTACATACACACTACACAGCACATACCTTGAACTTGGCGACTCGGCCAGTTTGATCGTCTCCTTCATAGTCGACGGCCACATCGTCAATTTCCTCGAGACAAAGAAAACCACCTAGATCGCCGGCCATGGGAGTAGTAGTGGTTGACACTTCATTCCAGTCCCAAGAGTCGATATCACCCAATTCCTCATAGTCCACGTCGAGCTTGCGTCTCTTTGAATTGTTCTTTTGCTTGGATCGCTGACGTTTTTGTCCTTGCTTCTTGGTGGCGTTCTTCACTTTGGCTGGCATGGTGATCAAGGCAAGGAAGGAAACGAGTTTGAAAAATTGTGTCTTCTTTTCTTCCGGAGTTGGTGCTACCTATCATCCAATGACCACATTTTGGAATGGGTTGCCCATAGCAACCATCATTGCTTTTTTATTCATTGACGTGATCCTACATTAGACTTGACAACATCTGTAAAATATTCGCTATCATAATAGTATCCCATAAACGTATTCTCTGCATGTCCTCCATTCGTACACGATGATGATGATGATGATGATGAAGACGATGGCGGCATGATAATGGTAGTTGTGTTATCAAAAGTGACAACTCGGTCCTTGTTCTTTGATGGTTGTTTTTTCTTATGACGGCGATTGATACAACACACAATGAGACCATAGACCTGTTTTTGGAATCATCATCAATGCTTTGCAAAGGACTCAAATCGAGTTGACTTACAAGTGCCACAACGATCACCGTGGTGGCTGCAATAGCTGCACCCTCCAATGCAGCTCGAGTCGTCGGTGATACAAGAGTAGATTCGTCGTCCAAAATAGCATCCGTAGTAGCTGCTGCTAATAAAGTAGTCGACGTCGTCGATGCATCGATGATGAAATGCGTACTTGTTTCCGCTGGGTCAGTGGTAAAATAGGGAGAAGGTGTTGCAGTGGGTATCACCAAAAAAGTGGATGATGTTGCGGTGGTGGTATTTGCATGCAAGTAAAAGGAAATAGGACCTTGTATAGCAACCTGCTGCTGAAGGTGATCCTTGTTGACAAAGAGCTGAAGATAATAATAGGCCTCAAAGGGTGGCATCATCATGGTGCTGTTCACTGGTAATAATAATGAGCCATTGCTGCTGCTCGTGTTCAGGGTCCTAACCCATGATGCTACCACCACCATGTCTCCCCGAATCAGATAGAGCTCCATTGTCATGTTCGTTCTTGGATTTTTGTTGTTGTCATCCGTAATTCCGGACCAGCTCACCCGAAAACCACCAACAGAGCCCATGGTTAGTGGAATAGAATCGTATGCCCTAGGCGTGTCGATTATCAATGCAGCTATCACACGACGACAATATGGGATAATGAGCCACCAACAACAGGCAACAATCGACGACAAAGATGCCATCAGGACATAGGGTTCAAAATGAGAGCGAGGAAAGAAAGAGTATAAGAATTACAATACACACGCACTTTCAGGTACATCGATTCAACAAAGAAACAAGTCGTTGACCGGTTTTCTTCTAATCGTGTTGTTTGAAGCAATCTTTCGCTAACCATGGGCATTCAATCAATAGGTTATTAGGGTTGGCGACTAAAACCATCTGCCGAATGTTGGTCTATCATGCACATTTAATAGTAGGGGGAGGGTGCATAAATGGGGTTTGAGCGCCATTTGGCGGTGGATCACTATTTCTAAGAGAACGATTTTACTGGTGACGTGTGGACAAGCTATTTCCATCATGATCAAAGAACATGCTGGAATTATGAATGCACCTGCGTGGCTATTCAACATCAACCGGAGAACCTGGTAAACTTGTAATATAGATGCATTCTTGTATCTTAATTTCTGCAAGACAGCATGTAAGCAGCAGCAGCAGCGGTGGTGGTCATGTCTACTATTATCCCTCCATCATCTTCTTCCCTCCCTGGTACTTGTATAATAGCACAATGGCTAGGACATAGAGTGGCAAAGAAACTCGTATGAAAGAAAATGATGATGACATGATTGATATTGAAAGGCTCAATTCTCGGTTCACTAAAAGTCATGCAGCTACCCAACACAAGATCATGATCAAATGTGCGTGTGTGATTTGTGGATGTGTAAATAATATGTCCGCCGCCGTTGCCATGCCGTCCTTGCATTGACATGCATCATTCCTGCGGGTGGATACGATTCGTATTTCTTTTATCTCTCATGATACCAGGTAAGTGGAACTCCTCAAAAGAATAAAATGTGGTGGTCTGTGTTGTTTGTTAGTTTCAACGCCACAAATATGATTTGTGTGAGATGAACAAAGTGGGTTACACAGATTCATGCGAAACGCAACTATGTCGGTTAACGGCTCGGGAAATAATATCTTCTTTTTGTGAGTCTCCTTCTTTTGCCAAGGGTTTCGAGTGTGAAGCGACAATGAAAAACGTCTTGTCCGTATTGGCTCGGTTGCTTTGACATATGACCACCACAGCTTTTGCTGACTTGCGTTCTCTCCATTCCATTCACTTCTCGAACAACAACAACAACCAGCCCATGCCGCGTTCCCATTCACTCTTCTTGTTCGACTAAATTGACACACACGCACACTCCCCTTTTTCTTCCTTTCTTTTTCTTCTCGTCTCTACCAGCTCCGTTGCCCCATTAGCAATCATTTACATTGTCGGTCGATCGTACAACCACGCTGCCCCACTTTACTGGCCCCGGGGGTCACCAAGTGACACTCATGTTGGCGTCGACGCCATCCGGGGGCAGCGATGCAAACTCGTACATGTTTGCTCACCTAAGACGTTTTATGCCATCATTCTCCATGAAGACACGAGTCTATATGGTCTCCAGGTGCGTGTGTTTGTTGATCTGCTTCCTACTCTATTGAATCACTTTTTAACTTTCATTGATTAGTTTCATGGCATTGGGTGGTTTCTTGGCAAGTTACCTACTTTGATGGGGATGATATGATACAATCACGTATTACTAACATCCTTGCTTGCTGCTTGTAGTTTGGGTATCAATTTGGTGTATTGCCAGGGATTTTGACCATGTATTCATTTCATCAAGATACCAATATCCAAGACAACTCAACTTCACTTACAAGCACGTTGATGGCAGGTGCTGTGGCAGGTGCTCTTGCAGCTGGTGTATTGGCCGACTTGATTGGACGACGTGGTCTCATTGCAGTGAGCACAGCCTTGTTCATGGGTGCAGATGTACTTCAGGTCGGCGCAGACGACATTATCAAACTCTATGTGGGTCGAGTCATTACAGGAATCAGTATTGGGTAAGGTGGTTTTGAAAGGGGATCATCATTGTATCAAGTAAATCTTAAAATTCCAATATAGAGCCCTCTCCATGGTGGTCCCTCTATGTAAGTATATTATCGTTATTATCCTCGATGTTGGACGTGTATTCATTTAGGTGCACAATAGATCAATCCGAGATTTCGCCCAAAGAGATGCGTGGTCGTCTAGTTTCAATCCAGCAATTTGCTATTGCATGTGGCATTTGTGTTTCATATTGGGTGGATTATGCAGTCTTGGATGTTACTTCTGTCAGCAATTGGAGGTAAGAATCAAAAATCAATGATAAGGATGATGGTGTTGTTTAATACATATGCACTTTAAGGCTCGCATTTGGTTTGCCCTTGATTCCCGCCCTTATATACCTCGCTGGAACTCTTGTACTACCCAAAAGGTAATATGAACATGCATTGACGACTCTTTTATCTCATTTCATTGTAATACTACAGCCCACGCTATCTTATCTACAAGCATCATGATCGACAAGCTCTGGAAGTACTCGCCTTTGTGCGTGGTGATGGCACTATCAATCATCCCGACGTGCTGATGGAATACGTGGAAATCAAGCAAAGCATTCGATTTGAGGAGAAATATGGATCCAAACACTTTTGGCGTCTATTTCGAAAGGGTGCTGATAATAATCGCAAGCGATTGCTCTTGGGAATGGCGGTACAAATATTCCAGCAACTTACAGGGGCCAATGCATTGCTGTAAGTGATGGACATGAAAAAGATCCTATGGATGATGCCCATCATTAAGTATATTCGTATAGCCTTTACGCCCCGCTGATTTTTCGAGCCAGTGGCATTCAAGGAAAAAGTACCACGTTATTGGGTATGAGACAATGAACACGACATCCATTATGCTTTGCTCATTCAATGTTATCCAGCAAACGGTATCAGTGGCCTTGTCAACCTCGTATTCACTATTCCACCCATGATTACGGTATGCCGCACCGCTATTTGAAAAGACATCCCAATCTAATATTACGAATATAGATTGATCGATGGGGTCGACGTCCTACATTGATTGTTGGAAGCATTGCATGTTGTGTGTGCTTGACCATTATGACGGTGATTGCAGCTGTCACAGGGCTTACCGATAACATTGCATCAATGCATGTTCTGGATGCTTCAACTACGGATCCCACTGAGGTGGATGAATCGATTCGCCAAATTGATCATCAAGCTTCTATCGGATTTCTTGTCATGATGTACATGTTTGTTGCTTGTTATGCATTGACTTGGGGCCCGGCAGGATGGATATACCCAACAGAACTCTATTCACAAGGTAAATCATAAACCATGACATCACTTTGTGGCGGTTGTACTTATAGGTAACCAAAAAACTAGATGTACGTGCACGAGCCCTTGGATTTACCACGGCTGCCAATTGGCTTTTCAACTTTGGAGTGACCATGTTGACCCCTCTTATGTACGTGCATATCAAGTGGAAGGCATTCGTTGTTTATGCAGTGTTTTGCTTCGTCATGGCGATCGTTGTTCATCGCTATTTCCCTGAAACGATGGTAAGTACACAGCCGAGAGTTTGCGTCTTTATGGAAAGAACCTGACATGGCTTTATAGGGCAAATCGTTAGAGGAAATTGATCTTATTTTCAGTGGCAACTTTAACTATTACGATTTGAGCGTACATCATCCACAAACTGCTGCAGCGGCTTTATCCCAATTGAACCGTACCAGTCGATCAAGGAACGCATTACTAGGAGGATTCAATCAGCTGGTATCAGCACGATCTAATGAACATATACCATCATCCACACATTCTTCTGAATTAGATAGCGGTCGTGGCTCGGAATAATAAAGTAATCATGTTTGGCAGATTATTATAGCAAGTTTCAAATGTATGTGGATCGTCATCATTGTTTATTGCGGACAATAAAGAAACCCTTTGTTCACATGTGTACGCATTCATCTGATTCATTGAGGGGTAAACTTAATCAGTAATCAATGAGCCATTTGTAAGGGGTAGCAACTTACGGGAATTTGGCTTCCAGTCGCATTCAGGCCAGAAGTAATCGCATAGTTGTGGATGTGGGAATTGCCAACAGAACTCCTTAGTACAATGACCTATCAACATGATTTCGTTAGTTGTTGCTAGGCAACAAAAAGAGAAAAATTATACTCACCGTCACCCGTTCTACCAGGTTGCCATTGGCAACTAGCCTCTTTACAGCTTTTCTCATCCACAATCGCTTCACAGCTTCTCACCCATGGAAGCACACAGCCATCGGTTTCAGCGTCAGATGCTATTTTAGGATCGAAAAAGTTGTTGAAGGAACACCATTTAGAATTGATACAATACAAGATGCATGATGAGATCCTTACTCAGTTTGAGCTTATCATTCACATTAAAGCTCGTTTTAACCCACGTCTCATAAGCACAAATGATATCAGCACAAGGATCATCCTTGTACTTTTGACAAGCCGATTCAGCAGCACCACCGACATGAAGTTGGCTGCCGATGACTAGGAGAATGACAGGAGTAACTAGATGTTGTGGCTTCATGATTTTTCTTTTTCATCAATGGCATAGGGAGGCTGCTGCTATTATGCCCTCTTTTATGTGCAAAGGTCTCGCTATAAACCTCTACATTCGCATGGACTGCAATATTCTTCAGGGGCACTCCCTGCATGCTTATACACATACCACGCATGTTACATACTCAAAAAGACGCTCAAGATCCCCTTGTTGATCCGTATCTTTTCATACATCAATCGCTAGCGTCTTCCATTGTGCATAAATCTCTCATATAAATTCATTTCAAGTGTACGACAAAAGGACTATCTTGTTCAGGAATAATACGTGCGAATCCATCATCAACATCAAGACTCGGCTCCTGCGCGGTTAATTACAATTTTAAACGTCAACCTTAATCTTGTTATTTGTTCCTTCAGAGCACATCCTCACGGATTGTTTCTTGCTCGTTTGCCTCCCTCTCTCTCGATGACAATACTTATGCTACTGTACGCAGCGAACAAATGATGTTAGCGAGGAACCTTATAAAACGGTGTTCATGCAATTTTCCTGGTAGCATGTATTTAGACTTGATACCTGCGTGGCGTGTGATCATCTAATGTTACATAACTATTGGCGTAGAACTATACAATCCCTCCCACATAAAATGATCCCCGTCCAAAAAATGAACGGTGTAAACTTTTGGACCAGCGTCTCAAGGAACATCTTCAAGCTTTTTGCGTACCAACCATACATACAACCCGCTAAGGTTACAAGCATATGATTCATTCTTTACGTTTTGTGTATCCTCGCTATAATAGGACATGATGGATCAACCAGCATTCGAGCGTCATCAAAATAGCGTCAATGTTTATTGCTACTTCTCTCTACGTATCTCAACAATCTTAACAGCTTTGTATCCTTCAAAACCAGTGGCTGTTTTTGGCATCCAAATCAATCTTGTAAACGTTCTTCATGAGCGAGTATCTACCATGCCACCATAACCTTTATGTCGATCTTGATGTTGCCTGTTAGGAAGCCATCCTTGCCATATGCTGGTGACCTTATTACGGTGTATCCATCTCAAACAACGTTGCTGGTATGAACGGCGAAGAGCATGCGTGTACAATAAACCGGTTGCATTGTTGGTGAGTGATGCGTGATATGTTGGGCCTATAAAGAAGCTGCAACCTTGCCCACCAGATGGATCCAAGCAACATCTTTGATAACCTTCTCAAGCTGGCATTGGTAGTTGAACATGAGTCAATATCCATTAGTTGTTGTTGGCAGCTGTATACGAAGCAAAGTGAGTTGCTGGAGGTGAAAAAGGAACGTTGAACGTTGAACATGGTCGTCACCATGGTCGAGCTGCTCATTGCCAGTTTTGAATGTCGAATCGAATGGGGTGCCCATTGCTAATCGTTGACCAACAAGATGACTTGAATCGTACTCTGTATTGTTGTTGAAGGTGTTGGATTGAGACCTCCTTTATGCATTGGCATCAAAATTGTTCGTAGGTGAAAGCGAGAAGCGCTCTTCTGAGGGACAAAGTGCTCTTTTTCATACCAGACAACTTGGACCCCGCCCCAATCACAAGTCATTTCAAACGTTGTTCTACCTTTGACCCCAAATTCCTTCTCACTCACCTCCCATATAATTAAGTACACACCTTCATCAAATACAACGCTCTTTCCGCTACACGAGAAAACTTGTTCGGAGCCATTCAGAGCACCTTCCACATAAGGAAGTTAGGTCATCTATGATGGTAATCGCTTTTAAAAAAACAAGAACAAGAGCGCGGATGGTTTAGTGGTATAATATCCGCCTGCCACGCGGATGACCCGGGTTCGATTCCCGGTCCGCGCATTTCTTTTTCTTTTGTTGTTTTTGTGTCGTGTAGAGGTGTCGTTATCGTATGGCTGATTAGATCAGTGGCCAATGATATAACTT